GTACTATATATTATTCACTTATAGGGTCTTTGCATCGGCACTAAACACATTTATTTAAAAACCAGTTGTTGGCATGACACGGGTTATGTTCTTCTCATATATGTTATGATGGTATGATACTAAACCCCTAACGGGAAGGATTGTGCCTGATATTCATATGATGAAGACATAATCTTTCAATCAGTTTAATTGAAGTCTGGAGCTGGCATGTCAGTTAACTGCTAGTAGTCTGTTGTTATTTATGTATTATTGTCATTTTGTTTATTTTCTTTGGTTACATCTTCTGACATCAGACTCGGACTTCTCTTGAACTGAATTTTAATGTACTTATTGTTATGCGTTTACTTTTCTACATTGGCTAGAGGTATAGGGGGAGGGTTGAGATCTCATAAACATGTTTAACCCCGCCGCATTTTTGCGCCTGTCCCAAGTCAGGAGCCTCTAGCCTTTGTTAGTCTTGTATTATTTTTAATTTTAGTTTCTTGTGTACAATTTGGAGTTTAGTATGGCGTTCATTATCACTGAACTAGTATATATATTTGTTTAGGGGAAGGATGCCTCCGGGTGCGGGAATTTCTCGCTGCATTGAAGACCTGTTGGTGACCTTCTGCTGTTGTCTGTTCAATGGTCGGGTTGTTGTCTCTTTGACACATTCCCCATTTCCATTCTCAATTTTATTTGACCTATAATGGTTTACTTTTACAAATTGTGACTTGGATGGAGAGTTGTCTCATTGGCACTCATACCACACCTTCTTATATCTATGATAAGGGTGTAAAAGCATCGACCAAACCACATGTTGTATGAATCGTGGAAGCGCTTCAAAATTAAATCGTACAAAACTAAAAGCAAGTGTACATAGTGTCGAAGCTTGAAATTATACAATCCTTTTAAACTGCAAAATAGAATACTTACATTTGTATGCCAAAACCATGAAATTATCGATCATATTAAACTTTTCGATTGTTTTGTTAAAACTTTCTTACCCATTGTTGTAACCTTTTCATGGAACACACGTGCGGTCAAAGATGTTGTCTGGTATTGTGACTTAAAAAATCTCGTGATTGTTGTCTGTCAATCACGATGATATGATATCCTTAGAAAATATGTAATGTAAGTATAATCATAACAGTTGGAACAATCATCAGAACATAGGAAATTATAAAACTTTTTGTTTGAAAACTGGACACACAGGATTAAAGGATAGAGTTAATATTTATAGTTTCCAACTACTACAAATTATCTCATGCACAAACATTGAATTTCTAGAAAAACACGGGGACATATATACTACCGCATACACACAAGCACGAGACAGGCGTACATATATTGTTGTTGGCTAAGATGGATGCTGATTTAGGTCGAGACTAAACTTCAGGAAAAAGATAATTGAACGGAAAATCCAATCCTTGTGAGCACCAGTATTACAGCGTTCGACTTTTTAGAACGTTTTCATAGATCTAACAAGTTATCTAAGAGGAAAGACAATGATAATGGTTACACGCTGAATCACATATAGAGTTAAAAAGTTCTACCTTCAAAACGTTTTCTACCCAAATATACACCTTACTTAAACTGTTTTTTTCAAAGTTTCATGACAGGATTCTGTAGAAGATCAACATTTCTATGTTCAATGGGAGATAACTTAAAAAATATCATATATAATATTCTACATCATAATAATAAACTGTTTACAGATTCACGGGTAGTGACGTCGTCATATCGAGGAGTGTTTAGTACAGTGATTTTGTCATAGTTTGGTTAAGTTGGTCATGGATTAGTTAGGTTCCTTTCCTGAAAGATTGCCTCAGTTCTCTTCAAATGAGCAAATAAAGAGCAAATTACATGTTTGAATCGATAATGTAACTCAAACAATCTAAATTGAAATTGTTGTTTTTAAGAAATTAACACAGGATAACCAAAATATCGAAATTGGTATGGTTTGGTTAAGCGATTGACATGGTTCAGTTACGTGTCTAGAAATTTGTCATGGTTTTGGTCAAATTTTTCATGGTTTAGATTCAAATTAATACATATTTGTTTCACCTTAATATTGATAGTTTGTTGGAAGGCGCTTGTGAAAAAAACGAAGTTACACAATTTACCAATTAACTAAGAAGAAAAAAAAACCTTGTTAACCAAATTTGGTCAGCGAAATCGGCAAAATGATTCTGTTTTTGTCATATTGTATTAGTGTATTGTGTAGTATCACTTAACCCGTTTACGCATTTTTCTTCTTTTATACCATTAAGTTCGGATAATATCAGAAAAAGCTCTGTCCGTCTGGTATTTAGTATGATAAAATGTACATTATTAAATGTGATCGAAAAAAATAATTTAAAAATTCCAAGATACTTTTGTTTAGTACAAGTACATTTAAACTATGTACGGCCTTATTTTTGACCCGACTAGACTAGAAATCACAGATAATAAGATGAAGATGAATAATGGCAGTAGAACTCCATTCTGAAATAAAATAAAAAAACAGAAACTTTTTGTCTTGGAATCATGACTTTTTTATTAGTTGTTATTGGCTTGGAACTTCCAGTAAATGAAAATACAATGTACTAACAGATCGGTTCTTTGTGTCTTTGGTGTTTATGTAACTTGATTATTTTGCTTTGTATCGATCTGATGATGCAAGTCCTTTTCAACTGATTTTTATAGTTTGTTGTGCTGTTACACTTCTACCCAGATTAAGGCGAGGGGAAGGTTGGGAGCCCGCAAACATTTAAACCAGCCATATTCTGTATGTGTCTGTCTATAGTTCAGAGTCTGTAATGCAGTGGCTGTCGTTTGTTACTGTATATCATATTTGTTTTTCGCTTATTGTTTTGAACATAAATCAGACCGTTGTGTTTCTCAATTGAATTGCTCAACCTTCAATTTGTCGGAGCTTTCAATTGCTTGCTAAAAGGTATGGTTTTGCTAATTGTTGAAGGCCGTACGGAGACCTAACATTTACGTCATTTTGTCTCGAGTGGATAGTTGTCTCATTAAAAATCATACCGCATCTACTTATTATATATTACTCTAAAAGAAAATTGCTATTGCAATGCATTAATATATAACCCTCGTGATCACTTTATACATGCGTGTTCTATAATTATTATAACTATAATGATAATATCATAAATATACTGTAGACGACTTATTTTCTCGAGCGATGTATTTTCGCGAGTAGAAATCAACGTTAATATGTGAAACTCAGATCTACTCGTATGGAAACAAAACAAGAACATAAGGAAATGGCGACAATATATTGCCTCCAAGTAGGATAGAATGGGTTAAACGCGAAAAAAAAGTATCAGCGAAAATATTTTTTTGACAGTATTTCAATCGTTGTAAATAATGTCTGTTTATTTTGATCGTTACTCTTCCATCATACACGACAGGAATCACAGAACTGAACCATGTCGAACATGAACTAAACCATGACTTTACTGAACCAAACCATGACACCGAATTTTCAGAAATCTTAAATTGTGTGCAAATGTAGCTTTTTTTCGGAATACTTGACGGCAGGTTTATATCATAACGAAATATGTGATGTAACAGACAGTAAACTAATCGCCTTTCTTTATGCATAAGAAACGAATAAACAACTTTAAAATTTTGACGTACGCAAGCATTATTCTGTGTTAAATTAAAACTTTATGATACAAATTTAATGTACTAACATATTAGCCCTAAAGGAAGATACTTTCCAGCTTGAATTTATGTTCAGGAGTTCCTTTAGCAAAAAAATCCGAATGTTTATATTGTGTCATTGTTTGTCATTAAAAACACTTAACACAATCATGTCCAACTTAACCAAACTATGACAAAATCACTGTACTAAGCGCTCATCGATATGACGACCTTACTACCCGTGAGAAACTGATCGACAGAAAAAATAAGCCGTCAGACCCATACAAATAGGAATCGAATGATTATGATTTATTAATGAATGGTCATCGATTAACAAAGTGAACACTGATTTCTCACATAAAAATCACATCAACTATATGTTTTGAAAGACGGATTTTCTAGGTTAGTAATTACACTCTTGATAATTTCCCTACATTTACTAGATATATTGCTAATATCGTTACTTTAGGTTTCCTAGCACGTATTACTATTTGTTTGAATAGATGAACATTAATTTGCAAACTGCACTTTTTTTTCATTTCCTTTTTTTTGGAATAAACAACTGAAGCATGAGCGCACGCTGCTCTCGCGTAACCAATATTGCCAATTCAAGTCCTAAAACCCCAAAACGACTAGTGAGGCTTTGGATGATGGGGTCCTTTTTTTTTGTATTCTTTAATTTCTTAGGCCATTTTCTCTATCCTTTATACTTTTTGCCCATTGTTTTCTATTCTTTATATTTTAGCACCTCATAATTTGCTATTCTTTATGTTTTTTGCCCATTATTCTCTACTCTGTAAACCCCCATCCACACCCTCACAAGTCCGATCTTGGAGTATTAAAAATTGCAAGGGATATGAAAACAAAGATATTACGGGGTCTAGTTCAATGAGACAGTAACCCAACGTTAAAAAAAACCCTGAGGACATCTATGGGGGAACACATGCAATATGTCAAGCTCCATAGTATTTATAATATATCTTGTTGTTGGCTCTGATTCTGACCAATGCTAATATACTAAATATACATGTACATGTACACTGTGCCGTTTATTGTTGTAATTATCAATTATGTAACTGATTTGTATGCCCGTTATGGGCCCTGTAATTTGGGAAATTAAAAAAAATATCATTTCAAACTTATGAATAGATTTGATAAAAAAAATCCTTGATCTCTGTGAACCTCTGTGAACCTCTTTGAATGTGGAAGTTTTGTGAAAAACTACATAAAGTCAAAAATTCAGAAGTCTTTTAAAGCAAAGAATAGGTGTTGAGCCGTTGTGGCTGCTTGTTTTCTCAATCATCCTTTTGGATTTCAGATACTTTTTACCGTCACTGGTTCTAAATTTATTCTACCGGAAGTACGTCCAACAACAAAAATCTGAAACCGAAAAACAAATCGATGTCATTTCAATCCATATTTAAGGACAATAACCTAGAAATAATGTAGACTGTCCTTCATTAATTAAAAATGAAGTAACATTGACTGCAATGACCACTGTAAATAATGTACAAGGTGCACACATTTCACCTTGGAGACGATGCGGGTTGTGTTTGGTAGATTTTAAATCTTCCAAAGACTTTTGTCGACATTTGCGTCAAAACCATTGTACAAAAGAAGGAGGATCTTATGTTTGTAGATATGGAGCAAATAATATATGTCCATCACTACCTTTAGAGGGTGTCAGTGATATGGACTACGAAAATCACATAACAAGAGACCATGCAGGAAAGCAATTGCATTGTAGGTTTCCTTTTTGTCATATTTAGCATTACTAAATTCCAACACACAAAAACAGATAAATAACATTGAAAAAGTACAAAGAAGGGCTGCATATTGCAATACCAATGATACCAAAACAACAGCAGAGTCGCTTCAATGATTGACCATCTTAAACGGAAAACAGTAGAAACTCCAACAAACATCAAGAGAGTAACAATGATGTACAAAATCATTCACAATCTTATAGCAATTGTCCCAAATCTCTACCTCTGGATCAGTTTAAGACTCTGATCCAAAGTTTAACATTTAGACATCTAGATCAGTTTGTCAATATTTAAATTTTTTTACACAAACTTAATTTGTTGACTGCACACATATATATATATATGACTTAAAATTATTAATTTTCTTTAGTGTCTGTTTGTGTCAGATTCACCAACGTATAATAATGCGCTGATGAATTGTCAAACAATGTAATAGATGTAGATTTAAAATAATGAAGAATAATAATAATAATATTCTTTATTTAAAGAGGGTAACCAAATTAGTTTCTCTAGTCTTACTTGGGGCCCTCAATGTTTTGGTTTTTTCTTTGCCAAAATCAGTAAATTCAGAGTTTATAAAACAGAAAGCTGCTGTAGTATTACAAGGCCTGTTTTCCCTATTTACTTCTACCAAACCCTGGTTAAAAGGGGCATGACAAAAATAATTTTGCAATTAAAGTTAGACAAACATGGCAAATGTGGAAAAGTTTTTCGAAAACTAAGCAGACATGATAAATGATTACAGTTCCAAAGAACAGAAAATGCTTTGAGCCTTTGACCAAGTACAAAAAAACTAAATAGTTCAATAACAAAACATGACATATTTAAAATAATGATCAGGCAGTGGGAACTAAAAGACCAGGGTAACTTAGGTACACTGAAAGGGCATGCAGTTCCTGCTGCAATAATGGTGTGTTGTGCTGACAGCAGATGTCTGTCAGTTATGAAAAATAGGCTGCGGCACCATTGAAAAAGGATGACCCCCGACTGCCATCATGACTCTGGAAGCTGGCACTTTTACAAAATATACATAATTAGCTGAAATATGAAAAAGATCTTCTAATAATAGTTTATAGAAGTAACTGTTACCAAGCTTTGGCCACATGGTTCACTTATCATGTATACATTGCACTTAAAAATTTGCTAAAATTAGAAAATGACTGAAAACTTTTGAAAAAGTCTTGTAGTTGTACCAAACACCAAGTGAAGTTGATGCCTTCATTAAACACTTAAACAGTTGATAACCAAAACTGTTTTCAAACATGTTTGCCTTTTTCATGTTTGTATAAAAAAAACAGAAAGTTCACTTGCTTACCTCCCCATCATTTACAAACAGATATACATTGTAGTTTTATGATGGTTTGATTTTGCTGTCCATACAACACCATCGTTGAGATATGCAGCATACCTCGATTGTTTTGTTTATCAAATAAGAATTCACATTATACAATAATTACAGTATTCAACAATTGAGATTTATTAGTACATCTGTACTACATTTTTTTATGACATAATATACATATACTTGACTTTTTTTAATTCAAGCACATGGTAGAAATAAAAGTTTTGAACATAACGAAGCTTCACCACCTCCTTCAGCAACAGACAATGCTCCATCAGTTGTACAGGATCAGTTGAGATGGACAGTGTACAATGCTACAGTTAACCTACCAGCAGCATTAAATGACCCCAATAGAACAAAGAGAGAGACTGACTTCTTCACTAAAACCTGGGGTCAACATTTTTATGAGCATTCACATATTCCACAATCATCTCATATTCCAGATATCAATAGAAAATATTTTGAGAAATATAAAAATAGGATTTCAAAAGTAAATATGATATATAATAAGATGTAAATGTACTTCAAGACTAATGTTAATTGTCTTTTGGAAACAATAACACTCAGAAACACTCACATCTACCCAGGTGCAGATTCAGGCAGGGGCACACCTGGTGTCCTCCCCCTATTAAAAAAAACCCAAATTGATATAAAGGTAATGTTACACCCACTTTTTCGTCTTAATTCCTGATTCTAAGGAGTACCCCAGCATAAAATCCTGGATATCAAATGAAAATATTTTGATAAATAATCTAATCTAATTTTTCAACTGCTGTTTGTTGTCCAGCTACATCTCTATCTCCAGTGTTACATGTACTTGCAATTGTAGTTTAATCAGATATGTAAACCTGAAATTGTATACAAAGCTTTGTGGAGTATATGTCAATGAGGCCCCAACAAAGTGACACAGGACAAAACTTAAACATGATAAAATGTTCTTTTCTCTGGTCCCTATATATATGGTACTATATTACATATTTATTTATATTTGTACAAAAATTTACACTAACTATGACATGCTTACAGATATATTTCAACCAGACATTGTTATTTAATATAAGGCTTATAAGCAGTACTTTTTGTAACTGAATAGAGAGGTACTCATTGATGGTCAACCATATTGTTGAATATGAATTCATCATGTTCATAGACATTTATGAACTTTTAGGTATTATCATTATTTATAATTTTGTTGTTACATTTTAGAGATACAAGAAGTACATCAGAAGTACAAGTAATTCTGATTCAGTTAGTGGAGAGACATACCTCCATCAGTTAGGTAAGGTTACTTGTGGACTGTGAAAAATAATCATACCGACTATACGCTATGGGTTTTTCCTCATTGTTGAAGGCTGTACTGATGTCTATAATTACTTAAATCCACTTCATTTGAACTTTGGTGGATAGTTGTCTCATTGGTAATCATACCACATCTCCTTATTTTTATATAGAATGATTTTGTCAAAGAAAAATTCATTTCTTAAAAAAAATTTGCAATTTTATACATTTATTAACATCTTCAACTGTGCATTAACTTTCATATATAATTATATGCCTTGAAATCTTTCTTGTGTTTTATTTAAGTTGAAGGGTGTAGTATAGTATTAGATTTACATGAACATCACAAGAAATATTATAATAGCCAAAATTTATAGATATAGACTATAAAGACTATCATATCACAGAATAATTGTCAATTTTGTGATTTAGATATATAAGTACGGGGAGTGGTTTTCCATATAAGAAAAACATTGTATGTCTTTTAAAATCAATTTAACAGATGTGAAGTAGCTTAAAAAATAACCAAAAATAGCAACAACAAAAACATTGAGTATTTTTTTAACTCTGTTTTTTGTCCATTTAAAATTAAGATTTTTTTTACATTTTGAAGATTATTTTTAGTTTTTTACTTAGACATTTAATTAAAGGACCAATAGCTCTTTAAATTTTTCAAATTTTATTATATGAAATATTTTATAACTGTTGAGATGTGTTGTTTTTTTCAGAAAAGAGTAGATCAGAATTGCAAGAAATTCCTAAGGTATGACACTCTTATTTAATGTTTGATAAAATACATATATTAGTACACATCTTTTTCTTAATCAGTCTTGGTATTTGCCTAAGACTCCCATGTCAGCATTAGGCATAAACAAATGGTTCATCATGTTGTAAAGAGATGATATTTGTATACATAGAGAATGATGTATCATAATCTGTATGCAATACATTATGGATTATATGCCATGACAACACATGAGATGCACTTGATTTTGGGTATTTCAAGGGGAGGGGGGCTTGAATGGCGTTTTCTACTCCTTGCCATTTCTTATGGGCTAAAATATCATTTTAATTCTAAATCTATGATAAATTAATTTATTAAATGTTCCTTGTAGAAGTTCATAAAAGTTACGGAAAGCAAACAAAAATCATTGAATTACTGTAAATTCAGAAATTTAATTATTACGAGGTTTTTATTAATGCGAATAATGCATAATAGTGGATGAAGATCACAATAATAAGAACTCACATTTTGATATCTGATACTTATATCTGTATGCAAGTTTTCCTGAAATTTTTAAAGCTAATTTTTCAATTGTAAAGTTGGCAAAAACTCATGAAAACAACAATTCTTGCCAATACGAAAATACAGATGACTGATAACTAATTTGTATATACTGTCTGATTGATATATTTCATTTTACACATTTCAATATAGTTGTGTATATCTATTTCTCTAATTCTTCGTCAATTTATCCCTTTCTGCACCCATTGTATAAAAAAATTTAATCAACGTGGGGTTCGTTTGATCTCAGTTCTTCATCGGTTAAAATCCGATTATGACGTTGAATTTACTTGCTTTCCTCTGAATTTCCTATTGTGACGGCATGAAAAAAGGCGACCATGCCTGATGACGTCACATAGGAAGAACACATCTTTTACAGATCATTCGAAAAGACGAAATAAGTTTGCCTGCATATTGTTTGAAAATCATTAGAGAAACAGATTCCACCACCAAATCTTGTGTAATACAATATTTATCAACTCTCGACAGTTAAATTTTAAATATTTAAAACACTCGGCAAGCCTTGCGTTTTAAATTTGAAAATTTAACTGTCTCGAGTGGATAAATATCGTATCACACTCGATGCAGTGGCAGAATCTATATTTATGTTTATGTTTTGTTTCAGCTTTACCTGTTACAAAATTTTGATTTGGAACACACAGATACATTTAATTCTGTATTTCCATGGTCTATGATTGAAGATTCTAAAAAGTCTTCACCTGGTCACCAGTCTTCAAAGTTATTACAAGAAAAGGTAATATTTTTATATGATATATTTTCAGACATTTATACAACCAATTTAGAAAGGTGATCATGGATTTCTTCTAACATTTTGGAATTTAAACAATCTATTTTCTCATAGAAAAAAAATGTCAAAAGTGCCCAGTTCTGACTTCTGCTAAAATTCATATAAATGTATACAGATAGTTTGACATGTCATAAATACTTTAATAAGAGGGCATTAAGTGAACAAAGAAATACATATGACATTGTACTATACATATATTTGGCATGTATATTATTAATAAAGAATTGTCTTCTATGCATTATATTATTATATGGTTTCTAAAAAGTGTGACTCTCGTGGAGTAAAAAACTTCCTCAAATATTCATCATGGTCCGTGAATTAGTATTAAAAAAGATATTTTGCAAAATTGTATGCAGTATTAGGTTATTGCTCCTATAGCCATTATTTAATATCATTAATAGAAGTGACACTGTTGATAAAGATTTTAAAAATAAATGTTCAAACTGTTTCTGTTGTTTCTTTTTAGCTAAGTCATTATTTAGATATAATAGAAGTTCATATAGCCAGACAGATATCTACAAAGTCTGATGCCTTCTTTCAAGCTATGTCATCTCATGATAAACTACAAGAAGATATGATGAAAACTTGTCAGTCTATCAAACAACTCAGGTATGAAGTTTATTATATTAATGCTTTAGGATATAATAGGTATGTCTTGCAATATGGGAGACTGGAATGAAAGGCAGGAAATTTAGAACGCTATTTGAAAATGGGGGTACATTGGATAGATACTAAAATGTAGGATTGAAACAGGCCACCTACGGACCCTTCAAAGAGTTGTTGCAAGGGTTCTCAAAGTGCATTGAGTGTGGCACTCTCTATTCATGATGCATCAAATTTAACATAGCAATTCTGACCTGACATGACTGCGAATTTATATTCCCACACAGCCAATCGGAGGCTCCACTTTCGCAAGGATTTTACTTCCGATCAGAAGACCAAGGGATGACCATATTTCTATCACGCAGTCAAACCTGGGGTTTTTCTCATGAACAGATTTATTATTTATGTTTCATGATTTACTAATTCTTCATTATTTTTTAGTTTTATATCCCACTACTGAATGGTCAGCATATAATGTTAACCATGTCTGGCCTTTCCATCATTCTGGAATCAAACAGTTGTCTGGACTTTTATAGTAATGCCAGCATATGTAGATCTCATTTTTTGTTCATAAGTTTAAATGATGCATTTGCGTTTCATTCTGGTTGACCAACCATTCACAGAATTATGACCGTTGAGCTTAGAAAATTTCATGAATTTGTTTTTCTGGACTTTTTGCGTTACTTGCTTATCTGGAGCTAATTTTTGTAACATTAGAGGATAATGATCACTTTAAAATCAGTTTATATTTTGTTCCAGTTGAAATGCTTTATGGTGCTTGCATTTTAAAAATTTCATGAAAATTGTGCTAGTCCATAATTGTTTTTGTAATGCTTGCAAATCTAGAACGAATATTTTGTAAATTGTTGTATAATGATGACTTACAAATTCATATTGCATTTCGTTCTAGTTAACTGAATTATTGTGATAAGGCTACAGACATGGGCCATTGTGTTGTACTCACACATCAACTGAATTATTGTGATAAGGCTACAGACACAGGCCATTGTGTTGTACTCACACATCGACTGAATTATTGTGATAAGGCTACAGACATGGGCCATCTTGTTGTACTCACACGTCTAGTTCATGTATTTCCAGTCTATCAAACAGATGAATTGTTAGTTTTCTGTAAAGTGTTTTGTAGTCTGCTGCTGGTCTATTTATCTGTTTCCTTACACATAGTGTTGCTTGTTCATCTTTGACTTTTGATCTTTAACCCCCTCTCACCTTTTGTTTTCTTCTAACTATTGTTTTCATGATTATTTTAAAAAGCTACATAGTTTATTATGCAAAAGTCTGGAAATGCCTTGGTTATTTATGAGTTGTGTAAACATAACAAAACATAAATATGTCATCTGTTATATTGTACATTTACAAACAATTGATATCTATATTTGATGGTTTATCTTCGGTTGATAAACTTGTTTAAGATATAAAATGTGTTTATTGACATTGAAAAGTCATGATAAAAACATATCTATATACATACATGCATAGTGTAGATTCACTGAAAAAAAATTAATTCGGCATCATGGATACACATTTATGGGATCAGATTCTTATTAAATATGATAATTGGAGGTATTATGTTTCTGCAAATATATTTAACTTTTATGAAGAACAGTAATTGCAGTAGAAAACATTTAAATTACATGTTTTTTTTCACAATAATTGCTGTGTATATTGAAAAATTGATAATTCACAAGCAAGGTGGAATGATGATTAATGAGCACTTGTAGTAATGGAAATACATTTTTAACAGGCATAAAGTACAGCAGATAGATGAAGTGTTAGCCAGAGGATCACTAAAAGTAATTAAATTACAGCAGGCAAGAAAAAACTATGTAGAGTTGTATAGTAAGGTATGGATTTCTTGTCTTTATAAGTCCTTAAGTTTTTAATATGCAAAGTTTTAAAAATTTTTATGCATTTGATTTTAACATATTTTACAGTAGTTCTGTACTATTTTTTTGCTGTTGCCTATACTTGAAAGTAAGATTATGACAGTGTTGTTCAATATGGTTACAGTTGACAAAATTACCAAATTCAACAACTTGAGGTTATTGAATTCACCAACATATAAATGAACTTACAATAACAAAGATCACAATGAAGAACATAGAAAATTCATTTTTTTACCAAGATTAAATTTAATGAAGTTGAAGTGAAAAAAATTCTTAGCAATTTTTTTTCAATAACTCAGTAGTTTTGTCTTACTTAGTTGTAAATCTTGCCTTTCAGACTGTTTTATATGCACATGAAATAACATGAATACATACTAATGCCAATGGTGATTTATGTTCTGATAATGGTGTCCTCATATCATAATTCATGTGTCAAAGAAGCCACGCTTAGACCTGAAGCAAGTGATTCTATCTTTAAATGTCCTACCAGTACTTTTCTGCTTTGATATGGTTACTGTCAGCTGATATAGCATTTAAAATATAGTTTGTTAAAGACTTTAATGTGTCTCACTTCTTTATTGAAAAATAATATTTAGTTAATAAAATCTTTGTTAATATCCTTCAACATACCTTTCAATGTGTTGAATAAGAACTCATTTGAGCAAATCAGTACTGTATTAATTTATGTTTATCTGTTATATTAACTGGATGATGTTTTATACAGTTGAAGATGATGGCTACGGTACACCAAACCCAGCCTACAATCCAGTTGCTGTTATCAACAAATGAGTTTGTAGGAGCCTTAGATTTAATATCCACAACACAAGAAGTGTTATCACAGGAACTTCCTGGGGTTCATAGTTTCAGGTGAGTAAATCTTTAAGGTTACCGACCGTGCAAAGGCTGTATAGCCAGTCAAGGTCGTTAAAAACTTCCATTTGTCTTTAAGGTTACAGAAAATTTTTCTTACTGTTCAACTAAGTATTGAAAATTGTTATATTATTTAACTTCTTCTTATGAACCTTAATTTGGAAAAATAAGAATACTACTAAGATTTTACTCTTGGTTAACTTAGTTAACACAAGTTAAATGAGCAATTGGTACATAGAAACTACCTTGTATGAACCTAATACCGTAGTGTAAACCATCAATTGATTATGAATCTTACTGATTTTCAATTATTTATTCCATGCATTGTATAATTATTACTCCCTTCAGGAGTTTTTTTTTATATTTTTTTAAAATACAATCAGTTAAATTTTACTCAGATTAGTTAATATTTACAAAAGAAGGAAATAGAGCAGTGTACAAAAAGGAAATCAGGGCTAGATACAGGTAGTTGAAATGCAAAAAGTCCTTTAGTACAAATATTTCTTATTATTTATAAACATCAATTTTAGACATTTGGGATCACAGTTAGCAGAAATGGAAAATCTTATAGAGAAAATGTTACAAGAAGACTTTGCTAAATGTATAGCATCAGATTTAAATAGACCAGTCTCAGATACCATTCCATTGTTAGAAGAGGTAATTATTTGGACTTTTTTCAGGGTGTATATTAATTAATTGATATTGATGGAAAGTATTTACAAAACATATTGATAAGGTTTGTAATTTTCATATTTTTTGTTGAATTCACGGATGTTTTGTTGAAAATAATGTGGTTTTTGCTCCAAAATATAATATATTGCCAAATTTTAGTTTTTAAATGAATATCAGTGTCGAATTTTTCTGAAAATTTTTTTTGGAAGGGCAGTGTTACATTGATTTTAAATATCAGAATACCTCAAAATGGTGTGTCCTGTAACAGGTTAAATTCATAAATGTGAAATTGGATATTAAAGAAATACTGAATGTATTGTATATATAAAATGAATACATATGAAGAACATGAAGAAGGTTAAAAAGAAAAAAAAAATTTCATGTAAGGTACATATTAAAAAAACAAGAAAGTTATCAGAAGGTCACCCTTTAAGAACATGTTTACACCTCAGAGAAACCTCATGATCATATCTTAGAATTGCACAGATATGATAAAACAATTAAATTGAAATATCATAGCAACAAGATTAAGCCAAAGACCAATAATTACAGATTATTTTGTCAAAGCTGAACAACAATTACGTCATTGATCTTTTTTGTCGTGAAGTTAATTAAAAAAACCAAATAAAATAGTAATGTTATGTTTATTTGGAATAAACAAGTTTACAGAAGAGGTCAGCAGTGACAACTTACAAAATAAAGAACTGCAACACTCAAACCAACATATGATGAAGACATAATCTTTCAATCAGTTTAATTGAGGTCTGGAGCTGGCATGTCAGTAACTGCTAGTAGTCCTTTGTTAATTTATGTATTATTGTCATTTTGCTTAGTTTCTTTTGTTACCTATTCTGACATCGGACTCGGACTTCTCTTGAACTGAGTTTTACTGTGCGTATTGCTATGTGTTTCTTTATTCTACATTGGCTAGAGGTATAGGGGGAGGGTTGAGATCTCACAAAACATGTTTAACCCGCATTTTTGCGCCTGTCCCAAGTCAGGAGCCTCTGTCCTTTATTAGTCTTGTATTTTTTTTTAATTTTAGTTCCTTTATATGTTATGGAGTTTAGTGTGATGTCCATTTTTACTGAACCAGTACACAATTTTATTTAGGGGCCAGTTGAGGACCACCTCGGGGTGCAGGATTTTCTCGCTTCGTTGAAGACCCATTGGTGGCCTTCGGCTGTTATCTGCTCTTTGGTCGGGTTGTTGTCTCTTTGACATATTCCTCATTTCCATTCTCAATTTTATGCAGGAGTAATTATGCAACTGATTTTTTGAAACTTATTTGTGATTATTTTTTTTACAGGAAAAGCTAGTGTCATTAGTATTTGGTATGATTAGGAAAGACAAGTTTAATTTTGTGGACATGTATAGAGAAGAAGCCTTTACAGCTATTAGAGCTTGTGTCAAACAGGTACATAGTGTTCTCCAATTTACAGTATATTCTAATTGGTAGAGTAGATTGTCTAAAATGGCCATATGTAGTCCATTCATTATTAAGTTTTATGGATCTATCAGTAAATCTCTTTCACCATGTTCCTACAAAGTTAGACTATTAGATGTAAATAAAAATAACAAATTTTATCTTTGCATCACAAATTTACTTTAAACCTTTAATCTTTCTGGATTTAAAGAAAAACCACTTAAACTGCAGAAAATTGCTTCATTTTTATACCTTCACATTCATATTTAATAATGAGCAATTAACTTATCCGGAAAAGACACAATATTTTTGGAATAGTAATTGAAATATCTTTGACATCCTTATTGTGGAAAATTTTGTATCCAACAAACCTTGCTGGTATTTTTTTAAGATTTTTTTTCTTAACTTTCACCAATGTTGTACTGTTAAAAACAATTTCAAGTATATTAGGAGGTCCTAAGGAACTAAATATTTAAAAATGCCATTAGAAATATATTTAGAACATGTAGAATGACTGATTTATTTCCAGACTGTGGTAGAAGCTGTGTCAGAGGCAGATAATGTAGAAACTTCAGACGACAATGTTACTAGGTAGGTTTTATACATTAAGTTCATGACTTACAATGTTATGGTCAAAGATCAAATTGATGTAAGTGTTTCATTTCAGGACTTTATTAATAAATTTGTTATTATTTTTATAACTTTGCTATTTTTTTAAAAAATGTTTTCAATCAAGAGTTTATAAGGACATGAATTGTGTAGAACAATCCCATGCACAAACAATATTCACAGATGCAGTGTATTTATTCTTGTGTTTCTCTACTGATTGACCTTATTTTTATAAGACTTTATATCCCTGAAACTAGCATAATTTTGTTAAAATTTGGCAAATCTCTCATATGACTATACCTTTATAATTTTTCCTTGAAGACTGTTTATGATGTTTTGAAATTCTGATTTATCATTTAGTATGTAGGGAATTTACAAGACCAAATAAGCTGCAGAAAAATGTTCCTTTATATTTTTTCCTGAGCAAATTGTTCTAAACATGGTTTGTTTACTTTATTTGAAGAGTTTTATTTCTGACAGTTGTTTTAACACAATATTTTATATACAAATGTATATGTCAAATAAAAGTTTGTCTTTTCTATTGTTTTTGGTTGTATTTGATTGGTATTACTTACAAATAGTTTGTATTTGAATTTTCCAGTCTTGGAGACCAAATGAGAATGTTGGATTATAACCAGTGGATGGAGTTACTCTGTAAAATATTCTCCAATCTCCTTATTCTCTTAAAGAGAGGTCAGGTAAGTTCATATCTTACTACAAACACATTGATTGTTTAATGTTGGTTGGAATCACTACCCCTCAATTGCCTGAATAATATTTATTGGTAGGTTGCCATATTACCTGCAGACAGTTGGCTTATAAGGCTGCATATTCAAAATTTTTGTATTGTAGAGGTCCATTACAAAGCAGGCTTCAAAATCGTGTCGCACTATAAGCACAATATTTATAGAGGAATAATACCATATCATTGAAAAACGACAAAAAATATTAGCCAGCATGTTTATATGACCATCAAAACTTGGAAAATCAGCATGAAAAATTTGTAGTATAACATAGAATACAGTGCAATATAGATGACTGTAAAAATGTTTTTTTTTTTAAATGATTGAATGGATAATATTTAAAGCAAAATCTTTGAAGCAAACAACAAAAAATAAATGTATACAACAACAAAAAATAAATGCACACAACAACAAAACTTTAAGAAGTGAACCAATCAAAAATAGTGTTTTAAAACTAATAAAGAGAATTTCTGTTTTCAGACATTCCAAGGTGTAATAGGCGATGTGATAGGGATCACGGCAGGTAGAACTAAGGCCCCTAGTCCTGTCTCAACACCCACAGAAGATAAAGAATGTACCCTAGAAGAACCATCACATCTCCATGTTTCTGTGTAAGTACAGTATATAAATAACATAGAATTTTTTTGAAAGATGTCACATGCTTATATAGCACACATCCACAATTTGTTAATCAGAAAAATATTAACACCCCATGTTAAGCCTTGCATTTCCATTTAGTATATTAGTTTGTGCCTAAAACATTATTCAATTTAATATTTTATTTCAGCAGGATTTGATATTATATTCCTGCAGGAAAAACTACAAAATGATCAGAGAGCTTCCAATATTCCATTACAGTAAAAGTTTTCATGTTAAAGTCAAACCTTTGGGTACCTGATAATTATGTTTTTTTTTATTTTTTTCAATTTTCAAATGAAACAGAAAGTCAATCATTGGAAATAATGGTAAGAAAATTTTTTATACAACAAATACAACAACTGCAGATGCTTTATACTAACACCAATCTTACTTCTGCAATGAATTGAAATATTTCACAGGTTGCTCAGGTAAAAATAACAAATTTATACTGTAACTTAAAAAGGTATTCAAAGCCCATTGTCTTTTTTCTGAGAGATAAAAGCCTTTGCATAAGCCTAATTATATAATTTTTAACTACCTACAAACCCTACTGTAAATCCAAAAAATTTTGCCACATTTTTATTATTTCCAAACAATTCCAATGGATAGGTTTTGCAAAATTATATATGCATTTTATATTTTAGTACCATTATTTGAATTCAGCATTTCATGAAATCGTAATAATTTTAAATATCCCATTTTTTTGTTCATTGGTCAAAAATTGCAATAATTAATGCATGCAAAAATTTATGAACTTACAGTAGCTCATTTGCATATGATTAAGTTAATAGTCAAGTATCATATTGTAGGAGTGAAGATGCAGCAGACATGTTGATATCAGATGATGATTATTCCAGAGTACAAAGCAGTCTGTGTGATATGATGTATGCTATCTGTGATCATGCACATGACCGATGTGTCAAGGTCATAGTGGCAAGGTCAAAGGTTAGTATTTCACACGTTTCTGGTAAATGGATAATATTAAAGTAAAGAATTCACTTTTAAAAACATTTGATTAAGAATAATTATATAGATATAAGAAGATGTGGTATGAGTGCGAATGAGACAACTCTCCATCAACTGTCAGTAAACCAATACATAACTACACTTATATGCTTCAGTGCACAGATATAATGTTATCACATTGGGTGCAATGAATGACTGATTTCCCAGTGAAATAAAAACCGATAATTTCACATGTGAAATAAATCCGATGATTTCACTCCTCGACATCATACAACAATGGGTGTTGTCAAGACATTGGCGATAATGTTGCATCAAAACAAATTGGAAATGCGTAGAAAAAGATATAGTTCCTTGTATTTTATACTTTATTTCCATTAAAAACTCCATGGTCAATGTAATAAAAAGAATAACTAATCTAATAATTCAAATATGTAAAAATGTTAAACTCTCGACCAAACAACACTGATAATAAACTCATGCGCTTAGTGCATTTGTGAAATAATGTATTGTTTGGTCAGTCGTTGAATAATTTTCGATATTTGAATTCTTTGATTAGCTGTTCAATGATTATTAACATCTAGCAAACAACATGCAGTAAAATTTAACCTTTTCCTTTTTGTGAAGGATTCACTGTGACAAAGAGATGAAAAACAGCTATAAAAGCCTTGTTTCTTTGTTTAAGCTTTTGTGTATAGAGATTTTGTGTTATGGAATACAACTCGTACCTTTTTCCATTTTACAAATATCAAATATAGCTACAGAAATGCAAAAATGTTTTTACTTTTTAACCTTTTGAATATTGAATACCATAAGATTTCACCTTTGACCTCAAACAGTTCTGGGGAAAAGTGTGCTTTAGTTCATTAAAGCAAAACTTGTTACATCTTAAAGTCAAAACCATTCAAAATATGCAGATATCTACCGGTATGATTCATACTCCAGAGTTACAAATGTACTTCATGACTTTGTAAAAATTTTAACAATTTATTAATATATAGAGAAGGGTGAGTAAAGAATGTGAAAAATTAATTTTTGTTTATTTTTTTATTTTTTTTATATTTTTCATGTTTCATAGGGGACAAAATTACCATAAATTACACAAGATCATTTCTATTGTGACCACATTTGGTGATATAGCATTTTAATCAAATTCTAGCATTGTATCATCATGGGTATTAATTAAGATTTACATAGCTTTCTTAAACTTAAAGATTACATATCAGCATATTTGAATAAAACATTGGTGTATCTTACACTTGTTTTTATATCTGTTCTCTGTTTAAATTTAAAATTCATAAATGACAAAAAAGTCTCCTGCATGATATATAATGGCAGCTGAAACCATGCATCTATTAACCAATTTTATTGCAATTCAATTTTTAGAACAGTTTTAGAAAATATCAGATTTTGAAATTAAAATTGCTTAGATGGAGTTTATATAAAGTCCCTGAGCTGTTTCACCTGTAAACAATTGCTCAAAGTTCTTGAGAGAAAATTTATATTGAACAAACCAGTTGCAAGAAAATTGTTTAAATTAAGTATGCTTTTAGTTGTAATTGGTATCTTTTTTGATTTGATATAAGAGAATCAACTAATGATAATTTGAAAACAGCTAGTACTGAAATATTTCAGTCATAGAAATTCCTATTACATTAAACAATATTTTGGTTGACTCTTGTTCCCTTAAACTGAACCCTTAATTTGGTATCTATTTTCAGAAATAATGTAATGTAATCTACAAATAGTGAATAAAAGTATATTTTTATTTCCATAAATCACAGTTTGAAAATTTTCTATTTGTCTGTGACAAACTAAAAAAGATTAATTTTGTGTTGAGCAGTTGTTATAAATAGTATTTGTATTCCAAAAAATAGATGATCCTTTTTATCCTTTTATTTTGAGTATTGGCCATGCATAGTACTTGGATTATAACTTATGCTAAATATTATCAGGTATTATTTAATATATAATATGTATGTTTATAATAATTATGTAAACATTTAAGGTCCAATTTAATTTTGCACAGCTATATATTTTGCACATTATGAAGTTGTGATACATTCTTGTAATATGATGATACTGAAAACAATTTTATTTTAGCTCTATGCTAATTATTTGAAAATTTTCGCATCTATCTTTAATATATCCATTTATGTTTACTGGTTTGAAATCCTCTCAAGTGTTATATATAATTATTTTTACATTTTTATCAAATTCCAAGTAACATGCAGGGAAGGATTGAGTTCAAGTGAAATTTTTTTTTTTTTTTTTGCAGGATGGCTTTTTAGAGAGATTATCTTCTACCGAATTTGTTCAATTATCCAGAACTGTAGAAAATTTTGTAACTGATTGTGAATTTACATGTGGTAGGAGGAGTACATCATTACGACTAAGTTTACAGTCACAGGTGAGCTCTGAACATAGAATGTTACATGTTAAATTTGTCCCCAAGAACTCCATGAAAAAATATGAGAACAAATAGTAATTAGAACATTCATATGAAGTGGTGCCATCTTAGCAAAAAGTAATCATCCTTTGTTTTAATGTTTATGTTTTAGAACTTTTCTTTTTAATTCTGTGAAAATGAAATATGACTACATTTATTGTACAATTTATATGAATGAATTGTCATGTGAAATATGCTTAGAAATAGAAAAAAATAGTACATCATTAAAAGTGGATGTGACAAATTTGTTTTTATACCAGATTGTTTATGATATGTTATATCTTTAACAGGCAACAAAGTTTGTAAACAGATTTCATGAAGAAAGAAGACAAAAATTAAGGTAATTGCCAGAAAATGATATAAGCACATTTTTAAAGTTATAGGTAAAATGTATATATATATATATATATGTAATTAGTAAAAGTTGCATGCATTTGTACTTGGAATCTTAAAAAAATATGATATTTTCAAAATTGTATTCATTAGCATAGACATTCAGTTGAAATGGGTACATTTGATAAGATGCCTTTTGTTGGCAGATAACAATTCTTTGAGGTGTCAGTAGTCTAAATTCCTGCTACTTATCAAAGTAGACTTTTTCCCTGAGGTAGTCCAAATTGGAATGCTCTATCAACATCAACCCTATTTGTGTATCCTACTTATTTGATATCTTGTTTAATTTGTATTGTTCCTAACATGCATGAAATATTTGCAGCTGAAAATAAACATCCAACAATCCATAATTTGTTGGCAAAGAATTTGTCAGTACAAATTGGTTCAGATTCTCAAGAGATTTTTATTAAATGTGAACAAAATCTTGTTTTATGTTGTTGGCAGGGTAAAAAAATCTTAACAAATTTTAGAATAATCTCTTGTAATCAGGATTTCACTCTTCTTTTTACGCATATCAGTTTTGTTAATAAGATTATTAAGTTGAGCTATGTAAAATAAGGAGATGTGGTATGATTGTCAATGAGACAACTATCCATTAAAGACCAAACAACATAGATGTTATCAACTAAAGGTCACAATATGGCCTTCAACCATGAGCAAAACCCACACCGCATAGCAGCTATAAAAGACCCCATCATGACAAAATGTAAAATATTTAATTCAAACAAGAAAACAAAAAGCCTAATTTATGTACAATACAATTAGCGAAAAAGAAAAATTATATAAAGCAACAAATGACAACTTCTTCCTTACCTAGGACAATGGTGTAACAGCTCAACATAAGAACAAACTATAAAAATAAGTATTTGCTTAAATTTAGAAAAAATATATGTGTTTTTTTGTTTTTTTTTTTAAGTTTGATATTAGACAATGAAAGATGGAAGCAAGCAGATGTTCCTGCAGAGTTCCAAGAACTAGTGGACCACATTACAAAATCAGGTAATATACAAATATTTTGATGTACCAATCAAAAATGTATTGCACCTGGGGTACATTCTGGTATAAAAAATAAGGAGATGTAGTATGATTGCCAATGAAATACTTATCCACTAAACCCCAAAGGACAAAACTTGGTTTGGTTATTTCTGAATAACTGAAAGATTATTTACAATGATGCTGATTCTCTTTAACACACTTTAGGAAGGATGAAAGTTAAATTTCTGTACATTTCAATCAGTAATTCACAAATTCAATTATTTAACTTCATTAACCTTCATATTCCAAGTATTAAAGTAAAAGAATAGAGATGTTGAGACTTAGACAATATCTATTTGTTTGTTGTATGTTATATATAATAAAGAGCTGCGCCATGAGCGCATGATATGCACATCGCTTATTTAAAGAATAAAGTTCCATAATTCCTCAATGTCATATCATAAATTTATAAAAATTAAAGGGAGCTTATTTTAATAGATATAAACTAGTCACTAAAGTTTCATGAAAACTGCTCAAAGCATTTTTGAGTTATTGTCCGAAAACTGGAAACCCCCACTTTTTATGAGTAAAATCCTATATTTCGGAAACTTGAAATCTAATTTTATAAAAATTGAAAGGGAGCTTACGTCAATACATATAAACAATTCACCAAAGTTTCATGAAAATTTGTTAAAGCGTTTTTGAGTTAATGACCGACATGTTGAAGACGAATGGACAGACAGACGGACGGATTTTATGCATCACTGTGTTTTGTGGATTTAATTTCATCAGGATAACTAAGTAAAAACATCAAATTTGAAAGCCTAGGATGCATAAGTACAGAAATACATAAAGAGTTATATCTGAAGTAGGTACATAAAAATTAAAGCCAAATCCATCAAAGTGAATGATATTAAGATTTAGGAATACATGTTTTTCATAAAGTTTATTGTATATTTAGAATTTGTGTATACAAAGCATTTTCATTGTCATATACAAAAGTGTATATTTGTGATAACCTCATTTTCTTTAAATTTCAATCAAGGAACAATCTGCATTCCTGAGAGAACACAAGATAAAGGTAAATATGATTTTTTATATGAAGATTATAATTGTTACTAGAAAACCACATTTCACAAAAGATCTAAAGACTAATACTCATTATTTCTCATGATTTATTTTTTGTCATGAAAAGCCTGTAAAAATTGTCTATTTGCTAGATATTTTTAAAGAAATATATCAAGATTAGTGTGTATATGTTGAATAGATTGAGATCATTCAGTTAGTTTCGTATTTGAATGAATACAAGTGTATAAAAACCTTCTATTTCTAATTTTACCAATAGGAGTTCATAAATGAAATACTCATGACCCATGAAATAATTCTACATCACAAATAAATTTTATCACATATGATTTTATAAAACAAATATGCAGAAATTGGCTTCAAAAAGTATGATTTACTTAAAAAACAATGTAAATGAATATTTTCAGACAAAAAACCATCTGAATCACTGAAAGTAGAAGAACAAAACTTTACTGTTGTTGGGTATGTATAAACATTCTGTGAAATATCTGACATTGATGATACATCTGATATTTCGTAACTTTATTATCATGATTATATTACTTATTTATGATATACTGCTATTCTGTTATATGATACAACATTGTTTAACACAATTTTTAGTACATTATCATCTTTAAGTTCTTATGTCTAAGCCACATGATGAGATATAAATATTTAATTGTTACAATTATCTATTATTAATAAAACAATTTTGCAACATTTGGATCAATTTAACATATGAATTTCTGCTTGAGTGGCTTGTTCCAAGTTTTATGTAAAAAGTAAAATAACAATAATAACATAAATTCAAATGGAAATTCCTTTATCAAATGGCAAAATCAAAAGCTCAAACACATCAAATGAATGGAAAACAATTGTCATATTCCTGACTTGGTACAGCCATTTCCTTATGTAGAAAATGGTGGATTAAACCAAGGCTTCCAAAACGGTCATATATTCCGGACATTTGTATAATGGTTTAATTTGTTTAATCAACCTGGTTTTATAGCTAGCTAAAACACTGTTCTTGAACAGCAGGGTTATTATAACCATCATTTTATGGTATGTGACTCTAAGCTGTATATGGATAAAAGAAAATGTTGGGTATAGGCCAAGGAGATACAAACAACCGATATACATCTAATCTGAGTAATAACTTTATTTTGAGGGGACTGCATATGTATCTTATATACTGTAAATTCAGAAATTATTGCGATTTTTTATTATTGCGAAAAATGCGACAGGGTTATAATCGCAATAATCATAACTGGCATTTTGAAATTTTTTATATGAATTAAACAGGATTTTTCTCAATATCGCAAAAATTGAAATTGCATTTTAGTCTATAATGACAAAATTGCAATAATAAATACACGCAATAATTTCTGAATTTACAGTACACAGTCCATTAAAAAAAAACATAAGTCTTCATAAACAGGTTTTCACCAATCCTTGAGAGTACTTCTAAAAAAAAGTATTTAAGAGTTTATTTAAGTCTACCCATCAAAGAAAACATTTAAACTGTTGAAAAACATGTATTGGTATTGATAGTGAATAAAATGAAGTTATAAAGTATAGCTGGAGAGGGTAATAAAATTACAGATGTTTTTTTTTTTTATTTAAGACTGTATAATTTGATATTAAACATATACTGATTATTTACAGCACTGTGTTACTATTGTTAAAGATGATGGTAGAATATTGTCAATGTGTAGACGACATTCCATCAGCTGCTCCAGATTTACTCACAAGACTTGTTGATTTATTAAAAGTAAGTAATATGACAATACTGCTTCACATAAAAATATTTACATGAAGGGAGATCAATAATAAATGTGTACCCTTTGGCAGCAGAAAAGTTTAAGAATCTAAAAAGCACCTTTTTGTGTAGACTTAATATATTTGTTCCTTGAGCTTTCGTATGAATGTATTGTAGTCTAGTATGTTTTTAACCGGATTTTTGAAGGAAATATCGGTTATTAAAATGGTTATATATGGTGGGCGGCTCTGGCGGCTGCCAAACAGCGTCCGCACAATAACATGAAAACACTTCAACAAATTTTTTTCAAATTTATATATGTTGTTTCCTGGGACTTAATGAAGGTCTCTATTAATTTTCAAGATTTTAGTATATCTCCTTTGTGAGTTATCGCCATTTTTAATATCCAAAAGTAGAATTTTTAAATATTTTACTGTTGTTATCTTTTTATGATTTGTCTTATCTCAGAATAAAAATTGGAGTGACAGATTTATTTGAAAATTATCTATTTACTAAGTGGTAATGATTATAAGCTATATCATTAGACATTTTGAAGATTATTACGTTATTAATTATGTTAGAGTACTATGTTAAACAACCATAGTTCTGTTCAATTAGATATTATAAATATTTCAGCTTATGATAATGATTTATTTTCATTATTAATTAGATCTTTGAAATATTTTAGCATATGATAATCATTGGAGTGACAGATTTATTTGAAAATTTACTGTTTTCTGATTGAAATATAGGGGAAGTCCATTGGGGTAACCCCTACCCCCTTTTTTTTTATAACTTGTAAACGGTCAAGATTCCCACCCAGAAACCATATATATTCTTGTGTGGGACAATATATCAAATCAAATGAAATTTAGGGGAAGTCCACTGGGGTAAACCCTACCCCCTTCTTTTTAAAAACTTGTAAAATGTTGAGATTCCCACCCCTAAACCATATATGTACTTGTATGGGACAATAAATTAAAGCAAATTAAATTAGGGGAAGTCCCCTGGGGTAACCCCTACTCTCCTTTTTTTTGAAAACTTGTAAATGGTCAAGATCTCCACGGCGAAACCATATATATTCTTGTATGTTACAATAAAACAAATGAAATGAAATAAAAGGTGAGTTCCTTGGGGTCATTCCCACCTTCTTCCTGTTTAAGATTTTGTAAATGGTTGAGATCCCCGCCCCTAAACCATATGTATCCGTGTATGGGACAAAAAAACAAATCATATGAAATAAAGGGCAGGTCCCCTGGGAAAATTAATCAGTTTGTGTATGTTATATTTGAACATAAATTAAATATATATAGGGTTCTTTAAGTGCTGAATCTAAACTTGTTTTTAATTAGATAATAATCTATTTTTATTATGAGATAAAGTTTTTGACATTGATAGATAAGTTGCAGATCTGTATTATTTTTTGACACATGAAAGAAACAAGAAGTATTTTGCTGGTTTTTTATTGGTTTATGTAAATAAGTTTGAGTTATTTGATTTGAAAAGTGATGTGTTTTTTTTTACTGGTTTATGGAAATAAGTTTGAGTTATTTGTTTTGAAAAGTGATGTGTTTAATTGATAGATATAAAATCATATCTAATTTTAGAGATTTATGAGTGGTTAAGTCATATCTAATTTTAGAGAATTATTTTGGTGTTTTGTTACTGGTTCATGGAAATAAATTTGAGTTTTATCTTGTAAATGGTCGAGATCCCCACCCCTAAACCATATATATTCTTGTATGGGACAATAAAACAAATCAAATGAAATATTGGGGGAGTCCCCAGAACCACCCCCACCCCCCTTCTTTTTGAAAACTTGTAAACGGTCAAGATCCCCACCTCGAAACCATATATATTCTTGTATGGGACAATAAAACAAATCAAATGAAATATAAGGAGAGTCCCCTGGGGTCACCCCCACCCCATCCTGTTTGAGAACTTGTAAACGGTCGAGATCCCCACCCCTAAACCATATATTTTCTTGTATGGGACAATAACACTAATCAAATGAAATATAGGGGAAGTCCAGGGGGTCACCCCCACCCCCTTCTTTTTGATAACTTGTAAACGGTCGAGATCCCCACCCCTGAACCATATATATTCTTGAATTGGACATTTAAACAAATCAAATGAAATTAAGGGGAAGTCCCCTGGGGTAACCCCCACCCCCCTTCTTTTTGAAAACTTGTAAATGGTCAAGATCCCCACCCTGAAACCATATATATTTTTGTATGGGACAATAAAACTAATCAAATGAAGTAAAAGGCGAGTCCCCTGGGGTCACCCAAACCCCCTCCTGTTTGAGTACTTGTAAACAGTCAAGATCCCCACCCCTAAACCATATATTTTCTTGTATGGGACAATAACACAAATCAAATGAAAATATAGGTGAAGTCCATGGGGGTCACCCCCACCCCCTTCTTTTTTGAGAACTTGTAAACGGTCGAGATCCCCACCCCTAAACCATATATATTCTTGAATGGGACAATAAAACAAATCAAATGAATTTGAGGGGAAGTCCCCTGGGAAAATCCCCACCCCCTCTTTTTTTTGAAAACTTGTTAACGGTCAAGATACCCACCCGAAACCATATATTTTCTTGTATGGAACAATAAAACAAATCATAGGGGAAGTCCAGGGGGGTCACCCCCACCCCCCTTTTTTTTTTGAAAACTTGTAAACGGTCAAGATCCCCACCCCTAATCCATATATATTCTTGCATGGGACAATAAAACAAATCAAATGAAATATAGGGAAAGTCCATGGGGGTAACCCCCACCCCTTTCTTTTTGATAACTTGTAAATGGTTGAGATCTGCATCCCTAAACCATATATATTCTTGAATTGGACAATAAAACAAATCAAATGAAATTGAGGGAAAATCCCCTGGGGTAACCCCCACCCCCTTCTTTTTGAAAACTTGTAAATGTTGAAGAACCCCAACCCGAAACCATATATATTCTTGTATGGGACAATAAAACAAATCAAATGAAATATAAGGTGAGTCCCCTTGGGTCACCCCACCCCCTCCTGTTTAAGAAACTTGTAAACAGTTGAGCTTTTCATTATTAATAAGATAATACCACATTGAGGTCCAAAGGGTCCTAAATTAAACTTTTGTTTAATTTCATCAAATATTGAATTCTTTGGTTCTTTGATATGCTGATTCTAACAATGTTTGAGTGTTAAATCATATCTAATTTTAGAGAACTTAGCCATCACTGGTTGTTGTTACTATATTATTGATTATAATTTGAAAAATTGCATCATATCTTATTTTAGAGAACTATTTATCCAGTTTGAGTTATTTCCATTTGCACAGATAATATTATGGATAAAATTATCCTGTGTTTCATTTCAACATAAATTAAATATATATATAGGGTTCTTTCAAATGCTGAATTTAACTCTATTTAAATATTAGATTTTTAGGCCCAGTTTTCAAGTTGGTCCAAATCAGGGTCCAAAATTAAACTTTGTTTGATTCAACAAAAATTAAATTTATGGGGCTCTTTGAAATGCTGAATCTAACCATGTATTGAGAGATTTTGGATTGTGGGCTCCTTTATCAAATTGGTCCACATTAAGGTCCAAAGGGCCCTAGATTAAACTTTTGTCTGATTTCATCAAAAATTGAATTCTTGGGGTTCTTTGATATGCTGATTCTAATATGTACTTAGATTGGATATTGGACCATAATAGGTTTTAAATGTCCAATTTCAAATATATCAGTTCTTTGACTACATTCATTTTGTGTCACAAACCTATGATGTGTCAAATATTCAATCACAATCTAAATTCAGAGCTGTTTTAAGTTTAAATGTAGTGTCCATACTTGCTCAACTGTTCAGGGTGAGACCTCTGCAGGAAAATCCGGTTTGCTGTCTCTCTGACAGCCTCTTGTTTAATTTTAGTTCATTTATGTGTTTTGGAGTTTAGTGTGACGTCCATTTTCACTGAACTAGCACACAATTTTATTTAGGGGCCAGCTGAGGACCACCTCCGGGTGCCGGATTTTCTCGCTGCATTGAAGACCCATTGGTGGCCTTCGGCTGTTGTCTGCTCTTTGGTCGGGTTGTTGTCTCTTTGACATATTCCCCATTTCCATTCTCAATTTTATGTATAGTAAGTTGATTTAAATTCTAGAATTAGAAAAATCCAAGTGTATTTCCTTTTGGGGATGCCTTCTTTTTGGATGCAAGGTGCATAAGTACTGTATATTGATCAAAGATGAGTGGAATTGTTGCATCCAGTATCATACACATATCACAGGTGGTACAATAGAAAACTTTGAAGGTATATTTACATATTTAGATTAAAACAATTTACTTACTCAATTATAAACATATGTATTTGCATTAATTTTTCAGATTTTTAACTCAAGAACTTGTCAGTTAGTATTAGGTGCTGGTGCATTACAGTTGGTAGGATTAAAGACAATCTCCACAAGAAATTTAGGTAAGTGCTTGTGAATTGGTGGATACATAAAGTATGTACAAAATTATTGTTTGTGTCTGTCAACATGTCCCTCTTTGAAATTAGTATATTTTTTTTATTTATTTGTATAAAACAAAATCTCTTGATGTCAATTTTTGTCTCGCCTGCAACGAAAGTCGTGGAAAGCCAGACATAATGATTGTTTTTCTGGCAAAGGCGACGATGGCGTCAACAATTGTTAAGTTTTCTGTTTAGTTAGTTTGATAGGAACTACTTGTGATAGATCATTGATATTTAATATAAAGTTGCATAACTATCAGTACATATCAGTTTGTCGACCATTTTCAGGCCCTGCCCACTAGATCATGGTCCAGTGACTTTGAATTAATTAGCAATATTCAATGTTAAGTTTTCTGCTTCGTTAGATTGATAGGAACTACTTACAATTGATAACAATATTTTGTGTAAAGTAACATTACTCTCTGTACATCTCAGTTTGTCAACCATTTTCAGGCCCTGCCCACTAGATCATGGTCCATTTTCAGGCCCTGCCCACTAGATCATGGTCCAGTGACTAAATTAATAGGCAATGTTGCTGTCCATCAGATTGTCTTTTTCTGGATTTTATGCTGATAGGCGAGACATATCTCTGTGTCAACAGTTTATCTAAATCATATTCTTGTAAATGTGGATTCATTTTTGGTTGTTAAGTGGAGTGTAATAAAAGACAGCTTTAATTATGATAATGTTCCTATGGATGATTAGATGTTATGTCTATGACCGTTAAAACTATAACTGTATTTGTATTTAGTTTGCATGGAATTGTTAATTAAGGAGTTTTTTAGATAATTGTTTTGACCAACAAAAAATTAAAATATGACAATCTTCCTATAAAACATAACAGGAGTTTACAATTATTTAAATACTCATTTCACAATGCAAAACACACAAAGCAATTAAAGGCTATATATCCATTACAACAAAACACTACCTCAGGAAATTGTATCCCTAGTCATCTTGTAGACCCTCATTTTGTAATGGTTGAATCAATTTGTGAATATGACTTAAAACTTACATTGCTATTGAGTTGTTTTTTTTTTGCTTTCTAAAATGATAGCTATTTAAAGATTTAAAAACAAAAGGAAAAAACTCTTTCACCCACCAATTATTTCTAGTTATTTTTTACTGCACTACTTTTTACAGTAATAGTGTTTTCAACTGCCATAATATTTCATTTCAGCCTTGGCTTCAAGATGTTTGCAGCTCATAGTATATTTTATGCCAAAAGTCAGACAACATTTTGAAGACAGGCTTATTTCTAAGAATAAAACCATGTTAAAACATTTAGACCAAGCAAATAAGGTATGTACAGTCTAGATTGTAAATATTCCAGGAAGTATATATTTAACATTAGAGCCCATATGTATGGATAGGATAAGCTGTTATCTGAGCTAAAAGTATATGTTGAATAAAATATTTACTTGACTGTTTAGCCATAGTGGCATCTTTTAAGATATATTGCCTGCCAATATTATAATTTTGTTGTTGTTCTAAGAGCAGTTAAGGTCGTCTGACTCCGACAATTACTTATTTTTGAAAGCATTCCAGCAACTATTCAGAAAACAAAGATTACATAACTGTTCTGTAGGTAAAAAAAAAATTATTTGTGAAAAGAGGCAGAAGTACCAAGAGGACATTCAAAACTCATAAGTCAAGGAGAAACTAACAACTCCATAGCAAAAAAAAGAAAGAAGACGAAAAGAGAAACAAGTAAACTAAACACTACATAGAAAACTAAAGGATTAGTGTCAATAAGAAAGCAACCTATCAATAAATTAAAATTGACATGTAGAGGTCATAATATTAATGATACACAGACATCCACTACAAAAAGTAATAAAAAAACATTGCTCAACTCATATTCATCAGCAACATCATTCCTTAAATATTTATGAGTAATTTTACTTTGTCTTATTTTCAGGATTATAATGACCATATCAATGAGATTACAAATAAACTAGTCAGTGTGATGGAGAGTGTCATACAAGCCCAGCTAGTCAGGGTAAATCATTCTTTAAATTGCTGTGATGTTTTAAATATATCTGAAATAAGTATTATCTTCATCAGGCAAGATTTATTTTTTTGTTTGCAGTTATCCTCTTTCTAGGCATATATTCTTTTTATTTCATTTTATTTTTAGGTTACCTGTTTTTCTTTTCAATATAGAATTACACATTCATATTAAGAAATTTTTTTAATGCATTGCATAATGTTTTGCAAGTAATTTCAATTTGAAAAAGACAACAGTGGTCTTTAATCTTTTTCAACATCAAACATGACATGGAAATCAAAATAATGAACATATTGAATGATGATGATGCTTTGACTTAATTAGATGGTTATAGGTCATGTAAGAAGTGTTTGGTTAATTAGATTGTACCTAAATTTTAAATATATGTATTTTCAATTATGTTAAGACTACTATGTTAAGTTTTACTGCTTATTAAATGAATGATCTGTTAATTCAAATATCTAAAAGAATTAAAGAAGCATTAGCTGTCATATTCATCTGCACCGATTTGACCCAAATTCTAATATTTGATTTATAACATACTAAAACATATATTCAAGTTACAAAAAGTCCAAAAGAAACAATTAACAATGCATGGACTTGTTATAATGTATCAGCATTTGGTGCATAGTTTAGACTAAACACCGTCTAATTAATCTTATTTAGAATCTCTTAGTTAAGTGAGAAGTACGTTAGCACAATTTGTTTCATTGTTTAGTGAAATTTATCATGTAGAACAATGAGAATAACTTTGTGTTTTATTTTTTCAGTGGGAGGTGAAAGCACCAATGCCTTCACAGTGTTTTAGAGCAATATGTAAACAGATTAGTAAAATGCATGAAGCTGTGATAGATATTTTACCATTAAATCAAATCCAGGTAATATATATATGTCTTTATCATAAAACCATTAAAGTCAATAGATATTTACATATTAGTTTAAACTCTTAATGCTGATAACCATTGCAGAGTGTTTTATCACTTTATTCAGTAGTTTACAACAAATATTCAAATTTGGAATCTGTCATTAAGATACGAGAAATCTCTGAAGGTCAGCCAACAGTAGAAATCAGTACAGCACAGCTTATTTTAAAAAATCCTCTTGCTCATTTTATTTTGTTGTGTTAAATGGTTCAGATTCTTTTGTTGTGGTAACTGTAATAAAAAATAAATGTCCAAGTTTCTCTTAGAACTGACATCTATTAAAACATTAAGTTTAATATTTTATAATTTCTCTTTTATATTTGACTTCTGATTTACTTTCAGGATTTGTTCTCTAGAATAAATTCATCTTTTAAAGATTTATTACGTCAACAACTATTAAAGTTAGAAGTTACCAACAATGGAGGTCCACAATATGGGTACAGTATAATACTTATATTTTCCAAAGATTTTTACAGCTATAGCTCTTTACTTATATAGGTTAAAAAGGTTTATGAGTGAAATAAATTTTGAAAATGACAAATTTAAATTTATTTTTATGAAGGTTGCCACAGTTAATATAAAATAAGGAAATATGGTCTGATTGCAAATAAGACAATTATCCACCGAGACCATAGGGCATAGATATGAGCAATTATAGACCACTTCAAAATGAGAAAACCAAAGGCCTGATTTATGTAAAATACATCAAACGAAAAAAAATATATACAAATAAGTACATATTTTATTCTGCTAGATACAATGATTGTAAGATTATTCTTTATCATGATAAGCATATATATCGTATTCCTCTTTTAGAAGATGATTTGTACTTTTGTGTCTGATATTCTATTATATATAAATATGTCTTTTGTATATGATAAGAGGAACATTTAAGTATGGTGATTATCATGGAGAAAAAAAAATTTGCTAGAACTAATTTATTTATGTTATTTAACTTTTTTCCCCTCTTGGTAATTTGAATTCAGCTTGATATACGCTAGATCAACAATTTCCAATATGTGTACATTTTAAAAATTGAAACCTTGGTAACACAAACACCCCTTTAATTTGAAGATTTGTGATTGCCTTAAATTTACAAACATATTCAATTCCTAATACAAATAAATACAAGTTACCTTCATAGAAAAATGACATATCTAGTATATTCAACAAATGGCAGACAACTTTTAGAATTATTAATAAGCTAGTTGTTTTACTTGTTATATTTTGCTAATAATATTTTTCACTTACAGGTTAGTGACTTCAGATGTAGCATTTTATTCAGGAACTTATAAAACCTTACGAGGATTGGAACATTTATGTAATAATATGTCAGATTTGTGGAATGGATTATAATGAAGCATCTATTGAGGGCATTTAATTTAATTCTTATTTATTTCTTCAATTTTTATCAAGTTACAATTATACAATCTTCTTCACTCTTCTGTGTCATGTTAAATAGTAAGTGACCTTATACAAAACTAAACTGGAAGAAGAAAAAGAAACTAAGGTTGGAGCTTCATTAGGTAAAGTTGACCAGAAACAGTATTGGCTATTTATAGTTTTACATTCTATTTGTGTACGTACTCATATTTTTATGTTCATTTTGTTTTCAACCTTCCTTACTACTGTTAAAACTAGAAATTTGCCTTCAACACTACAAACTTGTAACTCATAAAACAGCAGTTTTATTATAGGCCAGTTTTCTATATATATATGTGATTGAAGAACAGTTAATGGCATTTTGTCAATTGAAATAATAACATTTTATTGTATCGACTGAATATGTGGTTTTCTCCACAATTACAAAAGATTTGTCAGTGTTTTTTTTAAGATTTCCTACTAAAATTTTGTAGACTTGCAACAATGAAGAGATTAACATATTGTATACACTCTTGTCTATTTTTAAAGACAGTAAGTATGTTGACCTCTATAAGTCTTTTGGATTTTTTTGTGACATTGGGTTGTTGTCTCAATGTATATAAATTGACAAGATCTCTAAAAAACCAGGATGTAAGCATATATAAATTCATCCATTTTGAAAAGGGGGAGGGTTCCAACACACGGAACACCCCTGGATCTGCCAATAAATTCTTAGTGAACAGGATTTAAGGAAAGTAAAATAGCATTGATAAAACTGATGATATTTGTATTACAAACACATTTAATGATTCTAACAGTTATTTCTCTTTAACTAAAGTGTACTTTCTTGAGTAGACTTATGTTTTTCTCAGCAAACTACAATTAGCATGTTTCTAAAGGCATCATATGTATTGATCCGACTTTTCCTATTGTATAAGTGTCCAAAAAATAAGACACCTTTGTTTAAAAAGATGTTGACAACCCTTGTTCTCTACCTCAGCATTAGAAAACAGTCAGACTAAAATTTTAATGTATTAGTACTAGGATTAAGAAACAAAATTTAAATGTAACTATTCAACTGCAAGGACCTGAATAAAAAGATTGCTAATAGTGAGCAGACTATTTAGCAGTGCAATTTAAATAGTTTGTTGACACATAATGATTCAAGCAAGTTTGCACTGGCCTTCTATTGCATAATGCATAAAAGAATGTAAAAGAGGTTGTGAAATGTTCCTTTTTATATTTAGCTTGCAATCTCAATTAACATCCTGTTTCTTCAGATTTATCACAGCTGTTATTCTTGATATATTCTCCATGATTGTAACTCTGTTGCTATCTCCAAATGCTCAAACATCAAAACAATTTTTTACTCTCAAATTTCCATCTTGGTTGACAAATTTCTTTAGATATAATAACTAAATACGGCTTGTTTATTATTTACCATTGTCACTGTTTTTGTACAACTTACATCCAATGCCTTTTGTAGGGGAGCGCCAACCTCTCTACATGTAAAAATAGCCTTACAACAACTAATTATCTGAAGGGTCCTAGGTTGCCTGTTGCAAGGTAAAACTTCTGCCCCTATCCAACATACTCTCATTTTGTAATGGCAGTCAAGATGTCAGCCCTTCATCCTGGTTTACCTACTTTGCAGAACCTATGGTATACTTGGTCATTTGTTGTCTTACTTAATATGCATGCAATATTTGCCACTGAATCTTAAGCAAACAACAATCAATCAAAGCAACTTACATTTTGTTCAAATAATCAATTTATTTTCCTCCAATTTTGAAAGACAAGTAACTATTTTCTGGCAATTCTTTAAGATTAATAAGTTCGAGCTATGATTATCATGCTTTTTATATTTTTTTCTTGGTAAATTAAAAAAGTTTCTAATAAATAATACATAATACTAGAAATGCATTATACTAATGAAGTCAAATTTGTACTACATTATAAAATAAAAGCTTTTGTTATGATTAATTGTGACTAAGTCATTATTTACAGTATTACATTTATATTTAAGCTGTTTTTTTCTTCCTTGCTTATTTTGATATTCTTCAGTAAAGTATGTACATTTTGCAACACAGATTTTTATGGTCTGATCAGAAAAATCTGTTGCATGCCTTTTGTGTATTTCTCTGCATATCAAGGTGTAGGTTTTCTATTGAGCAATATGTTTGCTTAAACTAAGGCAAATTTTAAATTTCTGTTCTTTATGTAAATGCAACATTTCCTTCATTTTTAAATTCATTTCAATTTTTTAGCATTGCATTTTCTAGGCTAAATTACGTTTGAAAATATTCGAACCCAAAAGTCAGATAGCCAAAAATACATTAACATACAAGGGAAAGGAGGATACGAAACAAAAAGTAAACATGGGTCACAATCACATTAATATTTACTCCATTATTTTAGTTGATTGGAACACAAGGTTACTATCTGTTTTTAATTGTGTAGATCACCCATTTTATATGGTAGTTGGCATATAATGAAATTTTTGTATGAAAAATTAAATCCCAACAAAATGTAGTATTGGTTGGAATTGAAAAATTGGTGATCAGACATGCTGACACAAAACTGCAACTTTAAGAATATATGAATGATTTCATTTGTGAATTTGCTTATTTTCTAATTTATATAAAGAAACCAAAACTGAAGAAACTAGAAAATGAATGGAGAGAGAAACAAAATCATGACAGATTTTTGTAGAACTGAGCCAAGCATGTGAAAAAGAGGTATTTTTGATTGCTACTTTCCTACCACAAGTACTAATTTTTGAACATGCTAAAACCAAATGCTCCTTAACTTTACACCAAAACATGTAGATATTTGTAATGTATGAAAGAGTACAGTATAAAAGAAGTCTTTCGATTTCATCTATATATTTATTTTGTTGGTGTTTGTCTCTCCTATGAATTGTGTTATTTTATTTATTCACTTGTTTGTACTACAAGTTGTGACAAACTTTACAAGGATTATATTTTGTGATATGAAATTTGCTATTTAAATATTAATATGAAATTGTTATTGATTATGAAACAAGTAAAAAATTTCAAAATATACAATGTGTTGATTTTTTTCTGCCACAAAGTACATTGCTATACTAACATTAAATTAATCATGTGATACAACATCAACATATTTTATAGGAGTAACACAACGGGTGTCACATGTAGAACAGGATCTGCTAGCCCTTCTGATGCACCTGAGATCTACTCAGTATTTGGTGGGGTTCGTGTCACTCAGTCTCTTTATAAAAAAAAGGAGATGAGGTATGATTGCCAATGAGACAACAATCCACCAAAGTTCAAATAAAGTGGATGTAAGCAATTATAGGCAACCATATGGCCTTCAACAATGAGAAAAACCCATACCATATAATCGGCTATAAAATTCATTAACATGAAAAATATGAAACAATTCAATTGAGAAACTAACAGCCTAATTTAAAACAAAACAATTAACAAAAAACAAATATGACCGACATGAACCAACGACAACCACTGAACTACAGGCTCCCAGTTTTTTCTATTATATTTTTTGTGTACTTTTATTTGTCTTTTCTTCATTTTTATACGCCCGTTTACGGGACGTATAATGGTATACCATTGTCCGTCTGTCCGTCCGTCCTTCCGTCTGTCTGTCGTCAACATGTCGGACATTAACTCAAAAATGCTTTCACCAATTTGCATAAAACTTTGGTGAATTGTTTATATCTTTTGACGTGAGCTCCCTTTCGTTTTTTATAAAATTTAGATTTTACGTTTCCAAGTTATGGGGTTTTATTCATTAAAAAAAGGGTGATTTTCCAGTTTTCGGACAATAAGTCAAGAATGCTTTCACCAACTTGCAAGAAATTGTGGTGAATTGTTTATATCTATTGACCTGAGCTCCCTTTCGATTTTTATAAATTTTAGATTTAACGTTTCCGAGTTACAGGGTTTTATTCATAAAAAAAAGGGGGGATTTTCCAGTTTTCGGACAAAAACTCAAAAATGCTTTCAGCAATTCTTATGAAACTTTGGTGAATTGTTTGTATGTATTGATGTAAGCTCCTTTTAGAATTTTACAAATTTTACATTTTACATTTCTGAGTTGTGGGGTTTTATTCATTAAAAAAAGGGGTGATTTTCCAGTTTTCGGACAATAACTCAAAAATGCTGTCACCAATTCTCAGGAAACTTTGATGAATTGTTTATATCAATTGATGTAAGCTCCCTTTTTATTTTCATAAATTTCTAATATGACATTGAGAATTAATTGAACTTTATTTGTTTATAGTCTGACAACAGATATACTAAGTATTGCACAACAGCAAGAAATCTTTAATTGAATATAAATTCAATTCATATAACCAATTTCAAGTTCTTCGACTACATTTATTCAGAAACCTATAATATGTCAAATATTTAATTACAATCCAAATTCAGACCTGAATCAAGCTTGAATATTGTGTCCATTTTTGCCCCAACTGTTCAGGGTTGGACCTCTGCAGGCGTATCTAGCTGCGCTCAGCGAAGCAGTTGATTTTGTTTTTTGTCATGACATTGTCGGTTTGTTTTCAATTTATCAGTTTGAATATCCCTTTATTATCATTCACCCGTCTTTTAAAAAGTATTAATTTTACTGCGCTAGATGTGTGCATTTCAGCAATTACCGGGTAGTGATGCGTCTCTGCACCAATGATTGAGGAGGGGCCTCGGTGGCCGAGTGGTCTAAGTAGTTACTACTGTAATCACTAGCCAGTCAACACTGAGGTTGTGAGTTTGAACCCCGCTCGTGCTGGTGCACTCGACTCCAATCTTAATTGACTAGGATTGTCAGTTTTCCTATCAAAGGTCGTGGTTTTCTCCGGGCACTCCGGCTTCCTCCACCAATAAAAACTGGCCGCCACGAAATAGCCCAAAAGCGGTGCTTAAAAGTGGCGTTAAAACACCAAAAATCAAATGATTGAGGCCAAAATATTTGAAATTCACTAACCGAATACAAATGTTGAAGAGCTGATATAATTGAAAACTTAAAAGGATCAAAAGTACAGCCAAACCATAACATGGAATTAGGGCTATGTATATTGAGATGCTTTCTTAATTTTAAATGATCCCAGTTTATTAGATAAATTACCAGTAGGTTTATCTGAACAGCGTCAAGGTTTATCTAGATTTATTGCTTGTTGGTTTATTAATGCAAGCACTATTAATAATTATCTGTCATCTAGATCTGTTTACTGTCTGTTAATATATAATTTTATCTTCTCTGAGATGGACCTTTAGGTGCTCCCATTTCAGATTTGTTGACTAGTGTGCTATCCAAGATGGTTGTCTCTTATTCTATTTTTATGTCCCACCTAGGGGCATTATGTTTTTCGGTCTGTGCGTCCGTTCGTCCGTCTGTCCCGCTTCAGGTTAAAGTTTTTGGTCAAGGTAGTTTTTGATGAAGGTGTAGTCCAATCAACTTGAAACTTAGTACACATGTTCCCTATGATATGATCTTTCTTATTTTAATGCCAAATTAGAGTTTTGACCCCAATTTCATGGTCCACTGAACATAAAAAATGATAGTGCGAGTGGGGCATCCGTGTACTATGGACACATTCTTGTTTAATGATTATATTTTTAATAGATTCTCTCAAACAGATTTGAAACTGAAATAGCAGTGATTACACATATTTTGAATCATAAACTTTGAAAGCTACGTTGTTACGCTTTTTAAAAAAATGTTTTTTTTTTCAAATATGCCTTGAATACCATCTTAATTGGCTACCATACCATTAAAGGGGCACTAGCTGTCAAATTCATGTTCACCGATTTGACTCAAATTCTCATATTAGATTTATAACAATGTAAAACAATCATCCAAATTATAAAAAGTTTTAAATAAACAATTTACAGGGCATGGGCTCGATAATATGTAGCTTCGTTTCGTGTGTATTTTAGTCTAGACGCCATCTAATTAATTATCGAGATGACCCCGAAAACAACCGACAGTCACATGACACGATATAAACATAAATATCAATAGATATATGGACCTCGTGCAAATAGATTTTTCTATGTCTGTTTGATTTTAATCTTAAGGTTAAAAAAAAAAGTGAATTTTCGATTTTACCTGTATAAGAATGATTTTTTGTGGATCGAATCAGTCAATCAAATGATTTACCTTTGTTTCACTTTCAATGTTGACATTCTTTTCTTTTAATAGCCTAATACGCATCAATCATGCAAAATCCATCTCTAGCTAAGGGGTTAAATTGAAGTTCACATGAATACGGATTCCAAGAGGTCGAATTATTCACTTGCAAGTGAATAATTCATCATCGATGATTCTTAGCTTATTTTGACAAAATTGGACCATACTGGCTGCTAATAGCGAATAATTTTTTCACTATTTCACTTTCATTAATGATTGAACAAAAAAAAATCATAATTTAAATTTTTTATGTATCTCGTAGCTAGTGCCCCTTTAAGAACTAGAGGCTTGAAGGAGATTAAGTGTGCATTGTGTATTGTTCGCCTCATATATATAGCCCTTCAAGTGTTTTGGTTCTTATACATCTCTAGCTGATCTTGGATTTCAAATATTCAGCTTTGAGCGTTCCTGATGACGGTAAATCCAGAAAAGTGCTTCAGACGCATGAAACATATAGTGTTTCGTTTTTTACCGCACAAGGTCGATACTGTTGCTGGTGGACTATCAGTCCTGAGGGTATCATCTGCTCAGTAGTGAGTACTTTGGTATTGACATGATTTATAAAAAAAACTTCCTTAAATTGTTAGTTTATAAATTTAGAAATCATTAGGAAACTGAGGTTTGAACTCCCTTTAATAGGCAAAGTTGACTTTAGATGGATTTGGCTATTATTTTAGGTCCTTTTTGGTCATATAGCTCTTCAACTGATATAACTCTTATAAATCCTTGGCTTTCAAATATTCGGCTTTGAGCGTTCCTGATGAATGTAAATCCAGAAAAGCACTTCGGATGCATGATTTATAAAGTTGTTTTCATTTTTGACAGCACTTGGTGGATACAACTGCTGGTGAACTATTGATCTCCAAGGCAATCATCAGCTCAGTAGTCAGTACTTAATTATTGACATGATTTATGACCAACCTTTCTTAAATTGTCTGTTTATAAATTTAAAATTATTAAGAACCTTAGGGTTCAACTCAATCATGCAAAGTAGACCTTGGATGGATTTGACTATGATTTGGCTATTATTTTTAGGTCCTTTTTGGTCATATAGCTCTTGAACTGTTTCGCATCTTATACACCCTTGGCTTTGAAATATTCGGCTCTGGGCGTTCCCAATGAAGGTAAATGTCATCAAAAATGTATATATATAATATAGGCATAATATGCATACCAATTTGTTTCCTCAAGTCAAAATTGTGTTTAAAATTACTTTTGTTAGAATTTGATTAATTCTGTGAATCACATTTTTGCTATGATTTGAATGAAAAAAAGTATCATTTGTGATATCGAAATGATTCTCTGTGTCAAAATCATTGGTTGCCCATTATTTACGAAAACGCCCACCAAAATACATAGTGCTTGGATTTTAGTAAAGCATATATAAACCGAGAACACATCTTAATTAATGGTGTCAAAATTGACGAAAATTGATAACCTATGAATGTTTGCTTTGTATGCATGTGTCTCGACAAACATGGCCGCCATGGCTAAACATAGAACATAGGGGTCAAATGCAATTTTTGGCTTATATCTCAAAAACTAAATCTTTTAGAGCAAATGTGACAGGGGTAAAATTGTTTAATTGGTCAAGATCTATCGGCCCTGAAATTTTCAGACGAATCGAACAACCCATTGTTGGGTTGCTGCCACCAAATTGGTAGTTTTAACAAAATTTTGTAGTTTTTTGTTATTATTTTGAATATTATTATAGATATATATATAAACTGTAAGCAGCAATAATGTTCAGCAAAGTAAGATCTACAAAAAAGTTAATATGACCATAATTGTCAATTGACCCCTTAAGGAGTTATTGCCCTTTAAAGACAATTTTACACAATTTGTTCATCAAGTTTGCTAACATTTAAAAATCTTCTCCTCTGAAATACAGGTGAGCGATTCAGGCTCTTGAGAGCCTCTTGTTATTGGATAGAAATGAAAAATTTACAATAATTTGTGACATAATATTTTTCTCCGATGTTTATATAATGCGCTTACGACTTGAAATCCCGCTTCGTTATATTTCCTACTTGGGCGTAGAGAAGTGATAAGTCCACAGACACTTGTCTCCGCACACCCCCCCCCCCCCCCCCCCCCTTTTTTATACCTCAATAAAAAAATATTTGGAGACAAGTACCTATGGATAAGTAATCGTTCCTGCAACGACTTGGGTATACAAATATGGTTATCCCTGTACTTTTTTGTCCGACAGTATAAAACCCTTGTTAAAGTTAAGCGTTCGTTTTGTGATGCGGAATTTATAAATACACAGCCACGCCAGGTCGGAATGGGACCTTAAATCTGCTGTCTTGTGAAGAGTGAGCGCCACACTCTCCGCACGTTTGACAACCCCACGGTAGGTGTAGTGTCCGGCTTGAGTGATTTGTTCGGGTTTTTTCGAGTGTAACCACGTTTTTTCGAGTGAATATGATCAAAAATGTAAACAAACAGAATTCTTTTCTGGCAAGACGCAAAAAAAAAAGATGTCAGAACCTTATAGTTAATATCATAAAAGGTAAATTAGTATTAGTGATAAAAATTTATTATCAACCCTTCATTATTTTGTTTTAAAAACGTTTAATTTAGCCTTACAATGCTTTATTCCAAACTAAAGGTTAAAGCTATTTTTATACACATACCAATGCAAATGTCAACGGAAATGCTTACATGGAATCTATATATACTTAGATATACAGACACTACACAAAAAGTCTTGTTTTTGCATTGAAAAGTACATTTTGGAGAGTAAATTCCTTTCTTATATGTCCGTGTTTTTTCGAGAGCAGTTCGTGTTTTTTCGAGTGCATCCTTGTTTTATCGAGTGAGAAAACAAAATTCCTAAGGTTTAAAATGTAATATGTAAGTGCATTTACGTTTAAAAAACAATGAAAAGGTTCAAATAAAGTACTTTTCAAAGCACGAAACAATGCAATAAACCAGTTTAATAATGCTGTGTGAACACGTACATTTCATAAAAAGGCATCGTTCATTTGTATTCAGATAATATCATATTCATGTAAGTGTACCGATATGGATTTCATACAGTAAATATTTCGGGAATTGAGACGAACGTACACATAGAGTGTAAAGCGGGTAAATGTGTGGGTTTTTTTTACGGAAAATATATCTAAATGTTTCATTTACTGTTTATGTTGATGATAATTTATCAGTTGATCGTTCTAGAAAATTAATGGAAATCAAGAACAATGTTCAAATGCTCCTACTACCTATAGAGTCTGATCAAGAATATGCTTTACTTGGTCACATAGAAATAAAGCACCGACCGGCAGTAAAACCCTTGGCAAAGTGGGGCGTCCGTTTGGCTGTGCGGGATGTTCAAGTACGCAGCCCCGTCCGGACAGAATGGGGCGCGTAGAGAGTGCAACGCTCACTGCACGTCAAGAACCCTTGCAACAGCTCTTTGAGGGGTCATTAGGTGGCCTTATGCAAGGCAAAATTTCTGTCCATATCCAATATAACCTAATTTTCAGTAGCAGCCTAAATTTCCCGACCTTCAGCCCGAACGTCCTCTGTTACAGGACCTAAATATTGGATTCGTTGTTAATTGGTTCTCGTCTTGAACATGCATGAAATACTTGCCACTCGGCGTTAAGCAACCAACAATCAATCCTTTAAAATTGTCCGTTTATAAATTTTAAAATTATTAACAAACTAAGGTACCAACTCCATCAGGCCAAGTTGACCTGGGATGGATTTGGCTAATTTTTAGGTCCTTGGTCATATAGCTCTTCAAATGTTTCGGATATTCCATTCAATTCAAATGTTACTGTAATATATTTTTTTTATTATTTTTTTTTGGGGGGGGGGCTCTTTCAGTAGAATATTTGGGTTCATATTGAATTTTTCTTATTTTTTACTGCTTATCCTAAGTTTTCTTGCGCCTATGTTTTTTCGTTACTGTAATATATATATATATCAATCATAAAATAGTATTGACGGTAAAAACATAGACAGCATGAAATAAAATTGAAAAGATTATGAGTCCCTCTCCTCGGTTCTAAACACAGTTTTAAAAAGGACCCAGTGATTTCTTATATATCCTAATACTGCAAGGTTATGGTAACTTATGTTTTCAGAACAGAAAGTTATCATTAAATTGAAGAGAGTTTAATTTGATCAACATAGTAATATGTTTTTGTGACTTATTAAGAATAAATAATATTGTCCTCGCTAAATAACAGTTACAAACTAGAAAAATTCAGTTTTAAGTCCAAGATTGTCTTCTTTCTTATTCACATTTACTTAAAAAAAAACCGGACCATTTGTTGAAAAACCCGAACGTTTAAGATGTTGCTCTCGAAAAAACACGGACAATATAAAACACTGAATTGTGAGTGAACTTCACAGAAATGTGCGTCGTTTGTGCTCAAAACATGTATATCATTCAGAATAAGATGAACAGTCACGAATACAACTATTGTTTTCGCGAAATAGCAGTAAATCGATCTGATCGCATGTAATATCACTCGAAAAAAGTGGACCGATTCACTCGAAAAACACGATCTCAGTCGGACACTATACCTACCTTGAACCTTCCGAGACCGAGGTCTATATTCAACATACCCATCTTCCAGTATAGAAGTTCACTAACCGGAAGAAAAATGACGTTAGGAACTTTTAAAATAAATCAAAACGTGCTTTATATGAACATTTAATAATGAGTGTCGTTTTAAATTGTAAATTATTGAAATCTATAATCTATTTGGGTATTTGACATAAAGAAACATTATATTAAAAATAAAGAAACATTTAAAACAATAATATTCAATTTAAAACGTCACTCATTAATGTAATATAACCGGAAGAAGAGTGACGTTAGGAACTTTTAAAATAAATCAAAACGTGCTTTATAGGAACATTAATGAGTGTCGTTTTAAATTGAATATTATTGTTTTGAATGTTTCTTTATTTTTAATATGATGTTTTTCTATGTCAAATACCCAAGTATGTACATCGTCTGTAAAACTGTCCTCAACTTCCTCCGCCAAAAGAAATGACAATCCAAAAATCTGCGTTAACCATTTTCCTCTTTCAGTTGACTTATCTTTGTCCTCATGAGCTAAGCCTAAATTTTGTATTTTTCAAAACCAGGCCTGTCCAAGATGAAAACGACAACCTTTGACTGTAGTATTTGTATACATTCTAACAAAACATTTCAAATTAATTTCAGTTTTTTTTTTGTTAATTATAAGTAAATTTGTTTAACTTCGGAAATTACAATTTGTTTATAAAAAGACAAGGATTTGTTTTTTTATATTTTTTTTAATTAATCCGCGCAAACGTAATGAGTTTTCAACAAGTAAATTTCGCGCAAACGTAATGCATTTTGTCGCGCAAACGTGGATTTTTTCTCTCGCGAAAACGTAGGACGAATACGCGCAAACGTAACGCGCCGCATGTATCTTACACTCAACTACAAAAGAAGCAAATATCTATATTTTACTATGTTTAGCCGGAGGACAATAATCCGATTATTATTACATAAGATTGGACAATAATAGATATATTTTATCAGAACCTTTTGTAATGTTTTAAGATCATTAACTTTGAATGAATGTATAATTGTTTTGTAAACTGTTGCTTGGGCAGTCTTCCCCTAGCTTTCAAATTGTAAACTTGTGTTAATAAATTTGTATATATTGTATACGGTCTTGCGTTTAAAGCAGCCACAGTGTCGATTATAGACCAACATACTGTAATGTAACCCGTACCGAAATTCAAGGGGTAATACAAGCAACAATCAATCAATCAATCAATCTTTCAACGACAGAAATTGTATTAAAGTCAAAATAACATACAAACGCATAGTACGGCATATTGCTCCATGGCACGACATGATTTTTTCCTATCATTATACGAAAGCAGAAAAGCTAAGCAAGATCTGTCTAATTTAAAACTAAATGTGTTTAGCTTTAATGTATAACTAACAAGACTATTTTATTATTTCCGCCATGATTCGAAAACAGAAAATACTTTAAAACGACTTTAAACTAACTTAGATGTGTGTTGTAATTTCAGTAATAAACCGGGGGCAAATAGTTAAAAGTATTAGTCATAATATATCTCGCTTAGCAGTTTGATTGCAAAATTCGAATTGTGAGTATGGGATCATATATATGTCTCTTTTTTCGTTCACATAAATAAACGAAAATTTGAATAAATGCAAAAGAATATGTATGAAGAATTAACGTATTCCCATATTATATGTAAACAAGCGGCTAAGTACCATGTCCATACATGTAAATAGGTATACATGTAGTAATAATCGAACGATTACATATCTTATCATAACCAAACATAGTGAGAGTAAGAGTTTAAATTTATACTATTTCGCCAATTACATTGTACAGGTGATAGATTTTTGAGGATAACAATAGAAAATCGAAGTGGCACATGACCCTGTACATAACATTTTAGATAAACTTGTCGATACCACATCAAAAATGAACAGAACAATTATTTCCCTGTGGATAACGGATGGATTAGAGTCTACTAAGGTAATCTTGATGATTGTTTATACATACATGTATGTAAACATATAGAAAACATACTTTATTATCTTATATATCATTTCTATTACATTTATCGCCAGGCATGATCAGTTTAAGAGCCTTGATAATTGTCGTTAAATCCTCTTTCAAAATAAGAGTTTATTGTCATGAATCAGTAAACAAATAGCCTATACTTACATATATATATATATATATATATATATATATATATATATATATATATACTGTTGGTTCCTGATTATCTACTGGTATTAAAACGGTAACAGCATAAACTGTGTATAACCTTTACTTTAATGGTATGACATGCATTCTAAAGATTGTTCATTGTTTCTAGCAGCTATTATAATTCTCTTTTTTGTTTGTTACCTTACGTATAGATAAATTGGTACAATGGATCCGAGCGTTAATACAGAGAAAACAGACATCATGACCAAGGACACCAAAAACAACGTCCGTAATAACTGGCGACGATTTATTGTCGGTCCTATTATAGTCTTTTACACTTTTGTCTTCCAAGCAATATTTACCATAACATCACAATATGCATTCTATATCCTTCAGAAACAGAAATTTACCAATAGGACAATTGACTATTCTCAAAACAATCAATCAATATGCGTGCAAAATAAAACTTTGGAAATATTTCACGAAATGGAAAAAATTCAGAAAGAGGTTGCGACCTGGAACGTTTACTGCAACTTGGGAACTGGAATACCGTCTTTTGTGGCAGTGATTTTAATAAACTCTTACAGTGACAGAATTGGAAGGAAGAAAGCATTCTTGATTCCGATTTGTGGAACGATAATAAACGCTTCATTCTGCGCAGCTGTTGCTTACTTTGAAATAAGTATTTACTTTATACCGATAACATTATTCCTTGAAGGACTTAGTGGGGCATGGATAGGAATGATACACACTGGATATGCCTATGTAGCCGATATTTCGGAGGCTGGAAGGTCCAGGACACTAGCCATGGCTACACTGGATATTTGTATTGGAGTCGGCATGGTAATGGCTCAATTAGTAGTTGGATACTTGATACACTGGACTGGTTTCTTTATTCCGATGATAACTATAGATGCTTGTCTTGTGGTGTCTTTCGTTTTGGTTCTCATGTTACCAGAAACAGTCCACACTGCACCAAAAGATAAAATAAGCCCCGTGGAGTACGTAAAAAATGTTTTCGAATTTTATGTAAGTCCGGAATTAGCCGGAAAAAGATGGAAATATATTATCTGTGTAACAGTATTTTCATGCTCCATATTAGCATATTTTGGAAGAATATCAGTAGAAACTATATATCAACTGAGTACTCCATTCTGCTGGAACTCGGTTCAGATTGGTTGGTTCGCAGCTCTCAGAAGTTTACTTCAATTTATGATTGGAATGGGTCTAGTAAAACTTTTACAGAAAGGTTTCTCTGATGAAATGATCGGTTTTGTTGGAGCACTGACGTCAGCCGGGTCGTCTGCGTTGGAGGCATTGGCTTACAACGATTGGATGATGTATTTAGGTATGTAGTATACTGAAATATTGTCAGTAACATGCGTTCATGTCTTTTGAATATAAAAACAAGTATTCGAATTAAACGGATAAGTTGGTATGTTGAAACCTAGAAGTGTTTCCTAAGAAATAGTTAACTGAGGCTATGTTATGAATATTAGACACTATATATACAGTAGAACACGAGTGATATAGTTTTTGTTATGTATAATCGGGTCAAAGTCACGTTTATGAACTTTTTACAAGAATTCGAAAAGTGGTAGATATCTACATAATTATGGTTTATTAAAAGTTGTACATCTTTTTCTTTCAAATGTGTCTTAAAGTTATCGTTAAATGTCGAGCACTTATCTGTCTTTTCATATGATTATTTTTTGAAGGAACGAATATAATAATAATGAAAACGGTACCAATATTAATGTGTCGATTATCAACCAAAAAGTCTTTAATGTAAACCACGACTTTTCGAAATAAAATATAGTCATATTTACAAAAAAGTATCAAGTAAAAACATAAAACAAAAGAAATGCATGAGTTTTAATTGCTTAATTTGTCCCAAAACTATAAAGAGGAATCAGATGAGCAATTTGAAGACTTGCAAACAAGTTTAACCAAGCCAGACGTTCGCGTTCGTGTGTATGCATGTTCCCCGACTGGTTTGTTAAAAAAACCCTCTTACAAAGTGGTTTCATAAAAAAAAAAGATAACAAAATGGAATAGATCGAAGTTGCTATACGTGTTTTATTTTTCCTGACAAATATCATATAAATGTATGTTACAGTTCCAGTGGTTGGTACAACAGCTGTCATACCACAGCCAATGATGAGAGGTATAATGTCAAAGATGACGCCCATGGAGAAACAAGGTAAGTCAAAGACAACCTAAGTAACACAAACATAAACGTACCACAATTTTATTTTTTTTTTTACATTTTCACTTTAATATCTGACCGCTGAAGAAAAGCGTGTATTTTATAATCCGTGTACAGATTTAACACGGTCTTCTGGTGTTTTAACAGGAAATCAAACTTATGGTCAGATAAAGATATTTAATTATCTTTACACAAGTGTGTCCTTGTTCATAAACATTATCATCTTTGTGATAAATTGTTTAGTTTAATATATAAAACTGCTTGCTTAAGAAAAGAAAAAGTTTTTTTAGAGTGTCATAGTTAAAATATTAACATTTTTAGTTAAATGTTTCACAAATATAACTTTATATTAAGCATTAAGGATTATTACTTTATAAAAGTAAGGAGATGTGGTATGATTGCCAATGAGACAACTATCCACCAAAGTTCAAAAGAAGTTGATGTAAGTAATTATAGGCAACAGTACGGCCTTCAACAATGAGAAAACTCATACCGTATAGTCGGCTTTAAAAGGACCCGACATGAAAAATTTAAAACAATTCAATTGAGAAAACTAACGACCTAATTTATAACAAAAAAATTTACGAAAAACAAATATGACAGACATGAACCAACGACAACTACTGAACTACAGGCTCCTGACTTGGGACAGGCACATACAGAATGTGGCGGTGTTAAACATGTTTATGAGCTCTCAACCCTTCCCCTAACCTGGGACAGTGGTGTTACAGCACAAACTATAAAAATCAGTTGAAAAGGGCTTAACTCATCAGATCGATACAAATTCTGTAATTATATTTCCAGGTGCCATGTTTGGAGGATTAGCCGCCATGGACATAGCGTTCAGCATGATAGCATCAGTAGCTGCTAACTCTATATATTCCTCTACCTTATCTTTATACAGAGGAATTGTATTCTTTGTCTTATCATCTTACGATGCGATAGGAGCATTTCTGATATTGTAAGTAAAAAGCTTCCTTCTGCCTTGTCTTGATAAACAAATGCTATCTGTCCACTTCAAGATAGGTTCAAATCTTCTGCAGAGTCTTCGAACATATATACATTGAGCTGTAGGAATGAATAAAACAGTGTTTACATTTCTAAAAAAATATTGTTGAAAGAGTATATCTGAATATTTTCGTGTCCAGTTTTTGTTTGCGGTTTTTGTCTTTATATGGTCAGTTAAATCTTCGCGTGTTCTTTTATTGTTCGTTTAACGTTGTTTGAATATTGCCCGTGGTTGTACTTTTCAGCATGTATTCTCAAGTCGTGTTTGGTTCCTAGTACTTTAACAAGATGCTCTACCGAACTCAGTTTCACGTGGAACTGAAAACCAATTACTAACAACAGAAACTCGTATAATCTTGTTATTTCGACAATGAATTAACAATGATGTATTCGATGTAACTCGCTGAATTAAAATCGTTGAAACTGAAATAATCATAAAAGATTCAGTCTTTTCCTGTTGAGGAATTTTAGTTTCATTTTTTTTCTTTTGTAAACCTATATAAAAGATTTAGTGCAATAAGTATGACTAACATGTTTAATTAAAAAAAGCGTAGATAGTGAAAATACTAGTCCGTGCAACGAAACTGCATTTCTAAATAATTTGTACAACGGATTTGTAATAACAACCATGACAATAGCATTTATGGGCGTTTATTTCGTTGTGGGTTATCGTTCGTACCTTCTTTTAACCAAAAATGCGAGCAACTTTGTACTAGGTTAGTCGGTTTGTGTAATTTCTCACACACCTATAACACAATTGAAGCATAAAATGTTCGATGATTTACGAATTTACGAATACAACATTCCCCTCCGACTCATGCCTCTAAAAGCTTAGTCCTAAGACAGTTTAGTTTTAAGTTTTCTGCAGTAATCTTTCAGACACATGTCTATATAAAGCTTATAATTTAAATCATTTTCTTTTAGCTTTGTTCACAAGTTCAAATAATCACTTGAAGATATGAAATGTTGACAACGAAACCGTCAGTCATACGGATAAGGTTACAGTTTCCGACGTTTATTAGGAGGCTGACAAAACTCCACTAGCCCTATGTCAATGCAGAGTAATGGGTCTTTTATTATGCTACATGTTTATCTGACTCTTCAAGTTAAACACATTAACAAAAAATAATCGAAATATAGGACTTTATAACCCACTTCTGAAGTCATGCTAGTGCCAAGGTACATATATAAATAAGTACGTCAAAACAAGTGACAGATCCATGCATTGGAACACCAGTGAAGGTGATACATGGCTGAAAACATATATTGTATTCATAACAACTCTAAATATCAGCACAACAATGTTAAATCTGCAAATTTGCGGAAGCAAATTTGTGTTCTTCCCTCGCCGGGATTCGAACTCAATGTTTTCAGCCATGTATTACCTTCACTTGTGATCAAATGGATGGATCTGTCGTAGAGTTGTCACTTGTTTAGACATACTTATCAAATAATTATTTCTGTGACTGCATCTTACCGTCCTTTACGATAGATAATTTAGCTTATCTGCAATCAATTCCATCTTCATGCCTAATATATCATGTACTGTGCTACAACTTTAGATTCTACTGACGAGGAAAGATAACACTAAGCCACCGAAAGCTGAATTTTTTATCTAGAGCGCTGGACACAGTGTTGTCTCGATATCCCAATAGCATGAGTTCGAATCAGGGCGAGGGAAGAATAATAATTTGCTTCCGCAGATTTAACATTGTTGTGCTGATATTTAGAGTGGTTATATATATATATATATATATATATAAGTCTAAATTGAAAACAACGTTCAAACCTATGATTGCGTTGGATAAAAACCGCAATTTTTATACGTGTGCATGCAAAACAAATTTCTTGGTAGAGGGGTCTAAATACAGCACAAACAACATTTTCCAAAAGACCAAAAAAGTGAAAAAGTATATTCAAACAAAACGCATTTGACTAACAGGTCGAACAACGGGTGTTCTTAAACCCTGCTGACTGCCATTGGCGATTGCCAAATAAACGGATCACAAGATGTAACAAAATGGATCTTTATTATTAATTAAATACCAAACAGAAAACAATAAACTTGCGGAAAAGATGATATACCGCAAACATGAGGTGCAAAAATTTGTACACCATATCCGGATTTCGACAATTAATGTCTCTTCAGTGATGTTAGGAATCGAAACGGTATTTGGAAGGCCATATAATTTACCTCAATTTAGGATAGACTCTTGAATTTTGAAGAGTTGAAATAGGATGAACGGATCATATAAACCCGAAGGCAAATATAATACAAGCCCAAACGAAAAAATATATAGTACACAAACCTGGGATCAAAACGTATAGATGGGCAAAAACATGCACATGAAAACTAATTCACCTTTTCTAGTGCCCATACAAAAAGTTAACAAATAGGGGCACATATGTCAAATGTATTAATTAATATTTGGGGTAAAGGAATTAAAAAAGTTTCAGGTTTATTAATTTTTTGATATTTTTTTTTATGAAGTGCTTCATTAATTAACATACATTACTATGAACCCTCAGTTTATCTGAAATACTAATAAATCTGCCCTTGTCAAACAAAGGTTGGAGATAAACATACAAATACCATCCATTGTCTAATACCACATAGTTGACCTTTAACTGCTTCAGACCAGACTAGGTCAATTAAGAGTAATCAGCTGATAACTTCATTGTGATAACATACATAACTGTTAATGTCCATGATTTTATTGATTGGTTGGTGATTCTACAAAATACGTTTAACCCAGGAAATGTTAATATGTCTGTCTCAGGTGCGGATCCAGCCATTTTTAAAAGGGGGGTTCCCAACCCAGGATAAAGGGGGGTTCCAACCATATGTCCCAATTCAAAAGCATTGATCGTAAAAAAAAGAGGTGTTCCTCAGTTGACAATGTTTTCTCGGGGTAACAATCTGCTCTATCACCCTCTCAGCTATATGTTATTTATATAATGTTCTTATGGTCTATAAATACACCTTAGCGGTTAATTGTCGAATTTCATTTGAGTCATTAGCTCTTGCATATGTGATGTTGACACTTGCAATTGGATATCGGACTATCGGATGGCATGTGATGCATGACAATAGCAGAAGATGGTCACTAGAACAATATATACATCTTTGAGAAATTTGCGATTGTTGGGAATCAACCCATGCTTAAAATGGTCCATTCCTGTTAATAATTTTCTACACTCACCAATCTCTTTATCAAACAATCATGCAAATGATTATGCGTACACTTTACATCACTATATATTTTATTTTACTTTTCAGGATACTTTACATCGGATCATACAGGAACAAAGGCAACGCAGCAGAGAAGGAATATCTCATCTCATCATAAAAGTATATTCTATAGACATTACAAGAAATTTTTGCATAATTATAGTATTGAAGAAAGGATATAGATATGATAATTTTTTTTTTGCCCTGGATGAAATATTACTTATATGTTTTGCTATCATAGCATGTAAACGTTTATCGGACATGATTGCAACTATTAACTTCAACTTAAAATCTGTAATAAAACATTGTTTTGAAAATATTAAAGATAAAATTATATGTTGGAAATATTTTATATGTGGAAGGGATGAGTAAAGTGAAATGTGATCTTCACATAGCATGATATTTTCTTTAGGTTGTCCTTTGGGGATGAAAACATTCATAAAAGAGACGGTACTTTGAAAGCCTCTTGAAATAGCTTACACATCTGGATAATTGATCGATCAATAGATTCCTTGTTTAATAAAAGTCCAGTGGCAAGCATTTCATGCATATTTAGGAAGAGAACAAATTAACACATTAGGTAGGTTGAAAATAAATCGAACATTGGATGAAGGGTCATTGCTATTAGAAAGTGGGTTTTATAGGGATATTTTGTTGGTCTAGAAACCTGCCACCTACAGACCTCTCGGAGAGATTTTACAAGTATTATTTAACATGCAGATTGAGACACTCTTCCTACACAAGGCATCGAAAATGATGTCTATATTTCAAACATGGCTACTTATTTATAAAATCTTCACAGCCAAACAGACTTGGATTTGACAATCATGTGACAGATGATGCATGCAATAGCTATAGCTCTTTAGCATGGGTTTCATTATCGAAATCGAAAAGACAAGGTCATTTAGCATGAGTTTCACTATCAAAATGGAAAAGACAAGGTCATTGTATGATCTTACACAGCCAAATGGACACCCATATTTGGCAAGGTTTTTTTTATCCTGGATTGTCTTGTTTATATTGTTGTGTTGCTGTCACATTAATACATAACTACACATCTTTTATTGTCCTTTTATCAAATTTTTTCCTGGATTGTCTTGTTTATATTATTGTGTTGCTGTCACATTAATACATAACTACACATCTTTTATTGTCCTTTTATCAAATTTATAATGTGTTATTTTCATTTTTTATAGCACTGTGTAGATACATCTGCTGGTGGTCTATCAGCTCAGTAGTCAGTGCTTCAGTACTGTTATGATTTATAACATACCTTTCTTAAATTGTATGTTTACAAATTAAGATATTAATGTTCTGACTCCCTCAGGCAAAGTTAACCTATGGTGGACAAGGTCATGTTTTTCTCTTGACTGTTAATGACGTCTTTACACTAAATCCATTGGATGTTGGATGTGTACTGATTGATATTTTAGTCTTAGATACATGATTTTTTTTTATTTGGTTGTTATTGGCTTTGAACTAGCTGTCAGTAACTGTAAGTACTCTCAGATCTGAATTTAAGTGTTTTTTTGTTGTGGGGGATGTATAAGTACCCGTCCACCTCCATTCTGTGTTTTTGTTAGATGTAACGGTATTTCTATTTGTATCCATCTGATGAGTTGAGCCTTTTTCAACTGATTTTTATAGTTTGTTCTTATGTTGTACTGTTACACCACTCTCCAAGGTTAGGGGAGGGTTGAGCGCTCACAAACATGTTTAACCCCTGCCACATTCTTTATGTGCCTGTCCCAAGTCATGAGCCTGTAGTTCAGTGGTTGTCGTTGGTTCATGTCTGTCATATTTGTTTTTCATAAATTGTTTAGTTATAAATTAGGCCGTTAGTTTTCCCAATTGAATTGTTTCATATTTTTCATATGTCGGGGCCTTTTATAGCCCACCATACGGTATGGGTTTTTCTCATAGTTGAAGGCCATACGGTTGCCTATAATTGCTTACATCCACTTCATTTGAACTTTGGTGGATAGTTGTCTCATTGGCAATCATACCACATCTCCTTATTTTTATATTGGCTATAAATTTTAAGTCCCCTTTTGGTAATATAACTCTTCACGTTTTTCTGTACTTATAGATCCTTTACTTTAAAATATTAAGCTTTGAGCGTTCCTGATGAAAGTAAATAATGAAAAGAGCTTTGGATACACAATTTATAAAGCGTAATTTCCTTTTTTTTCAAACAGCTTTAGATGAAATTTAATTTGAGCCCTTGGTGATTACCAAAAGTTATTTGATTCAAACCACCAAATTTTAATAAAACATCTTGTAAATAAAAGAAGAATGTGTCTGAGGACACGGATGCTCCTGCTCAAGCTTTACAATTTTCCAAGTTCAAAAGGGACATAATTCTAAAACAGTTAATGACTCACTACCCAAGTTCGAACTCTGTCTGCGTGTTGTGGTTCTTGCATTGTGTATGAGTTTCATAAAATTTGCATGAGGCAAACTTTAGTTAGAATGTGGAAACGAAAAAAATTGCAATTTTTCATTTAATAAAGGGGCAAAACTCTAGAACAGTAAGTGACTCACTGCCCGAATTCGAATTCTGTCTGTTTGTTCTGGTTATTAGCATTGTGTGTGAGTTTCATAAAATTTGGATTAGAAAAACTTAAAGAGTGCGGAAACGAAAATGGGATGGATGGAAGATCAATGATAACACTCACTGTCCCTTTCTCCTCACAAAAGGGGCATAAAATATATCTTTTTCCAGCAACGTAAAAAGAGAGTAAGTTTTAATCATTTAAATTTCTTGAATTCTTTGGTCCTAGCTGATGATGTTCACCCCTTTTTTCTATAATGGGAATATACATATTCGCAATATATACGAGTTAAAAATATTATTAATGCCAGCTGGAGTGAATATTTGTGATCAGTAAACATGACATAATCAAAGCGCCATCTTGGAGTTAGCTAGAAAGATAAACTTATTATGTATGCTATTAATAGCTTGTCATTTGGGACAATGGAAATTGGAGACACATATAATATAACAAAAATAATAAAGCTTATATTTTCACAACATTCAACTGTATCATTTTGTTTAAACCTAATGGATACAACAAGAGTGCACACGCTGAAATGTCTCGCCTTCTTTACTAATCATTGATATTATGTTGATAGTCCTCAATATAAAGCTTTCTTACAACTGTCACATAAACTTAACATTAACCAAGAAAAATAAACATTGACCAATGAACCATGGAAATGAGGTCAAGGTCAGATGAACCATGCCAGGCAGGCATGTACAGTTAACAATTCTTCCATACAACAAATATAGTTGACCTATTGCTTATAGTATTAGAAAAAAAGACCACAACTCAAAATCTTAACTTTGACCACTGAACCATGAAAATGAGGTCAAGGTCAAATGACACCTGCCAGCTAGACATGTACACCTTACAATCATTCCATACACCAAATATAGTTGACCTATCGCTTAAAGTGTAAGAAAAACAGACCAAAACACAAAAACGTAACATAAGCAATGAACCATGAAAATGAGGTCAAGGTCAAATAAAACCTGCCAGACTGACATGTATATCATTAAATATTTCCATACACCAAATATAGTTGACCTACTGCATACAGTATTAGGAAAACGGACCAAAACACAAAAACTTAACATTTAGCAATGAACCTTGAAAATGAGGTCAAGGTCAAATAAAACATGCCAGACTGACATGTACATCGTAAAATGTTTCCATACACCAAATATAGTTGACCTACATCATACAGTATTTAGAAAAAACAAACCAAAACACAAAAACTTAACATTGAGCAATGAACCGTGAAATTGAGGTCAAGGTCAAATAAAACTTGCCAGACTGACATGAACATCGTACAATATTTCCATACACCAAATACAGTTGACCTATTGCATACAGTATAAGAAAAACAGACCAAAACACAAAAACTAAACTATGACCACTGAACCATGAAAATGAGGTCAAGGTCAGATGACACCTGCCAGTTGGACATGTACCCCTTACTATCATTACATACACCAAATATAGTAGACCTATTGCTTATAGTATCTCAGATATGGACTTGACCACGAAAACTTAACCTTGTTCACTGATCCATGAAATGAGGTCGAGGTCAAGTGAAAACTATCTGATGGCATGAGGACCTTGCAAGGTACGCACATACCAAATATAGTTATCCTATTACTTATAATAAGAGAGAATTTAACATTCCAAAAAATCTGAACTTTTTTTTCAAGTAGTCGCTGAACCATGAAAATGAGGTCAAGGACATTGGACATGTGACTGATGGAAACTTCGTAACATGAGGAATCTATATACAAAGTATGAAGCATTCAGGTCTTCCACCTTCTAAAATATAAAGCTTTTAAGAAGTTAGCTAACGCCGTCGCTGCCGCCGCCGCCGGAACACTATCCCTATGTCGAGCTTTCTGCGACAAAAGTCGCAGGCTCGACAATAACTGTACTGCTTATCCAGTTATTATAAATTCAGAAATTATTGCGATGTTTCTATAAATGGGAAAAAAGTGACAGTATCAGGTTCACAATAATAAAAACTTGCATTCATTACTTAAGTAGTGATTTTCCTTTAAAACATGTTAACAATCACATGTATTAGATTTCACATATTTGCCAGTGGTCAAGGATACACAATTTCTGACTTATCAATATATGAAAAAGCATGGAAATTCCAATCTAAAGACATTGTCATCAGACAAAAAGTATAAAATAGTTGTTTATTAAATACAATGTACTAACATTCGTATTTAGTAAAAGAAAATGAAATAAAATGATAAATTACAACATAAAATAATCTCCTGGATTGTTCTTGACAGCACCTCTGTGCTAGGTGTACACCTGTGCAGCTGCAAGTCTGTCCATAAAAGGTTGAACTAGTTCACTTGTGGCAAAGTTAAAAATCAGTCCAAATGTGATAGAGATAGGTAAGGCTGGTAATGCCTTACGGAATATAGCTAATAATAATAATGTGAAACATAAACCCTGAAATAGAAAAATATGATATACAAAAATTATACATACCAGTATATATTATTTCTTTTTATAAGGGATAAGATTTTAATAAACTGTATAATCATATGCTAAGAGTTACTAAATAGCAACAATTCTTTCACATAAGTTAGCCAAAACAACTTCTTGAATTCTTTGATGGCTTTATGTATTATGACATGAAAATGTTCTTTATTTATCAAAAGGTGCATATTTGTTTGTGTATGCCACACAATTAATTAAGTCTGTTTATTTACATTCAGTCATAGGAAAAAAAGGCTATCTGGTATCCATCCAAGACACAAAATCAGTACATGCACAGCAGATAACACACAAAAAGCAAAGGAACAGCGCTTTTATTGCTGTTCTTCATCTCAAAGTCACAGTGAGGCCTTTTCTATATCTTACGTTAACCAAAATTTTGTATTTTTTTGCTGTCAGAAAAGAATAATTGAAGATATGTAAAAAAGTATGCTACATATAAAAACACCTCTTTGCCAAATGGTATCAAAAATTTGTAAATACAGTTAATCAACTAATTTTCGCGAGCGATTTCTTTTTGCGAGTAGAAAAATAACGTGAATATAAATCGTCGCGAATATGTAAAACTTGGATTTTTCCTTATTAATCTCCATCAAGTAAATTTGAAAATTGCGAAATTAAATTGCCAGGAAATGGGCTAGAAAGGGCTAAATGGGAAATAAAGTATCCGCAAAAATAAGTTGGTTTACAGTAATTCTTTGCATGAAGTCTCCATGCTTAAAGCACTCAGTTATGAAGATATGCATTTTTGATTTTACAATGTGTATTTTTTCCATACTAAATGTTAAAAAAAATCAGGGTTTTATTTCTTCTATTTTCGTTTCTCCAGATATCACTATGTACTTACAATAAGAATGGCTACAAAACAAGCTAAAGTTGTATTCCAATCTCCATTGGATGAAGCTTTACCAACTAATACACCATAAAATATAAAGTCACCAAGTCCTAATTTAACGCCTCCTGCAAATAAATAATTACTTTGTCAGACTGATTAAGTTTTGTTTTCTGTGGCAAATATTTGATGGATATTCAGACAGTAACTATTGAAGATAACTGTATGGAGACCTTACGATGAGTTCACTGTATTTTTTATGCCCCCGCTGTAGCGATGGGGGCATTAAGTTTTACCCTTGTCCGTCCCAAAATTGGTTTCCGTTCTCTAACTTGAGTTTGCCTAAACCAAATGTTATGAAACTTATACACAATGCTTATTACCAGAAAACACAGATCAAGTTTGAATTTTGGTGGCGTCACTTTAACCGTTCTAGAGTTATGCCCCTTTATAAATGGAAAAATTGCAAAATTTTTAGTTTCCGTTCTCTAACTTAAGTTTGCCTCAACCAAATGTTATGAAATTTATACGCAATGCTTATTACCACAAAACACAGATCAAGTTTGAATTTTGGTGGCGTCACTTTAACCGTTCTAGAGTTATGCCCCTTTATAAATGGAAAAATTGCAAAATTGTTAGTTTCCGTTCTCTAACTTAACTTTTGCCTCAACCAAATGTTATGAAACTTATATACAATGCTTATTATCTCAAAATACAGATCAAGTTTGAATTTTGGTGGCGTCACTTTAACAGTTCTAGAGTTATGCCCCTTTATAAATGGAATAAAATGCTCCGCAGGGCGCAGCTTGATACGACCGCAGAGGTCGAACCCTGAACAGTTGGGGCAAGTATGGACACAACATTCAAGCTTGATACAGCTTTGCATTTGGATTGTGATTAAATATTTGACACAGCATAGGTTTCTGACACAGAATGAATGTGGTCTAAGAACTTAAAAATTTTAAATTGGACATTCATCTATTATGGTCCAATATCCAAAATCTAAATACAAATGTACATGGTTAGATTCAGCATATCAAAGAACCCCAAGAATTCAATTTTTGATGAAATCAAACAAAGTTTAATTTTGGACCCTTTTGACCTCAATGTGAACAAAGTTGATAACGGGGCCCAAAAATCTAAATACATGGTTAGATTCAGCATATCAAAGAACCCCATATATTCAATTTTTGTTGAAATCAAACAAAGTTTAATTTTGGACCCCGATTTGGACCAACTTGAAAACTGGGCCCATAATCAAAAATCTAAATACACGTTTAGATTCAGCATATCAAAGAACCCTAAGAATTCAATTTTTGTTAAAATCAAACTAAGTTTAATTTTGAACCCTTTGGACCTTAATGTAGACCAATTTGAAAACGGAACCAAAAATTAAGAATCTAAATACACGGTTAGATTCGGCATAACAAAGAACCCCAATAATTCAATTTTTGATGAAATCAAACAAAGTTTAATTTTGGACCCTTTGGACCTCAATGTGGACCAATTTAAAAACGGGGCCCAAAATCAAAAAACTTAATACACGATTAGATTCAGCATATTAAAGAACCCCAAGAATTCAAGAATAAAACCCCATTGAAATTGGTCAAGAAATAAGCAATTTATACGAAGTATCTTCTTTTGCACAATACTGTGCAATTGAATATTTCTTGCTATTGCGCAATACTGTACAATTGACAATTTCTTGCTATTGCGCAATATTGTGCTATTGGATATTTCTTGCTATTGCGTAATACTGTGCAATTGAAGATTTCTTGCTATTGCGCAATACTGTGCAATTGAAGATTTCTTGCTATTGTGCAATACTGTGCAATTGAAAATTTCTTGCTATTGCACAATACTTATTATATAAAAATTTACACATCCTGTTTGGTGTGTATCTCCTACCATATCATTATTATTTGCTTTTAAATATAAATCAGAAATAACCAACTTAAAATGGAAAATTTTAAAGAAAAAAAAAAGGAAAAAAAAAAATCCCCCCCCCAAATTTTTTGAACCCCCTTATGATTCATCACCCCCAAACTCAATCCCAGCCTTCTCTTTGTGGTATAGTACCTTGCAGTACAATTTCAGAGAGATCCATACACTTGAACACAAGTTATTGTCTGGAAACTAGAAAAATGTGTTTTTTGGCCCCTTTTTGGCCCCAAATTCCTAAACGTTTAGGGCAATTACCCCCAAACTCAAACCCAGCTTTCCCTTTGTGATATGGAACCTTGTAGTACAATTTCAGAAAGATCCATACACTTACACACAAGTTATTGTCCTGAAACTAGAAAAATGCTTGTTTTTGCCCCTTTTTTGGCCCCCAATTCCTAAAATATTGAGGCAATTACCCCCATCATCAATCCCAGCCTTCCCTTTGTGGTATGGTACCTTGCAGTACAATTTCAGAGAGATCCATACACTTGAACACAAGTTATTGTCTGGAAACTAGAAAAATGCTTATTTTTGGCCCCTTTTTTGCCCCCAATTCCTAAATGTTTCAGCAATTACCCCCAAACTCAATTCCAGCTTTCCCTTTGTGATATGGAACCTTGTAGTACAATTTCAGAAAGATCCATACACTTACACACAAGTTATTGTCATGAAACTAGAAAAAGATTGTTTTTTGCCCCTTTTTTGGCCCTTAATTCCTAAAATTTTGAGGCAATTACCCCCAAAATCAATCCCAGCATTCCTTTTGTGATATGGAACCTTGTGGTACAATGTCAGAGAGATCCATACACTAACACACAAGTTATGTCTGGAAGTTACAAAAAATGCTTATTTTTGGCCCCTTTTGGCCCCTAATTCCTTTACTGTTGGTACCATAACCCCCAAAATCAATCCCAACCTTCCTTTTGTGGTATTGAACCTTGTGGTAAAATTTCATAGAGATCCATTCACTTAAACTAAAGTTAGAGTGCGAAAACCAATGTGTCTTCGGACGACGCCAGACGACGCCGGACGACGACGACGCCAACGTCATACCAATATACGACCACAAAAATTTTTTTGCGGTCGTATAAAAATTGCAAAATTTTTATTTTCTTCTAAATATTAAGTAATTTTTATTAAAATTGGATTTATCTTCCTTTGTCCATGTTTATAGTTGATTCAACTACAATCAATGCTTTATACAATGCAATGTTTAATTTTGACTTCCACTGATAAAACACAGATCAAGTTGAATTTGGGTAGTGTCACTTTAATCATTATTGAGTTATGCCCCTTTATAAATCGAAAGATTGCAAAATTTTTAGTTTCCATTCTGTAACTTAAGTTTGCCCCAACTAAACATTATGAAACCTATACACAATATTCATTACCACAGAACTCAGATCAAGTTCAAATTTGGGTAGCGTCACTTTTACCGTTCTTCAGTTATGTCCCTTTATAACTATATGATATGCAAGCGGGGGCATCATCTGTGTCCACATGTGGACACTATCCACATTTATTGTGCTATTAGGTTGCCATCTCATTGACTTCAACACCTTGTTGCATTTTAATCACATTCAATAAAACTATAAGGCAAATTTTGAAGAAGTTAGTTAAATATGAGAAATTAGAATACTACTGGAAAAAAATGTACTTCGCCAAGCGCAGCTGGATACGACCGCAGAGGTCCAACCCTGAACAGTTGGGGCAAAAATGGACACAATAGTCAAGCTTGATACAGGTCTGAATTTGGATTGTAATTAAATATTTGACACATTATAGGTTTCTGACACAGAATAAATGTAGTCAAAGAACTTAAAATTGGTAATATGATTTGAATTTATATTCAATTCAAAATTTCTTGTGGTTGTGCAATACACTGTGCTGTTGTGCAATACTTAGTAAATCTGTTTTCAGACTAAAGAATTAGCAAAATAAATTGTGACCCCCATTTTTTTTTTTGGAAATTGATAATTTCTTAAATCTTGAGGGAAAAAAATTTGTTTTTACCCTCCCCCCCTCCAAAAAAAATAGAAATTTTCTTTTTGTAAAATGTGGTACAATTTAAGAGACATCCATACACTTAAAAACAAATTATTATAAAACTAGAAAAGTGCTTGTTTTGGCCCCTAATTCCTGAATGGTTTGGGCAATTACCCCCATAATGAATCCCAACCTTCTACTTGTGGAATTGAACCTTGTGGTACAATTTCAGAGCAATCAAAATACTTATACACAACTTAATGTCCTGAAACTAGAAAAATGCTTATTTTGGGCCCATTTTTGGCCCCTAATTCCTAAACGGTTGGGACCATCACCCCAAAAACAATCCCAACCTTCCTTTTGTGGTATTGAACCTTTTGATAAAATTTCATAGAGATCCATACACTTAAAGTTATTGTCCAGAAACCAAATGTCTTCGGACGACGATGACGTGATAGCAATATACAAACACAAAATTTTTGCAGTTGTATAAAAAGTGTATGTTGGGTAAGGTAAAATAACTGCCTTTCAGCAGGATTCCTTTTGACTTCTTAGTTGTTGAAACATATGACACACTTCAAACATTGCCATCTGTTTTAATTTCCACATTGCAATTGGACGTGTTTTGTGAGGAAACACACAGATAAAAATTGAAAGTACTAGGAGACAAATGCTCTTAAAATCTTCAGTATTTTGTACCAATGATGTATTTACACAGATGTAAATGTATTAATATTCTATTGGTCACTAATTAAGAAATTTTTGCTGACATTTTTTTTTCTTGAAAGAAAACTATTACGATTTTAAGAGAAGCTATTGAAGATTCTGTCATCCATAATCATAATTTGTTGTCCTGAATGTTAAGTGAAATTTTGTAGGCAACATCACTGTATGAAATTTTCCAGGAAATCAAAAACGCTTTTTGAAAGAGTTATTCTACAGAAATCCAGGCATTTTCCATCTTATTTTCAAACTTTAACAGGCCCAAAAGAGATTGCAGACCTAAGGCCTAAGGGCTGACACATGAATATTTATGTCTAGATGTATGAAATGATATAAAATAAAAGATTGGACACTTACTTTCTTCCTCAGGCTCATCAGAACTTCTTGTTCTATTTCTATTCTCTCTTGGCTGTCTTACTTCAACATCATTTCTACTCTCTTCTGTTTCACCTAAAGCAGCTACAGCACTACGTGCCTGGAATATAATTCAAACATTAACGATAATACAGATTCATTGTTGGCAGCAAAGATTAGGTGAAAAAAAGGTAAATAAAAGGTGTTTGTATGAGAAAGTGATAATTTGACTTGAAAATGAAAGAATATCAAGTAGAGTTAGAACTTTGGCTCAAACTTCAGGTGTAGATCTAGGATTTAAGGTAAGGTGTTCATAACTATAACAATATTAACAAAACATATCTAGAATTTTTTTAAATAAGAATATTATTTTTTTCTGATTTTAGGGACATCTGAATCTGCACCTGAATTTAAATAACCTCTACATTAGAAATCTCCTTTATTATTAAGTTAGTGTCTTGTGGTGGTACGTTAGACGTGATTTATAAAAAGAATAATATTTTTTTCTGATTTTAGGGGGTGTCTGAATCTACCCCAAAACTTTAAAGAACATTTCCATTAGAAATCTCCTTTATCATAATGTCATCGTTTTGTGGTGGTACGGGTGACCTAGTGAGAAATAAATGGAGAATGTGTCCATGGGACACAGATGATGCCCCCACTTGCATTTACCGTTATAAAGGGATATAACTCAAGAACGGTAAAAGTGACGCTACCCAAATTCATACATGATCTAAATTTTGTGGTAGTAAGCATTGTGTATAAGTTTCATAACATTTGGTTGAGGCAAACTTAAGTTAGAGAACAGAAACGAAAAAATCAGCAATTTGTCCATTTGTAAAGGGGCATGACTCTTGAACAGTAAAAGTGACACAACCAAAATTTGAACTTGATCTGTGTTTTGTGGTAAGAAGCATTGTATATAAGATTCATAACATTTGGTTGAGGCAAAGTAAGATTAGAGAACGGAAACCAATTTTGGGATCTGTAACTTGTCATGATAAAACTATATACCAATTGTCAATCAATATAACACTCTAACATTAGATATGATGTAATACAGTGTATATCTATTTTCGAATTACAATCAAATATAATTAATAGTTCCAAATATTTTTTCTTTCATTTGTCACAAACTAATATAGATTTGTAACTTATCTATAAAATGTCAACAACTTTTATCTACACAATGTAATGTAATGAAATATATACTTTAATAAAAATAGATTATTATCTAATTAAAGGATTTCACTTAATAAAAAATATATATATATATATATATATATACATGTAGCATTCAGAAAATTAGTTTATACAAAAAAACATATAAACCTGCCACAAAATTCCTCAAACAATTTACCAAAGAATGTCCCTTTTAAAAAATGAGTTATCTCCCTTTGTACAGATATATGGTTTAACATAGTACTCTAACATTAGTTATGGATTTTTTTTATGGACCATAACACTGGACTAAATCATCAGACCGGAACAAAATTCGAACTTGATCTATAACTTGTCATTATAAAACTATATACCAACGGACGGAGTGCAAACCTAAAGTCCCCTTCCACTTCGTCCGTAGGGGACTAATAAGCATTGTGTATAAGTTTCATAACATTTGGTCGAAGCAAACTTAAGTTAGAGAACGGAAAAGAAAAATTCAGCAATTTTTCCATTTGTAAAAGTGATGCCACCAAAATGCAAACTTGATCTGTGTTTTGGGGTAATAAGCATTGTGTATAAGTTTCATAACATTTGGTTGAGGCAAACTAAAGTTAGAGAACGGAAACCAATTTGTGGGAAGTACGGACGTACAGACGGACAAGCGTAAAACTTAATGCCCCCTCCGCTACGGTGGGGGCATAAAAAGGTATAGACTTTTGCAAGCCCTAAATTATACTAAATTTAAACAATTTCATTGTCATTTGTTACAACAGGATAACAAATTTCTCCTAGGAAATTAACTGTTGGGACTATATACATGTAATCATTGAAATATTGATATAAAATGTTTGCCAAGACAGGGACAACAAATGAGTATTTCTACCTTCCGAATATTTGTTGGTATATTTTTAAGACTTCTGTCATATGGTATTTTGACCCCCCTCCCCTGAAAAGTAACCATGGTCAATTTTCTTATGGAATAATGTATTCAATAAAGATTGTTTGGTTATTAGATCACAACATAATCAATTTGAACCTTGTAAGTGAACAATCATTTAACTTTTAGGGAAGTAGTCAATGTGCAGCTTTAGGGTACTGGATATTTTTTTGGTCTTTTTTGGATAATTTCATATTGCTCTAATACAAATAGTGGATAGTTCATAGCAATTCTGAACTCTACAGGTGCTATGTAGCTTCTATGTAGTGAAAAATACGGTGAAAAATTCCATTGAAATCCATATACATTGTACATTGTACTTGATTAGGTTCAAGTTCAATATTTAATAGATGTAGATGCACAGGACTCATTCATCCTATGTGAAGGAACTGCAAGGTCCATATGTATAAATAAACACCATGCTCAGCAGAAATAAACACAAATTGTTGTGTTTTTAAACTTGTAGTTTTTATGCCCCACCTAGGGGCATTATGTTTTTTTCGGTCTGTGCGTCCCTTCGTCCGTCCCGCTTCAGGTTAAAGTTTTTGGTTAAGGTAGTTTTTGATGAAGTTGAAGTCCAATCAACTTGAAACTTAGTACACATGTTCCATGTGATATGATCTTTCTAATTGTAATGCCAAATTAGAGTTTTGACCCCAATTTCACGGTCCACTGAACATAGAAAATTATAGTGCGAATGGGGCATCCGTGAACTATGGACACATTCTTGTTACAGATTAAATTGGAATCTATATATAATACAATGTTCTGTGGGGCTCAGCTTGATATGACCGCAGAGGTTGAACCCTGAAGAGTTGGGGCAAGTATGGACACTACATTCAAGCTTGATAAAGCTCTCTGAATTTGGATTCTGATTAAATATTTGAAACAGCATATGTTTCTGACACAGTTTGAATGTGGTAAAAAAACTAAAATATTTGATATTGGACTTTTACCTATTATGGTCCAATATCCAAAATCTAAATACACGATTGGATTCAGCATATCCAAGATCACCAAGGATTAAATTTATCTATTTACAATAGCAGCTATTTTTTAAAAGGCTCCATGAATGGAATTTAGTTTAAGGCGTAATTGGTAGGAAACATTTTGTTAAATTAATTAATAATTTTTTGGTGTTTGAATATTGCTACAAGTGGGATACAGATGGATGTGTATGGTAGTTGAGGTACATTTGTCATCAGTTAATGATTGAAGTTTTTAAACATATTGTGACTTAGGGTGATGGGAAAGGGGAAGAAATTCATTTTTCTTGAACTGTTGGCATTTAGAAATTAATATTGATAATTCAGCGATTTTAGGAATGAATGATGAAGTGGAAATGAAATGCAGAATAAAATTATATCTAAGTAAAAATGATAATAGAATTATATTATAATGAACTGAAGATTTTTTGAATTTTTTTGCAAAATAGGATAATAATATAGGACAAAATGGTGGCATGAAACTGGGCAAGAATTGGTAATTTTGGTTTATGGGATTACTAAGTGTTTGAGATGTTATTTTAATTAGATTTGTGAATTTATGGTTAGAATTGCTCTGAAAAGTGATATCAAAAGGTAACATAAATATTGTGTGTTTTAGAGAGGATTATCATTAAATTGTGGTGTGAGTTATTTTCCTTTGAACAGAAATGTCAATATTGAGGAAATCGTTTTTAAGTATATGTGGGAAATGTTTAAATAATTATTGTAGTGGATTGATCTATTTGAATGAGAATGCTGATAATTTGATAATTTTAGTGATGCATCTTTTTAATTAGACAATTGATGTGATGTTATCGAGGAGGTAATTTTTCATTGTTTATTGGTTTTATGTATGACTTTGATTGTTGGAGTATTATTTTGAATTATTCATTTCATAAATTTGTATGGACCAAAATTCTAAATACATGGTAAGATTAAGCATATCAAAGGAACCCAATATTTCAAGATTATTTAAACACCATTGAAATTGGTCAGAAATAAGCAATCCAAACAAAGTTTTAAATAAAATGCTCCGCTGGGCGCAGCGAGATACGACCGCAGAGGTCGAACCCTGAACAGTTGGGGCAAGTATGGACACAACATTCAAGCTTGATACAGCACTGAATTTGGATTGTGATTAAAAATTTGACACAACATAGGTTTCTGACACAGAATGAATGTGGTCTAAAAACTTTAAAAATTTTAATTTACCTATTCAAACCATATCATTATTATTTGCTTTTATATATAAATCAGACATAACCAATTTAAAATGGAAAATTTTAAAGAAAAAAAGGAACCCCCTTATGATTAATCACCCCCAAACTCAATCCCAGCCTTCCCTTTGTGGTATGGAACCTTGCAGTACAATTTCAGAGAGATCCATACACTTGAGCACAAGTCATTGTCTGGAAACTAGAAAAATGCTTGTTTTTTGGACCCTTTTTGGCCCCAAATTCCTAAACGTTTAGGGCAATTACCCCCAAACTCAAACCCAGCTTTCCCTTTGTGATATGGAACCTTGTAGTACAATTTCATAAAGATCCATACACTTTCACACAAGTTATTGTACTGAAACTAGAAAATTGCTTGTTTTTTTGCCCCTTTTTTGCCCCTAATTCCTAAAATTTAGAGGAAATTACCCCCAAAATCAATCCCAGCCTTCTCTATGTAATATGGTACCTTGCAGTACAATTTCAGAGAGATCCATACACTTGAACACAAGCTATTGTCTGGAAACTAGAAAAATGCTTAATTTTTGGCCCCTTTTTGGCCCCTTATTCCTAAACGTTATGGGCAATTACCCCCAAACTCAATTCCAGCTTTCCCTTTGTGATATGGAACCTTGTAGTACAATTTTATAAAGATCCATACACTTACACACAAGTTATTGTCATGAAACTAGAAAAATGCTTGTTTTTTGCCCCTTTTTTGGCCCCTAATTCCTAAAATTTTGAGGCAATTACCCCCAAAGTCAATCCTCGCATTCCCTTTGTGATATGGAAACTTGTGGTACAAACCTTGTGGTACAATGTCAGAGAGATCCATACACTAACACACAAGTAATGTCTGGAAGTTACAAAAATGCCTATTTTTGGCCCCTAATTCCTTAACTGTTGGTACCATAACCCCCAAAATCAATCCCAACCTTCCTTTTGTGGTATTGAACCTTATGATAAAATTTCATAGAAATCCATTCACCTAAACTAAAGTTAGAGTGCGAAAACTAATGTGTCTTCGGAAAAAATTTTTTTTTGCAGTCGTATAAAAATGGCTTGTTTTTTACCACTTTTTGGCCCCTTATTCCTAAGCGGATATGGCCATAACCCCCAATTTCAAACCAACTCTCCTTTTATGGTATGAATCCTTGTTGTACAGTTTCATACATGTCCATACACTTATACTGAAATTATTGTCAGGAAACCAGAAAAATGTTTCCTTTTGGCCCTTTTTTGGCCAAAAATTCTTAAATGGTTAGGGCAATAACCCCTAAAATCAATCCCAACCTTCCTTTTGTGGTATGGAACCATGTGGTACAATTTCATTGAGATCCATACACTTATACTCAAGCTACTGTCTGGAAACCAAATGTCTTGGGAAGACGACGGCGGCATTGCCATACCATCATACAGGGGTAAATTTTCATGGTCAGTTAAAAAGTTAGCAGATGCAATATTGAAGGTCCAGTAAAAAGATGGTGGCTACCAAAATGATATTTTAACAGGTTTTTAATTTGGATTTTAGCTCAAAATATGTGATCAGACATTTTTGTTTACCAAATAGTTGGAATTGTGAGTGGCCAATATTTGTTTGCACAACAACATTATTGATGGACTTGTCCAATTGTCAAACATATCTCAGGAAGCCTCCTATGACATAATCAAAGGATGAAACTGTACATAGCCATTGATTAGGTATGGTGTCTTCAATTTAAATGTAAACACCTGATTGAAACTGACAAACAAATGGATAAACAGACCCAACGTTATTAGTCGTTTTATTACAGTATGCAAAACATATAAGCTAAATCAATTGTTTTACATTTGTCAGTTGGGGTCTTTTATAGTTTGCTATGTTGTATAGGTTTTGCTCATTGTTGAAGGCTGTATGGTGACCTATAGTTAGCTTCTATGTCATTTAGCCTTTAATGGAGAGTTGTCTCATTGATAATCATACCACATCCTCTTATTTTTATAACTCAAGACTGTTGGAATAGTTTAAAGATATCCTACTCGTTGTGATTCTGTACTTGCAGTAGACATAGTTGTATCTCTTCCTGGTCGTCTTCTAAACCCTCGTTCATCTACATCATCTGTGCCTTCCTCTGATCTTCTTCTAAAACCTCCATCATCATTGTCATCTGCATCTTCTGTGGCAGATGGACCATTCAAACTCACAGCTAAAATGTAATCTAACATTAGTAAAATGTCCCTTTTGATTTTCTATTGATGAAACTTCTTCACTCTTGATTTTTAATAATTACCTGTGCTGAAGCATTTTTAGAACTTGAAAAAGCTCTTTTGAAAAGGTTACATTTTACAGATCAATAATTGTCTCCCTTAATTTCTGGCATGACCTTATAAGGTTGAAAGGATAACAAATCTTTAATTGGATATATAAGAATAATATTGGGACTTCCCTTTTTAATTGCTTTCCATTTTTAGATTTTATAATATGAAATCATTAAATTTCACAAAGTTTTTATACATTTCAAACCTCATGTAGACAACATTTTATATGAAAGAATAAAAGAATAATTCAATAAAACCTTTCCAAATTTCTACTTAATTTACAGTAAACAGAAACAGGATTTTATTCAAACTTGAAATTATCATAAACTACAGATTTTTCATTCTTTTCCTACCAATCTGATTTTAGAAATCCTGTAAATTTGTGTACTGTGAATATGGCAAAATGCCTGTGTATTGTAAAAAAAAAAAAAACAACCAAAAAAACTCAATAATATTTTTCTTGTCACACTCAAATTTTTATAGTAGCACACAGGATTTATATTATAAAGATCCCATTGAAAGGTTCAAAAGATATAAACCCATCATCTGTTCATAATTTCAAGTCTATATAATGCTTGGTCACCATAAAACATGCAGGCTTAATAGCTAGGTATCAAAGTTCATGTACCGTAGAAGTAACTAGCAGTGAGGTATGTTTGCAAGTGCATTTTTGCTTTATTTTTAAGTGCAAAATTTGGAACTTATTACAAAATGAAAAGCAAATGGGTCAAAAATAATATACTTGAGCCTCCTGGCATATATCCTAAGTTTATCCCTGAAAAGAATTGAAGAAAATATTCTTTTTATTTAATTAATTTCTTGTTTAGGCCATGTTCAGATGAGACTTTTGGGAAAAGTATTCTAAACATTAATGTCAAATGGTCACCTCTGTAAATTCAAAAATTTGGAGAAAATATTAAAAAATTTCCAATAGCATAAAATTTTAGGAATTTTAAAAAAGTTTCAACAACCAAGAGAGTTTTACACATACCTAAACCACATAATCTCAATAACTAGTTTAAAATAAATCTTACAAAGAAAAATAAATAACATGATGAATATACGCAGAAGATATGGTAAAGTACAACTAAAATTCAATCCATTAAAGGGAAATATAAGAGGTCTTCAAAAGTGGTGATAAAAGGTTTCGACCACCCAAATTTTGCTAAGGACAGACACAATTTTGGTATTTTGCAATAGAAATAATAGAGAGGACCAGCATATTTTCTTCAAGGACCACAGAGGAAAAAAATATTTTGAGAACTCTGGGAAATAAAGATCTTAGTTGTTATGATTGCTTTTACACATCCTTGATAGACAAATACACATATAGTGTGATGCAATTCACCTTCAAGTTTTCTCATCTTCTGATGTTTTATTTTTTGTCTTAGAATCTTCGATATATTTCAACCAAAATAAGTTGTAAAAAAATATTATTCATGTTAAAACATAAACAACTGAAGACAAAATTATGATCAAATAAAATATATACTCCAGACAATTCTACTTTTTGACACCAAGTTTAATAAAATCCAACCATAAATGCCTTCAAAACAAGTTTTTGAAAATAAAAAAAAATTGTTTTACGTGAAATATATAAAACAAATATAGCAAACAAATTAAGGTGACGAATACTTATTGCATAACACTGTACATGAAATTCAACTTGTTTGTGCATATATGACATGTTAAAAGTATAAAATTCTATCTGAAGCTTTAAAAGAAACACTGCAAATATTGTATACAGGATGAAAATAAAAAAGAGTGAAAAATAAACAATATATACAAACTGATGATATACTAGGTCAATGTCAAATAAAATTAAGAACTATGTTATAGCTTTATGCAAGATATAAACTGCAGATCTAGACTTATGATGGTTAGTAATTGATATAAAAGCTCAAGTTACAACATTTTTTTCACGGGGGGGGGGGGGGGGTTCCTTCCTATATGAAGGTATATACATATGTGCCGCTGGAATGGGTCCCTTTTTTGATACGTCAGATATATCAATGGGGTGCAATTTTACCGAGGAAATATATCAATAGGTAGTAATTGACTAATTGTGATATATTTAGGTACTATTTGAGCTGATAAATATATGAATGGGTTATGATTTCGCTGTGAAATATATGTATAGGTAGGGTTTTCACAATTATTCAATATATGAATGGGGGGTGTTTTTTAAATCCCAGCTGCACACCCCCCCTGTGTTTTTTTTAACTCAGCGATTTGTATATAAAAAGTTTAAGAATATGAATTTACATTTTCAACTAAATAGCCTTTAAGTAAATCAACAAACTGCATTTCTCAATGATCATTAATTCTTGAAATAATGACCCACTGCAGTTCATTTTCATTTTTCTTTCAAATAGTTGTGGAATGAAAATAGTTCAAACAATAAATTAGTAAATTATTATAGATTTTATTATCATCTATTATTCATGACTAGTATAATAATAAGCCACCTTATTGTAAAGGTTTAAGAACTCAAATATCAATTACACCTACTGGTTTCTTTCTGTGGTTTCTTTTTCTTTTTACTGGATTTCTTGTCTTTTTCTCCCTCAGAATCTGAAGCCATTCCTGCTACATTCCACACCATTGTAGCTGTAAATATACCAATAAATTAAGCCTACATTTAAAAAAAAATCCTTTAACAATTTATAATACACAACATTTGCACAATGTACAACAAATACAACAGCTATTCAGTCATGTTCTTTGTTATATTTCCTATCAATGCAAAGATGTAACTCTTGATCATTAAAGTATTTGTTCTTCGAAAAAAGTTCAAATAGCTCTTACTAAAAATTTTCAAATATCTTGTTTCGGAAATTTCAAACGTAAGGGTAAATCAGTTTTTTTTAACTTATCACCTCAGATAATGTTTTTCTGAAAAGGTAAAAAATAGTGCCATAATGCTCTATTAGGAGATTTATTAGTTGATACGATACTCCAGGGCTTGTATTTCCTATCATGATTTCCTTGATAGAGGGTTGCTGCTCACAAGGAAGATATTAAACCAAGAGTTCAAAGTGGTGAAGTTGAAATCATCCCTTTGTAAGTTTTACGGACGCCATCACGAGTTGGTTGACCATTATCACAGATGACAACGGATATGTTCCAACTGTCATAACTACAATCCTGTCCCCTTTTCCCTGAATGTGACCTACCGAATAAGACTTATCACTGGGTTTGTACTAACATGAGCAATAACACGGGTGCCACATGTGGTGCAGGATCAGCCTACCCTTCAGGAGCACCTGAGATCACCCCTAGTTTTTAGTGGGGTTCGTGTTGCTCAGTCTTTGATTTTCTATGTTGTGTTTTGTGTACTGTTGTTTTTCTGTTTATTTTAGACTTATGAGTTTGAATATCCCTTTGGTATCCTTGGCCTCTTTTTTATTACTATCAGAAACCTTAAATACAGGGGGAGGGGAGAATTAAGGTACTTCTTCTCTAAACATTCAAGTCCAAAAATAGCAGTTGATTCTGGATACCGTCCCTTCAAAGTCCATATCAGTTTTATTTTACCATCTTGTAAAAAAATCTGATTAACAATCAAGTTATTGCACAAATTTTTTTTCAAAATTAAGTAAAAGAGACTTTTATCACTTTCTTGGAATACAGTGAACTATGAAGTAGTCAACCATCTTAGACATATAGTAAAATAGTCAATAACTTAATATAAATTTTGGTAAAATCACTGTGTGATATCACATGAACTAAACATCTTTTTCTCTTTTAGAGGTTAACATTTTTGAAATTCGAATGACTTGGTCACATGGTTCAAGCTATTTAAGCTTCTACCAAATAAAAAAGTATGAAATATTCTGAAATGTAAGAAATCTTTTTGCTTCCATCATGTCCATAAATCTCATCAGGAAACAAATTATATATTTACTCCAAGATGCAAAGAAGTTTCTATAACTAATGGTGTATAAAATTTGTGTATTTTCAGGTAAACGCTGGTTAACAACATACAAGTAATAGCCATATTACACAAATACTCACATGAATAAATAAGAGCAGGGAAAATAGGTTCATTTCTTTCTTGGGCTGTTTCTACCAACATTTTCAATGGACCCTTTGGACATAATACTGCTACTAAATCTATAGAATTATACACCAACATATATTTTATAAATAGTTCAAATAACAACTTTCTATGTCATTGCATGTCAGAATGCTGACATGAACATGTTCTAATGGTTTACAGTATTTAAACATAGAAAACATAGCTTCTATGCAAAAAATATTTAAGGAATGACTGTAATATTTTTTCTGTCTATGAAGAAATAACATCAAAAAATGTGGTGCACACTGAATAACCCGCGTAGCGGGTTATTTTAAAGTGTGCACCACATTTTTTATGTTATTATGAATAGACAGAAAAAATATTACAGTCATTTCTTATAATTTAATTCTAAATTCCATTTTAAACATGAGTAAACCATGAAAAAAACGTTGATGACGTCACGGTCACATGACAAAATTATGTCTATGAGCTGATAAACAAAACAACGTCAGCCAATCAGAAGACGCGTTACATCCAAAATTAAATTATTTAACTATGGATTTTAGAATCAAGATTGTGTTGCAACAGTGTTATGATTTTTTTGCTTTGTCCTTTTCAAAAAGAAACGTAAAGTTTACTCAATAAAGTGTGCATTATTTATTGAGGTAATGTCGTAAAGTTGCCACAAAATGTTTGTCATCAACTAATTACTTCAACTGTACACACAGGGTGATTTTTAACAGTAAGTGCTAGAGATTTTGAACGTTTTTTTCAAAAAAACAAGCAAGAAACTTACCCCAAACTACCATAACACCCAATACAGCCCAAGTGGTCCAATCAGGTAAGTATTTAATAAATATCAATGCCATTAAAGCTGATATAACAATGAGATAGGCCTGTTGGAGAAATAATGGACCTTTCCAGTGTATACAGACCATTCCTACCACACCAAAGTTCCACATCAATATAGCCACTGTTATGTAGTCCATAGGTACATTGTAAGCTTGTAGTACCACACTGAAAGTAAATATGATTAAGGAACCAATTTTACAACAGACTTAAAGGAGAAGGTCCGGTAAGGGCTAATTTTGGCCTTAAATTTGAAGTACATCTGATGAAAGAATTTTTTTAACACTTAAGTATCTACTTCAATCTATTAAATTAGTTTTTTGTAAAACATTTGAACTAATTTGGTCTTTAAAGACGCTCAAGTTCAAGCTTAGATATGAAAAATCTATCAAATATGCCATAAAATGTAACTTTACAGATGGTTCTTGTCTAAAATGGAAGTGGCCGCATCCGTGTTCAGTATTAACCTTCATATATGTTATGTAATTGCATCATGTACAACGTATACTTAAATATTAAGACTGAACACAAGTGCAGCCACTTCCATTTCAGACAAAAAATTCGTAAGGGTTCTGCGGAACCCAGTGTCTCGCCTACTTTTTCTGTTAATCGCAGGCTCAACAAAAATGAGGAAGTAAATCAATAAAAATATTCCTCTTGATACTATCTTTTGATTGCAAGAAGCTTCTATCCAAGTTTGGTAAAAATCCAGGATAGTTTATGAATCTAAATGTTTAAAAACTTTAATTGCAGACTGAATGTAATGTTAACTGGAAGAAAACAAAATTTCCTTCTAGATACTAGCATTTGATCATAAACAAGCTTTCTGTCCAAGTTTGGTACAAATCCAAAATAGTATAAGAAAGTTATTAAAATTTTAAAAACTTTAACCACAGAGTGAATGTGTTGTTTCCTGGCAGAAAATCTAAGTCCATTTAAAAATAAAATAAGGAAAAAATGGATTTATTTTTTTACAAAATTTACTTCTTGATACTATCTTATGATCATAAACAAGCTTCTGTCCAAGTTTGGTACAAACCCAGGATAGTTTAAGAAAGTTATTAAAATTTTAAAAACTTTAACCACAGAGTGAATGTAATATTTCCCCGCAGAAAAACTAAGTCCATTTATAAGTAAAATACGGAAAAAATGGAATTTTATTTTTACAAAATTTACTTCTGGATACTATTTTATGATCATAAACAAGCTTCTGTCCAAGTTTGGTACAAACCCAGGATAGTTTAAGAAAGTTATTAAAATTTCAAAAACTTTAACCACAGAGTGAATATTTGTGGACGCCGCCGACGACAACGACGACGATGACGCCGACGGAATGTAGGATCGCTATGTCTCGCTTTTTTGACTAAAGTCGAAGGCTCGACAAAAACGTCTAAAAATTAGCACAAATGTTAAAATTGTGAAGATTTCAGTACTTTTACACAAATAAATGATGCTAGTACCTGATGCACGTGCATTGTATTGTCAAAAACAGCCAATATTTATGTAGAAAAACTATTCTACTTTCTAATAAATAGCGTAAAGACTATATTTTAACAAAGGAGTAGGCCCAGAAAGACCTCTTTTTGGCCCCAAAATACAGCAGTTTTACAAAATTGTTAAAATGTAAATTTTTAGCTATTTATTGGAAAGAAGAATACTTCTGTTACATAAATATGGGCTGTTTTTGACAATACAATGCACATGTTTCGGGTACTAGCATCATTAAGTCATGCTAAATTACTGAAATCCTCGAAATTTTAGCATTTTGGTTAATTTTTAGACGGTTTCCGTCTGAAATGGAAGTGTCCGCATTTGTGTTCATTCTTAATATTTAAATGTAAGTTGTATTTGATGATAATACATAACATATATACAGGTTGAGAATGAACACGGATGCGGCCACTTTCATTTTTGACAAAAACCATCTGAAAAGTGACATATTATGGCATATTTGATAGATTTTTCATATTTAAGCTTGAATTTGAGCGTCTTTAATGACTAAATCAGTTCAAATCTTTCACATAAACTAATTGAATAGACAGAAGTAGACACTTAAGTGTTTAAAAAGTGTCCAAAATCTTTCATCAGATGAACCTGAATTTTGAGGCCAAAATCAGCCCTTACCGGACCTACTCCTTTGTAAATGCTATATTTTGGAGCCAAAAGGGGGTCTTACTGGGCCTACTCCTTTGTAATACAACTATATATATATATATATGTACTTACAATGAAAATACTACATATAATAAATCTGAATAAAATCTACATGTTCAAAGGACAATTAAAGAATTGTTTGCGTTATTTCCCTACAAGGTTAAGTCAAATGGTGAACAGTAAATTCAATAAAATATCAGACAACAATATAAATAACAAACAGGTGAAAATTATCCTTTTTCATATTATCATGATTATGTTTCCTTAACTTGATAAACTGTCCTAAAAAATGACCTGAGGAAATTTGAAAAGAATCTTTGAGGTTTTGCATGATAAACACAACAATCAAGCAAAGTTCTCTTTTATGCACAAATAATACACTCTGATAGTTAAGCTGTAATATATAAAATTCACCACTGTAGTAATTTAAGAATATGACTCTTATTCACCTTGTCTTTACTAATAACCAAACTACTTACCCAAGATAAATTAATAACCAAACTACTTACCCAAGATAAATTAATAACCAAACTACTTACCCAAGATAAATTAATAACCAAACTACTTACCCAAGATAAATTAATAACCAAACTACTTACCCAAGATAAATATATGAGAACAAGAAGAGTAACATTAGAGATGACATAATCAGCCAGCCATGTATAAACTGAAAAAAAACATGTGATAAATATTAATGTATGATGGACGGAACAACCTTATTGGGGACTTCAGATTTGGGCCTTTATTTTTGAGGGAATTCAGGATTTACACTTATGAGGACTCTGGAATTAATGATTAATTTTTCAGGATCTGGATAAAAATGCTTTCTTTTGCAGGAATTCAGGATTCAGCATTTATTTTTCCTGGAATTTCAGGATGACACCCCTCCTACACCCTCAGGAATACATGTAGTTACTATCTATTGCATTGAGATTACTGCTTTTACCACATACAGATCATGGTTGGGCATTTGAGGAACATTTTTATAACAACACGGACACAGTTGACCACTTTAAGTAGACTTGAAAAGTTTCTATTCCAAAATTTAAAGTTTTTATTCCAAAAACAAAGATCTATAATAATATAATAAAGTGAATATAAAGACATTTAATTTTTTTCTTTGTCTCTATATCAGTTTTAAAAGACTAACACCTATCAGTTCTAGAAGGCTTACACCTATCAGTTTTTAAAGGCTTACACCTATCATTTCTAAAAGGCTAAGACCATATATGGCCAAACTAATACAAAATGTTTTTAGTAACTTACCTTATAACATCTATATTTATACAGCAGAAACAGTATTATTGTCATGACAACTATAACCCCCAGTAATATAAAGGCATTAGCTAATGACTGCCAGATTTTAGTCCCCGTATTTGTCTCTGGTTTGTCAGCATCATGAAATGGTGTATAGATCCTGAAAAAGTATATTTGGCATAAAAATGTAAATTAGATAAAAACAAACTTGATAAGGACTGTTCCAGAATTAAATGCATGGGAGGCACTTTTTTATGACCCAACCACACATAAAATACAAATGTTCATTTTACTTATAATTCTTACAAAATTCTAAGGAAAATGCAAATCTAATTATTTGAGTGTCTCCCATCCCCCACCCGATGAATTTTGGAACAGCCCTAAACTAAACAGCTATGCAATGACAAGCAAGAAAATTGTCAAAAGATATACTGCCCATCAGATCATCATTCCTAATTATCTGGTCAAATTGAAAAAAAAAAAACATTTAAGATTTGGAGTCTTAACAACCCATAGCATATTTGAGTTAGAATGGTTAGCATGCAATAAACTTAATTGGATTTACCAACAAAATTTTAACAAGAATACTCAAGAATGGTTTCTAACAATTCTAAGAAATATCGGATTTACATACTTCAAAGTTAATGTTAAATTTGCTTTTTTTCCTCAAAAATGAGTGCTCACAAATTCTTAGTGAAGCTTTCAAGAAATAAAATTTTTTATTACTTCAATATGAAATCAACCATAAAATCTATTTCTTTCCATACTAAAAATAAACTTACAAATAGCCACTTTTCTTTGTGTAGAAATTGACCGAGCTAATGGTTGCCACAACAACCAACATGCAAAGTGTGACTGGAACAAATAACATGATGACATGTTTTGCTCCATAGTAAAACTCTTGTTCTTCTTGTTCCTCCTCCCCACTGGTCCCACTTCTTCTCTGTGACCTTGGCCTCTCTCTGGTACTTTCTCCTTCATCTTCCTCTCTGGGCTAAAAAAACCAGAAACAATGACATCACCAAAATCAAAATGTTCTGCTATTGCTTTAATATATCTTTTAAAAGACCAAAATAAAAACCATGTATTAAGGGTTTCCTCCTTGAAAAATAGGGTAGGAGGTAGAACCTTTTTTGTTACGTTTCAATAACAAAAGTGCACAGAAAACAAAACTTTAGGATAGGCATTTTGAGGCATTAGAAAATTTGGATTGGTGGAGAAATCCTAAATACATGTACAGTATTATATTTGTCTTATGCAGTCAATGAAAGAAATTTACCACAATTTAGTGGTTATATATTATCAAACTTAAGTTTCAACTAAAGATGTACTTGTATTGCTCAATTGACATGTACAACATTTCTCATTAATTTTTAAATATGTTAAAAGCTTTAAAGTAAGGCCATATTTTGAGCTCACTCTGGAGGTGTGAAAAAGGAACAGTTACAATGATTCTGCTAGTACATACTGTTGCTGTCAAAGTTTTAATCTTCTTTTGTAACACAATACCTTATATTTTTAAGACTATAGTATACATCAGTGTGGTTTTTACAGAATCAGTTCTGGTCTCTGTTTGTCTTTTATTCCTATAATATATATCTTCTGGTTGAGAGTCTTCATTCTCCTCCCTGACCAGTAAAATTTCTCCTGGTTGTGCCGTGTGGAGCCAATGAAGACAGTCTATCACTTAACCTTGGTTGCTGTCCCTCTAAGTCTTCATACTCCTCCCTAGTAAAACTTCTCCTGATTGTGTAGTCAATGGAGACAGTCTATCACTTACCCTTGGTTGCTGTCCCTCTAAGTCTGCATACTCCTCCTTAATAAAACTTCTCCTAATTGTGTAGTCAATGGAGACAATCTATCAATAACCCTTGGTTGCTGTCTCTCTAAGTCTTCATACTCCTCCCTAGGAAAACTTCTCCTGATTGTGTAGTCAATGGAGACAGTCTATCACTTACCCTTGGTTGCTGTCCCTCGAAGTCTTCATACTCCTCCTTAATAAAACTTCTCCTAATTGTGAAGTCAATGGAGACAATCTATCACTTACCCTTGGTTGCTGTCTCTCTAAGTCTTCATACTCCTCCCTAGGAAAACTTCTCCTGATTGTGTAGTCAATGGAGACAATCTATCACTTACCCTTGGTTGCTGTCTCTCTAAGTCTTCATACCCCTCCCTAATAAAACTTCTCATGGTTGTGGAGTCAATGGAGACAGTCTATCACTTACCCTTCTAAGTCTTCATACTCCTCCCTAGTAAAACTTCTCCTGATTGTATAGTCAATGGAGACAGTCTATCACTTACCCTTGGTTGCTGTCCCTCTAAGTCTTCAAACTCCTCCCTAGGAAAACTTCTCCTAGTCATAGAGTCAATGGAGACAGTCTATCACTTACCCTTGGTTGCTGTCTCTCTAAGTCTTCATACTCCTCCCTAGGAAAACTTAACCTGGTCATAGAGTCAATGTAGACAGTCTATCACTTATCCTTGGTTGCTGTCCCTCTAAGTCTTCATACTCCTCCCTAGTAAAACTTCTCCTGATTATGGAGTCAATGGAGACAGTCTATCACTTACCCTTGGTTGCTGTCCCTCGAAGTCTTCATACTCCTCCCTAATAAAACTTCTCCTGGTTGTGTAGTCAATGGAGACAGTCTATCACTTACCCTCGGTTGCTGTCCCTCTAAGTCTTCATACTCCTCCCTAGTAAAACTTCTCCTGATTGTGGAGTCAATGGAGACAGTCTATCACTTACCCTTGGTTGCTGTCCCTCTAAGTCTTCATACTCCTCCCTAGTAAAACTTCTCCCGATTGTGGAGTCAATGGAGAAAGTCTATCACTTACCCTTGATTGTTGTGTCTCTAAGTCTTCATACTCCTCCCTAATAAAACTTCTCCTGGTCGTGGAGTCAATGGAGACAGTCTATCACTTACCCTTGGTTGCTGTCCCTCTAAGTCTTTATACTCCTTCCTAGTAAAACTTCTCCTGATTGTGTAGTCAATGGAGACAGTCTAGCACTTACCCTTGGTTGCTGTCCCTCTAAGTCTTCATACTCCTCCCTAATAAAACTTCTCCTGATTGTGTAGTCAATGGAGACAGTCTATCACTTACCCTTGGTTGCTGTCTCTCTAAGTCTTCATACTCCTCCCTAATAAAACTTCTCATGGTTGTGGAGTCAATGGAGACAGTCTATCACTTACCCTTCTAAGTCTTCATACTCCTCCCTAGTAAAACTTCTCCTGATTGTGTAGTCAATGGAGACAGTCTATCACTTACCCTTGGTTGCTGTCCCTCTAAGTCTTGATACTCCTCCCTAGTAAAACTTCTCCTGGTTGTGGAGTCGATGGAGGCAGAAGTGGCCATAAGAGGACTCCTCTCAGTGCTTTGTTCTGTTTCACTTTCACTCATGTGGAAAAGACAGATCTATACTGAAAAGTGACAACAATAATAAACACAACAAATAATTCATACATGTTTTTATGTAAAAGGACAGTCTGTGATCATGAGTAATTGTTACCTAATAATAAAACTACATTTATTAATTATACATGTAATAATTGCATGTACCTATATAAACACCAATATGCATCATGCATGCTATAAGAAATTTATGCTGATAAAACTTTCTATCTTAGATTTCAAACCAATTTCTGAGATAAATACATTTTGCAAATGGTTATTTTATGCTAACAGTATGAAGTTACGATTAATTATTGAAATGATTATAGTTCCTTTGTTTGAAAACTATTTATTAAATTTTTGAGCTCACCGAACAAATATTAAAACAGTATTTGAAATAACTGTCTGGGCAAATTTTAATTTTTTTTTCATATATTAAAGTACTGAGGAGGTCCACTTACATATTTACTCCCCGCTAAAGACAACACCCAAGGTAGTGTTTCAAAAAACACCTCTAATAAAAAACTTCTTTCAAATGTGCATACACATCCTGAAGAGGGAACTTTTAAAATTACTGCTTTTGAAATTTACAGTATTTACAATTTTTACTTCATCTGTACATAATAAATCTTATATTTTACAATGTACATCTTAATTAAACTGATGTAAAAAGAATAACATTAGCCCTAATGTTGATCAATTTATGTTAAGAAGTAGGGGCATTACAGCCCATTTTTACCCCTAAAATATGAAGGCTTTGTAAACACCTTCAAATTTGCATAGAAATATTTTACAGGGATACAGAAAATAAATGAATAAGACTGTATACATTTCAAAGGTATTACATTTTGTAGATTGCAAACATGTGACAATATAAAATTGGAACATTCTTTTGCAAAAATAACAAAAAGAGTTAATTTTTGACTGCATACATGTATATGTTTAAACTTGTTTAAGGAAACATTGATATAAACAAGAAGATGTGGTATGAGTGCCAATGAGACAACTCTCCATCCAAGTCACAATGTATAAAAAGTTAACAATTATAGGTTAAAGTACAGCCTTCAACACGGAGCCTTGGCTCACACCGAACCGCAAGCTATTAAGGCCCCCAAAATGACTAGTGTAAAACAATTCAAACAGGAAAAAAAAACGGTCTAATCTATATAAAAAACGAGAAACGAGAAACACTTATGAACCACAACAACAAACAACAACCACTGAACAAAGGCTCCTGACTTAGGACAGGTGCACATTTGAGAAAGAACAAAATCTTTTATGAGAAGAAGTACAATCCCTTATTTCACATGTTCACTAAATTTGAAGTTGTTTCTAGGATTTGCTTAAAGTTATCCTTTCAAAAATCTATGTAAACATGGCAAAAGTTGATGAAAATAAGGGAAATGTTCAACAGGTGCAGTTTTCACCACAACTTGCTGCCATGCATGGTATACGTAACTCATAAAAGCCAGAAACTCAGTTTTAATTTACTGCTGAGTATTTATTTTTCTACATACATTTTCTTTGTGTAAATCATACATGTATATATAATTATAGGTTTGTAGTTATTTTAAAAATGGTTAATTAAATGATTTAAGATCAAAGTAAAATATATATTCTTAAATATATTTATATATAATTTTATATAAAACGTCTAGATATAAGTCAACCATCTTTCTTACGAGGGTGCTGGATCGTTACGAGTAACGATACCTGTACACAATAAATAAATTATATAAACGCCTAAAAAGTGTACAAAACAACACCAATATTAAAAAAAAGGAAGTATCTATAAATATTTCGGATAACAGATATCCTTCATCAGTAGAATTATATATAGATGGGAAACTCTCAAAAATCTCAATAGATGAAATAATGAAAAAAATGAATTGCACTTTGAATGACTGGGAAAAACAGTGCATTGTGATTTAATATACATTGTATGCATGCATTTTCTTGGGAAAATACCGTAGAGTGGAGTGGCACATGTAAACTATTTGCAATTATAAGTTGGCGTTGGTATGAGAAAGAATATGTGAACTAATGGGAAATAAGCTGAACTATACAAGGGGATAGCATGCCCTAAGTGACTGTAATTTGAATGTGTACTTAGTGCATAAAATATAAGTTAGCTTGTATGTAAGTGAACCATGATTTTTTTGTGAATAGAAACAAAATGGTCAGAAAATGTTTTGGTCACACTTTTGTTACCTGCTACCTTGTTTTATTAACTTTTATTTCAAAAGGACCAGGTAAAAATTAATGTAATATTGATCTCATGGCCTACCTAATGAAAGATCAAAATTAAAAATCATGAACATTTCGAACAATAAATTTTACCTTGAACATGAACATGAAAATTGACTTAACTGGTCTACCATTCAACAGAAATCAGAATTTCAATGACTTATAGCCTGTTATTGTTTATGATACTGAGGATAAAGGTCACGTTCACTTGAAGGTCATGATTATACACATAAAAGTTAACCTTTTTATCATGTTTATAGTAATCAAGGTTGGCCAAAAACTGGTCAATACTAGTATATAAAAATAAAAAAAAGTACACTGCAAAATCCAGTTAAGTTTTTAATTTTCTAAAAGAGAAAATGTATTTGAATTTTATTCATCTAGAGCATACTATGCCTTTAAATTTTCCCTGATACTCAGGTTTGTCTGTACTCTTGAGTAAATTTTGAGGTGAAAATGCAGCCATTTTAGGCAAATGGTCCACATGAACCTTCAAGTACAGGGCTCACACTCCTTCAGAATCTTAGGGAGAAGTGACTTCTCTATTTGAAACTGATAGGGAGAAGTGGTGAGATTTGAAAGAGAAGTGCCTGTTCGCTCGCAGCACTACAATGTTTGGTTTTTACTATAATATAAAGAGCCATCAGTATCCTTTTTATTTATTTTTTGTATTGTTCAATTCAAATCTGAGTCTACAATTAAAGTAACAGTTGTTTCAGTTTATGTCTTTGATAAATAATCATTTATAGTTGCACAATTATATTAGTCCTCTTGTCAGAAACTACCATCTTAATATCTAGCACTAAAAAGAACTTTTGTTATATCAAAAAGGAAAAGAAAGTATCATATATCAATTAAAATTCAATTAAAAAACTATTCTGTTGATCATGCTTATTTAACTCATTGTTTCTCATTAAAAAGTTATTTAAATTTAACAAAGTTTTAAGCAACTTTAATCAATAAAGTGAAACAATGCATATACATGGAAATTTATACATTAAGCAATGAGATCTAACCAAAAGTCTGTTAATGCATGTTAAATGTGTATTTTCCTTTTTGGGATCATTATTTTTCTGTCAGCTGTGTAATTTGTGTGTCTGTAGTTATTATCATAAGAATCCGGATTTTTGTCATAGCTGGTCTGTTTCAGATGAATCAGGCCTCCGATCCTTAGTGTGCACAAATATTTCAATGGCGGACGAAGAAAATTACTAAAATAAATGATGTTTGACAAGCTATTTGGAAAGGAATATGACACTTTTAATGCAATAAATGGATTAAACATTAACTAAGGGCAATTTTCATCACGTTCTAATGAAGAAACAAACTTATTTTGCCGAAAATCAGAATGTTTAGACGTACGCTCTCGAGTAACAAGTACCGGAAGTGATAAAAAGTTGTTTGTATGAAGTAACATACAACCAATCTGTCAAGTCCATGCTTTCACCTCTTTTCTAAAGAAATAAATCGTTTATATCTTTGAATTTCTTTACTTATAAATGAAAAATTACATTATGTCGACTTGGTAAAAATTGAAAATTGCCGATGAAAGCGATTAAAAGCGACTACGGTGAACACTAGGGTGAATAGATATCACTTTTGATGGTCGGGCAAAGAGAAGTGACGGACGGGTAAGCGACTTCTTCGCCTGCTAGCGTGAGCCCTGAAGTATATATACAGCTATGTTGAAAGACATGCATAATTGCAAATTACTATACAAATGGTTTTGGCTCTTAAGAAACCTATCAGATGTCATCTGCTTTTTGCAAAATAGATGAAAATTGATTAATCCATGCAATTTAGGTACTGTGACATTTTACTCTTCTCTGACATGGCTATTTTGATAGTAATCATACTGAAAAAAAATGTGTTGATAAAGTGCATTTAAGCTTCTGGCAAATGGAGAAAATTATGTAATTTATGGTGCGGAAGGAAATTAGTATAAATCCATAAAACCACCAACCTAATATAAATTGAATATCAACAGCACAATTCAATTCAACAGTATGTCCAAACAATCAGTCTGAAAATCAGATATCACTGTTATTTACACGGTTATAGTTTTGTTTACCAATATTTTAAGTGATGAAGAAAAGTGTGTACACGACTGTACGATGCCGAGTATCACGAATAAATTTTTACGTAGAAGAATTGTTCTCGACAAATTAGCCTTTCTGTTTTAAATTCAACATTATAAAAACATGTTTAAATCATGTCTTTTTGACATACTCATCAAGGAAAACATTGTTTTCCTAAATTTTATTTCCTGGTTCAATTATTCTGCTCCCGGAAACGCTTTCTTTTATTCAGGAACGATAATCGACATCTACGAATATGGGTGCAGGTCGTTTCGTAACCTGGTCGTTTCGTAACTAGTCGATTCGTAACTTAACTAGGTCGTTTCGTACCTGAGACGTTTTGTAACCTTATATCAATATATAATAACAATAAGATTAGTAGGTTACGTAAAAAGTAATAAAAAGACTTAGTGATGTATGTGTATATATATATCTATATTTATTTATTAAATAATTGATTGCACATAAATTTACACTTTACAAGTACAGTTTTGCACACATGCAAATAGAACAGAAGAATTTGAATTGTCCATCATCATTTAGATGTACCCCGTCTTTATCAAAGTATTTAGAACTTGATAAGTCGGATTGCGTTCTTAACATCCAATTTTCCAGTCTTCGGATGAAACTGTGACCGATCACAAGTACTTTGGGCTTATTTACTGTTAGTGACATATTTGGCGTTTATAGATGAATGAAAAAGGAGTAAAAAAAAAACTTCTATTATACCATTAAGTGAACACTTGTCACTAACATTTATTTAATTTAACCACGCCTAATAATTTATCAATTTAATTCAAATTAAATTTATTCAAAATATTTCACTACTGATTGCTTTTTTGTGTAGTTATTAAACATGATATATCAGAAATTTTCTCATTCTGGGATAAATACACTCAAAACCAGATGTCCAGTAGTACATTATTAAGGAGGTGTGCTTTTGTTTACGGACCAACTGCTGCTGCTGCTACGGCCCACTAAGACTTTGTTTCATGTTAATACGAGGGTTTTTCGGATGAAAAATCAGGCTTTATGCCAGTATAAGCATGCAAACAAAGGACAACATAGTGATGTATCTGAAAGAAAGAAAAAGAATAGAGTAAGATAAAGTGTTCTTAAAAAAAAAAAAACTTTAACTCCGCCAACGCCGGTCCCAAGCCCGGGTGAAAAAGGAGGAGGGTTATGCAATTGCATGTAAAAGTGAAAAAAAAAGGAGAAAATAATTATTTTTTTCAGGTCGTGTGCCATAGGTCGTGAGCCATTAATCTACTTAATCACTTTACACCTACTGTAATTACTTTTTATTACCTGTCATTAGTTGTCATAAAACCATTAAAGCTGTCACCGAGCGTAATTACAAATTAACCAATTAGCCAATAATTAAAAAGATTTCAAAAAATTTTAAATTAAAAATATTACAATATTGTTATTATTAGATGAACAATTGGATCATTTTTAAATAATAACTTTAACTTTTTCATTTAAACTAATTAATTTAAACTAACACTTTATAACCATATGTAATTACAAAAGGTACGAAACGTCTCAGTTACAAAACAACGTAGTTACGAATCGACCAGGTACGAAACGACCAGATTACGAAACGACGTGCATTCATATTCATATCCTAAGTTCCGACATAAAATTGAAAATTATTTGAACAACAACTTCCTGATATTTTTAATTTGTTGAAATATGAAAGTGTGTGATTCTTAAATACAACCGCCTTAAAGCAGCAATAAAGAAGAATTATAACTAGCCAAAATACTACCTTCGTGGATACGTTCTCGAGGAGATTGAAACCGCGAAATATTTGGATATTACTATCCACAAAGCTTTAAGCTATAAGATATTGAATTAGAATACCGTTGTTCATTAGAGATCTCATAAGTCTCTGTTTTATTTAGAAGTATAATGGTCTAAACACAATTATAATTGGAATTGCACGAACATCCATCGGAGCGATTGGAATGTGTGTCGAAAGAGAAAGCATCTCCTATTAGATGTGACTCTCTAATCCCTTAAATTTAATAGATTCAAAAGTCATATACAAGTAAGTGTCAACGACAGAAACATTACAAAACCGATAATAATGACTGATTGGCTTTAGTGTATCCGTATGATATATGAGAGACTAAAATGGACTAAAATGTCAATAAATGAGATAGTTAAGAAACAGAGACACTGTATGACATGGTGAAGGTCATATAACTTGTTCAGTGATAATATCAGTCTTTTTTTCCACAACCATGTTGGAGTTGGTTTTTGGGTTAATGGCATACGATACATGCAGATACAGGGGCGACAAGGACGTTGCTAACACATGCAATTGTCTCTGAAAAAAATCCTATATGCCTAAATATAACACAAGGTACTTACCTCGCATTTTTGAAAAATGTCACCCGGTCGCGAAATTCCGTTATATTTCGATTTCTCGGTTGTCAACCCTACTAATAAAATTGAGAATGGAAATGGGGAATGTGTCAAAGAGACAACAACCCGACCAAAGAGCAGAAAACAGCCGAAGCCCACCAATGGGTCTTCAACACAGCGAGAAAATCCCGCACCTGGAGGCGGTCTTCAGCTGGCCCCTAAACAAATATGTGTACAGTTTAATGAAAATGGACGTCACACTTAACTCCCAAACATATAAATGAACTAAAATTAAAAAAAACATACATGACTAACAAAGGCCAGAGGCTCCTGACTTGGGACAGACGCAAAAATGCGGCGGGGTTAAACATGTTTTGTGAGATCTCAACCCTTCCCCTCATACCTCTAGCCAATGTAGAATAAACAAACACACAGCAATACGCACAGTAAAATCAGTTTAAAAGAAGTCCGAAAACTTGTTATGCCGTAAATCTAAATTGATTTAACTACACAATGGTGTATAACACGCCTACCTTTGTTGTCGGAATCATTCGTAGCAGGCCTCCTCAAGTATGTCAACCGTAATTATTTCGTCTACCAACAGCCGATTGGAAATATAAGACTCGCAGTAAAAGGTATCTTTCCCTCTCTTTATATATCTCGGTTTCCGATTGGTCAAATTTTATGGGCAGGTCTATTGCTAAAAATAAATGTTTCTTGGAGTTATCTCATTTTATATGTAAAGTCCAGAGAGAGTCTGAATGACATTGATGGAATGGGAAATTTGAGACTAAAAATAGAAACTCGTAACTCATTAGACATACCTCAAATTTTTTTTCACGGAATCTTTTACAAATTTACTGTCTAAATGATAACTTCTATTCAGACAAAAACTGACAGTTTTTTTTTTTGGAAATACTTTTTATAATTAATCATTTACTGCGAGTCTTATATTTCCAGTCGGCTGTTGGAAGACGAAATAATTACGGTTGACATACTTGTGGAGGCCTGCTAGAAATGATTCCGACAACAAAGGAAGGCGTGTTATACACCATTGTGTAGATAAATCAATTTAGATTTTACGGCATAACAAGTTTTGGTGGGGTTGACAACTAGGAAATCGAAATATAACGAAATTTCGCGACCAGGTGACATTTTTCAAAAATGCGAGTTAAGTACCTTGTGATATATTAAGGTATATAGGATTTTTTACAGAGACAAGTGCCTGTGGTTGCTAACGTAAAATGTTATTTTTCGCGACGTCAAACTGTGACATATTGAGAAAAGATGCATTTTCGACTGATTTTAATCATTAGCTTGAAAACGAGTACATAGACCTCTCTTTTTGAAGAGAGAGACGAAAGATACCAAAGGGACATTTAAACCCCTTAGTCGAAAACAAAATGATAACTCCAAACGTAACAAATAATTTGTCAATCAAGAAGTCAAGTTTCTTGATAATGTCAATTTTAGAGTTTTTTGTGTTTTTCAGAGTGATTTTTTACAAAGTACGATTTACCCCTCCCTAAGACCAGACGAACTAAACAAAGATACCAAGATTAAAATTTTGAAGGCCAGACGCGCGTTTCGCAAAAGACTCATTCATGACGCTCGAATTAAAAATATTGAAACGGCCTAAATGAAATACGAAGTTGAAGAGCATTGAGGACCCAAAATTCTGAAGGTTTTGCCAAATACAGCTAAGTTAATATTGATGTACGTTGAACATTTGTTTTATGAAATAGAACAGGACCAATTCTTTCAATTTGTCTTTTACGTTAGAATGAGGAATACTAAATAAAGGGTAGAACAGTCAAATTTTTGATACTATTGCAAGATGAAAGATACTTAGATTGTTACTGAAATTGTATATACTCTAAGAGAACTTAGGATTTTTTTTGTATCCACATCTGATTCACGCCGCCCCATGAATAGGTAGTTTCACAATAACTTTGAAGCCCGGCTTTATCTGCGGCGACAACAACACATTTGTCATGGAGGTTGGACAGGTTCTTTGTAACATTTTGGTCTTTAGAAATTGACATAGCATATTTATTCATAGACCCATTCAGTTTTTTAATTCTGATTTGTATTAACGACATCACAGCCTTAATCCATTTGGAAAGAGTATCTTCGTCTTCTTTCTCGCGTTTAGCCCATTGCCTTGAATAATCCTTGAATGAATCCATCAGTGTTGTGAAGTTGTGTTTCCAATCGACGGATTTAGGCTCACGATATTTCAGGCGTTTGGGTAGTAGGAACACATTTCGCAGTGAAGTGTTATTGACAATTTGACATTTTGCTTAATAATGTATGAAGAATATTTGTACCAGTTTTTATGAACAAATTACAGATGGATTTTGTTTAAATAAGATAAATGTACAGCAAAAATGTCCTTTTTTTTTCTTTTATCATAAAAATTTAATAAAAAAAAATATTTTTAAAAGAAATCTTTCACAAATTTAGAGCTTTTTTATGTTAAGAAAATAGTCTTAATATTTAAAAAAAATTCCGCGTGTGTGTATCTTTTGTGAAACAAAAAAGCTAAGTATGTCTGTCCAGAGGATAGAAAGGTAAAAATTAAATCGATAATTTTAAGGAAATTTCTCACATTCGACCCACTTTATATCTAAAAGTAGCACCTGGAGGTATATTTTTTATTACACATTTGAATTGAATATGTGAAAAAATAGCTCATCTGCAAATTGTAGTAAAAAAACACCGTCGGATCAAAACTGTATCGTATGCCCATAAGAGTATACCGCCATAATGAAAACAAGATTTTGTATATCTTATGTCAAATGTTATATGTATACATGTATATGCTATGGGCAAATTTTGTCATAGAATCTAGTTTTCAGTGCTGTGGTGTTTCAACTCCCTCAGATAAAGTTGGTCTTGGATGAATTTGGCTATTTTTAGGTCCATTTTGGTCATATAGCTCTTCAACTGTTTCAGTTCTTATACATCATTGGCTTTCAAATATTCGGCTTTGAGCATTCCTTATGAGGTTAAATCCAGAAAGCATTCGGACGCATGTAATTCATAAACTTGTCTATCAGCATAATTAAAAAAAGATTTAGATATGGAGTAGATATTCTCTCAGATATTTTTGATGAGTTTTTTACAACCACTGGGCCAATGTCATTACTGATGGATGTTTCGTCTCCAATGTTATCGTCAGCCAAGACATGAGGCATCATTCATGGGATAATGTTCTGTAATATACTGTTGATGTAATTCTGAAAATAATTTAAAACACTAAGTATAAAAAAGAAAATGGGGGTATGATTGCCAATGAGACAACTCTCCACAAGAGACCAAATGACACAGAAATTAACAGCTATTGGTCACCGTACGGCCTTCAACAATGAACAAAGCCCATACCGCCTAGTCAGCTATAAAAGGCACCGAAATCACAAATGTAAAACAATTCAAACTAAGGTTTTTCTACCTCAGACAGAGTTGGCATTTGCCAGGTCTGACACAATCATTTAAAATGTTTGTTTTTTTATCTTCAACGCCTTGATTTAAATGTGGTATAGACCAACATCTTTGTATAAGGTTTTCTTTCTGTAATATTCTTAACTTAAAATTCACAGAAACATATGAGAAGCACTCACCGAAAAAAATCATTGATTGAAAGGACGTCATTCATTTATCCGAAAGAGATATTAAAGGAGTTTGCTGGATGTTTTTCCTCTTGTCTGAAAGAAGATTTTGTATAAATCTTGTTTCGTAAGATTCAATGACAAATTGGTTATTATTGGAGAACAATGAATATCCGATGGAGTACCAACGTTCAATTCGAATACATATCCATCAGACAAGCTCAACAATCATTCTATACCCAGCATTTTGATTGTTTTTAACAAAGCAATTGTTTCCTCGACCTTGAAAAAAAAACCTAGTACCGCCGTTTATCATTCTTTTAGGATGAGAATATGTACGCACTCTTTCAATTTGGAATAGGTTAAAACCTGTTGAAAATACCAGGCTTATAATGTATTGCGTTTCGTCTACACAAGATTCATCAGTGGCGCTCGAAGTAGGAAAGCAAAATTTAAGATGAAGTTGAAGAGAATTGCATGCTGAATTAAACTTCATAAACATCGGGTCAAATTCGGTTAATGCCATCTATGAATGGGGATAGAGAAACCTAGCCGTTTCGAAAAAAAAAAATGTACAAACAGAAAATTACCATATCAATGATATTTCATGTCAACACAAAGGACTGACTACATGGCTGGTGAAACCTTTGTGGACTATAAAATTGGCATAGACCTAGAGGTTGTATAAACTCACCAAAGACAACAATACTAAGGAGTTTATAATTTTTTATACCAGAAGCGCATTACATCTACATTAGACTCAGCAGTGATTTTTGAATAAAAAAAGTTGGAAGGCTAAATCAAACATGAAGTTGAAGAGCATTACAAGCCGAAAAGTTGTGCCAATACAGCTTAACCAATCTATGCTTGTAGAAAAAAATCCTTAGTGTTTCGAAAAATACTAATATTTATAAATAGAAAATTTACAGAAAATACCATGTCAAAGATAATTAATGTCTACACAAAGTGCTGACTACCGGACTGGTGATAACATCGGGGACGAAACGTCCACCAGCAGTGGTGTAGAGAAGTCGGACGTTGTTGACATTGTGTGCAAAACTTTAAGCGACAGTGTTTCTTACATTCAGACAGATCTTGAATTGATCAAAATCCTCATTTGATGGAAGTCACTGGTGTAGGATGAGCTGAGGATACACCCTCCCGCCAATAAAATAGATAATTATTGCAATGTCAACGTTTTTCTACGGGAAACATCTTGAATCATTGGAATAATATAAAATAAGAAGTGCAAATGCCATTTGGTACATACAAATTTCTGACAGTTTCATTGAAATGTAGACGCTGGTTTCAGCAGGAGTGAATTGCAGACAGACAGATGGTCGAATACTCTGGCATAACGACGGTTTTACAAACGCCACACTTGCTTTTTTTAAGCGAGTATGTAATAAAACGAGTAACTTCGTATAAAAGAAAACAAGAAACTTAAAACAATTTTTTTAGATATACAGACATATGTTGTTTATTTTTTTATTTGAAAAGCATAGAACATCTGAAAAATATAGATAAAATATCAATTTGACACAATCTATTTGCTATACAGTAATATTTTTTATACTGAAATATACAATATAACGTATCAACATTAAACATCAACAATATGAAATTATGATATATAAAAAGCTGATGAAGTTATAAGCCAACATTTCTGCTTAATGAAATGATACGATTTCGACAAGTTACTGGTCTGTTTTACGCCTCTTTGCAACCTGATGAAGAAATGGATCTTCCTTAGTTTAAGAGGATACCTAAATCAAACGAGTGTCATTACAAATACTCTATGTTGTTGAACCCGTCATTTTCTCCCTGTTTCTGCTTTTGAAATTGAAAACAAATTATTCTATCATCTATTAAAACTGGGAATCAAAGTTACTGTGAAACTTGCTACTTTGGGGTGGAGTGATTTAGATTTGGAAAATTTCAAAAGATCTTCTAAGTACAGTACCACACTCAATATTCATCTTCTCATGCAACAGTATACCAACAATTTACCTCTGTTCTTCACACAATTATTCTTTACACTGGACTGAAAAGTCATGTTAACAAAATGAATTCAACTTAGTTTACAAAGAATGGTAGATATGAATAAAAATAGTTTGTTCAAGAAATAAACAAATATAATTGTGTAAACAAAAGAAATCCACTTAGATTCTGGCATACGTTCTTTGGAACTGGCAATATTTCCATGCTGGAGTATTTGACAGATAATATTTACTAAAATGGACATTTTCGTGAAAATCAACTGCGTTTCCTTCAAATACTTAAGTTCGTTTGAAGCATCTTTCATTTAAAGTGTTCTCAATAAACGTTAATAAAAAAATCAGTCTTATTCACGTCTTCCTATGTACTTTCTTTTCCACTGAATAATTCCGTGTTAAGTGATAATTTAGATTTTAAAATCTCGTTGAGTTTGAAGGAAACGATATCCAAACAAATATAGGGTTGTTACGTTACTACACCGACCTTTACAGTGAAGTATCGATTAGACAAAGATACCATTACAGGTATAGTTGAGTTTATTCCGATATTTAGTAATATTATTAATCGAATATTTTTAAGGATTTGTGATTCGTTAAAATTTGATCACATGTACTTTTGTATTTACTCAGTTTGCACGCAAATACTGTTGTGTTTAGCTTTTCGTAGGTCAAAAACAGCATATTGCACAGGGCATACAGCATGTTACTAAAAATACATTCTAGAAATCCCCAATTTTACATTGTTCATGCAATAGTTGTTGATTAATAATATAACAATTGTAGCCTTTGGTTGAGGTCAATACGATGTTATATCGACCTAGAGAAGCATATCGACCTCGGACTTCGTCCTCAGTCAATATGCTTCTCTTAGGTCGATATAACTTCGTATTGACCTCATTCAAAGGCTATAATTGTATAGGGTAAGTGTGGCTGATGCTTTTATTTTCCAAGTATTTTGTGGAACATCGTCTAGTTCTGTCTTTTCGTATTTCCATTCTTTTAAGAATTGTACTGTCTGTTTTTATTTTATCAGGGATTTTATTGCAATTTGTAAATCTCGAATTTCCCTTTTCATAACACACGGATGATTTTCTTTAAATAAAAAAATAATTTGCATATCCAGTTCCACTGTGTATCATCACCACCGGATCTACGTACCCTTGACCTGGTTCTCTGTTCATTGTCTAAGAAAAACTACATTACTGTACATATATACCAACATAGCTATACGCTGGTATTTGTACAGTAATGTTGTTTTTCTTAGGCAATGAACAGAGAACCAGGCCAAGGGTACCTATATCCGGTGGTGATGATACACAATGAGTTCCTAGTATCGTATTTACTACACGGAAAGTATCCTGAAAAAACAAGCATTAGTGATTAATGTCGGTATGTGGTAAAGTGTGACGTGATCTAACTTAATTGAACAGACTATGTTGAACAATGAAGAAAACCAGTTAAGCAAATCAGTGATAACGACAAACTCGTCTGTAATGAGTTGATGCTTTTCAAAAAATGAAGCATAAACATTGAGACATGGGATACATGTATGAAATGAGAGCTAAAATATATGAAAGAATATCACATTAGTGTCTACACAATTTAATAATCCTCATCTGAAGGTCATTTGTTTTTACATTTGTATCAAATTACTGGTTTTCGGTCAGATACTGCCGGTTTCAAGAGACATCATTGGATCAGCATCTTTTCAAATTCTGTAAAAGCAATAGAACAATTAATTAAAATGCACGAATGAGTAAGACAATGACCTCTTTCAAATAAATTATTAGAATTGCTTAATGCTGTTTAATTTTTTGTTTGTGGCAAGTAAAACGTTCGATATTGCAATCTGTTAGAGTCTAGTCAGCAGCAGTAAATTTTTTTTTATGTTCTGTTGGTGCGAAAAAAGTAAGAATAATCTCAGATGCTCTAGAAGGTCACGCAGATCCTGTTCCAGATAATAGACGTGTCGTGTTGCTTCTAACAGTCTCCGGGACAAGTTTGCACTTCCGCTGAGTGCAAAAGTTGTCACCTTAATTTTTGGAGTTAAGTCAAAATGAAGTTGATAACTTGGTTGGTATTGGTTCCCTGATATTTGTCCTAAAAATTTTTGGCTCTAGCACCACTGTTGAAAAAGTTATGCCCCTTTTTTCAACAATTTCCTCAGAGGAAAAGTAGTTTTCCTCAAGGGAAATCAAATTTCCCTAAAGGAAAAAGATTTTTCCTTAAGGGAAATTGTATTTTCCTTAAGGGAAAAAGATTTCCCTTAGGGAATTTGCTGCATTAATATTTCCTCTGAGGAAATTTGCGTCTTCAAATTTTCCTTTGAGGAAATTCTATTTCCTCTGAGGAAATTTGCAGCTTCAAATTTTCCTTTGAGGAAATACTTTTTCCTGTGAGGAAATTTTGTCAACTGCAATTTCCTTTGAGGAAATTTTTAACAAACACTTTTCCTTGAGGGAAAATTCAATACCACAAATTTCCTCTAAGGAAAACATTATTCTCCAAATTTCCTCAAAGGAAATTTCTGTACATCAACTTTCCCTGTAGGAAATGGTTTCCCCTATTTTTACTCATTGTAAATTTCTTCACTATACAAACAGTATGAACATAATGTTTACAAGACTTAATAAATGATAAAAATGATATTTAAAACTTTAATAAATTTTTGCCTCAAAATTATCATGACATACAAAAACAATACAGTGAGTCTGACTGTTTAGGTCAAGGTATTGTACATACTTTATATGACTTTAACTTTGATTTATTAAATATTTTTTGTAGCAAAGTATTCTGTTTTCTTTGTTATTGTTTCAATTGTATACATTAATAAGCAACCAATTTGAATGTCATACCATTTGTGGTGTTCTTAAGAATGCGTTCATATTTGCAAATTAAATAATAAAATAAACACTTTTCTTGTAAATTTTAATTTTCCTCTGTTTCAGCTGCTGTGTCATGTGTGTACAGTTATTCAATCCACTACGTAAAAGTTCAATGCATAAATTATTCCATTCACTAAACAATTTCCTTCAATTCTTAGAGAAAACATTAGTTTTTGCAATTTGTTCTTCGAAGATCTTCTTCAGTATATTTGATATGAGGTAACGATGAAATGAGTGGATAAAGCTGGTGTTCCTTTCAACAACAAAATACTATTTTTTTCTTCATTTCTCCCTTCTTTCGACAAATATATATAATATGTTGTTGCATTTACATGTATACAATTGTGAATTTCTGCATCTATGATAGAACTCCATTTTGTTTATAGCCATTATCATGTGATTATGATGAAATTTCCTATTTCTTTTTTGCAGGCAAGCACACATTCCATTTCACATTAATCCAATTAGCGCACCATGCAGATACATATCAACTTTCAGTGTCCTCTTCAGTATTGACCTATTGATCATGAAAACCAAGATGTCTGATCACCTATAAATACACAAAATAAACAAATAAAATGTTATAAATGGAGAGAGAAACAGCAATAAAAAAACTTATTTTGTCATGTTAATGAACATTTTAAGAATATTTCCTTTCTTACTTGTGAGTTCTCTCAATTCCGTGCTTTTTGTCTATGGGTTTTTATATTTGTTGATTTTGTGCATTTTATCAATCTTTTGAGTTGAGGCAATTGCAACGGTTATTTTACAGTTTGTTCTTTATATGTTGAGCTGTTAAACCACTGTCCAAAGTTAAGGTAGGGTTGAGTGCTCACAAACCTGATTTTTTTATTACATGTATTAGTTTTTATTGATTTTTAACTAGCTGTCAGTAACTGTGAGTACTAACAGATCTTTGTGTCTTTTCGATTAAGGGAAAGGTATAAATTTCCTGCTCAGTTCGGACTGTTTATTTTCTTGCAGGAAATCTACCAGTATGTCATTTCTTTTCTTATTGACAATCATGCCACATCTTCTTATTTTTATATAACCTTGCCATATTCTGATTGTGCCTGTCCCAAGTTCGGAGCCTGTAGTTTATTCTGACACTAAAATTTAGTGGTTGTTGTTGTTTCATTTCTGTCATATTTATTTTTTTTAATTTGTTTTTTTATAAACTAGGCAACTAGTTCTACAGTTGGGATTATTTCAATTTTTCATCTGAGGGCCTTTTATTATGACTACTTTGACAATAGGGCATGGATTTTCTCATTATTGAAGGCCGTCCCTGGCCTATAATTGCTTTCTTAGAGCCATGATCAATAGTTTTCATATTTAATATACCACATCTTTTTTATTATTATAATAATCATGATAATCATCTTTCGAGGGCAATAATTTTTATAAAAGAGGCCTTATGAGTCTTATCGAGCATCACTGATGAGTGTTTTGTAGACGAAACGTGCGTCTGGCGTAAATACAAAATTTAATCCTGGTATCTATGATGAGTTTACTTACCATTTAGGATTTGTTGACTTCTGCAAATTTTAAATTGCCTTTCATTTCTGCTGTTTATAATTTCTCTGTATCTTCTATAGTTCTTGTCCTACACATAAAAAGAGTAAAAATTATTATTTAATGACATCTTGCATCAATAATCATTTTGCTGTTTAATGTATATATCAATGCGTGTTTAATTAAAAGCTGTACCATGAGTGCTTGATAAGCTTGTTGTCCTTTTAGCTTGGGTTTATGCTTTAAATGAATTTTAATGATCAACTACATTAATCATTATAGAAAAACTGTGAGCACTGCGCAACTAAGACCCCCCCCCCCCCCCCCCTAAAAAAAAAAACTACAGGCTCTTAAGAGCCTGTGTCGCTCACCTGACTCTATTTGGGTTTTTTGAAATCATCTAAGATAAAAATCATAACACATACTTTAATAATGATTGAGGCCATATTTGGTTTAATATTGTCGTACTTCGCTTGCGGCCATCTTGGATGATGGATCGGCTACAGAGTAACAACACTTGGTCAACACCTTATAAGGAACATTCATGCTATGTTTGGTTTCATTCCATTCAGTGATTCTCTAAAAGAAGACATTTGTATGTATTTCCTATAGGGTCCTATCTTAAACTAAGTCCCCCGCTGCCGACCATCTTGGATCAAGTAACAACTCTTGGTCAGCACCTCATAAGGAACATTCATGCCAAGTTTAATTCCATTCCATTCAGTGGTTCTCTAGAAGAAGTTCAAAATATAAAAAGTTAACAACGGCGACGGACGACGACAGACGACAAGTAATGAGAAAAGCTCACTTGGCCTTTCGAGCCAGGTGAGCTAAAAAAGGACATGCACACAGTGGTATACATTGAAACAAAACATGAAAATAATTTGGCTCCATTTAGGGATATTGCAAGTGTATATAAGTTTAAGGCCGTGATTTTTGAACAAATACAATTCTAAAACCTTCCAAAGTGTGAAAATGGACAATTTTATACAATTTTCCAACAACTAAAATTCCATAACTCTGCATCTTATATAAAAATAAATAGGGGATGATACTCCGGCTTGCATATCATATAAAGTTATAAAGGAAGATTACTAAGAACGGTAAAATTTATTCTACTTAAATTTGAACTTGATCTGATTTTGTGGTAAAAAGTATTGCGTTAAAGTTTAATAAAATTTGGTTGAGGCAAACTTAATTTAGAGGACGGAAACGAAAAATTCATCATTTTTTCCATTTGTAAAGGACATAACTCTAGAACAGTAAAAGTGACACCACCAAAATTCAAACTGTTTTTTGTGGTAATAAGCATTGTGTGCAAATTTCATAACATTTGGTTGAGGCAAACTAAAGTTAAAGTTAGAGAGCGGGAAACCAAAAATTCAGCAATTTTTCCATTTGTAAAGGGGCATAACTCTAAAACGGTAACACTGACACCACCACACTTGATCTGAGTATTGTGGTAATAAGCTTTTGTAAAAGTTTTATAACATTTGGTTGAGGCAAACTTAATTAGAGAACAAAAACCAATGACTTTGGGACAGACGGTCAAGGGCTGACCCACTAAGGGTCATAAAAATGAAAAGGGAGTTTATGTCAATATATAAAATCAATTCACCAAAGTTTCATAACAATTGGTGAAAGCATTCTTGAGACTATCCAAAGTCCCAATATACAACAAAAACTTAAATCAGAATTTTTTAAAAATTGAAAGGGAAATTATCATGATTATCAGTCAGGGATATAACCCTATAGGGTTATTACAGAAAATAACTTGCATGTGTTATTACAGATACTTTCATGAGTTGTCTACTCTTAAATCCTTAAATTTTCTAAATCTGTAATAACATATGTTTGTTATTTGTAAAATAAATCATAAATATTTTGATTTTCAGTAGGCTCTAGGGAACTCTGGAAACTTTGCGCAGAAACTAAATGCATAGCCTTGATAACTAATTTTTGAATTAAATTAATACATTTTTCATTAACCATGGCAAATCAATGAACGGGGCTTTTAAGGGATAAACTTAACTGTAATAACAAGGCTTATGTTGTACTGTTACACCACTGTCCCAGGTTAGGGGGAGGGTTGGGATCCCGTTAACATGTTTAACCCCGCCTCATTCTGTATGTATGTGCCTGTCCCAAGTCAGGAGCCTGTAATTCAGTGGTTGTCGTTTGTTTATGTGTTACATATTTGTTTTTCGTTCATTTTTTGTACATAAATAAGGCTGTTAGTTTTCTCGTTTGAATGGTTTTACATTGTCATTTTGAGGCCTTTTATAGCTGACTGTGCGGTATGGGCTTTGCTCATT